TAAGAGTATCTCATCCTTATATGAACTTCTGAATATTATACATATTTGTTTAGGAATCAGGCTGTCCTTAATCGCAAAAAGAGGTTACCATTCGACCTTGTTGCGGATTTGTTAGTAATATCATTATATAACTATAAACATTTCCCACCTGTGCGGTACTTATATCATTGGATATTAATCCAGGCGATTTAGTATAATTTTGTTGCAGTTTAAAGCTTTTGATAAAATTGTTGCAGTTTCTGGTTTAAAACGCTATGTCCTGGTTCATCCTGAATAAACCCACAAAAGATCATAAAGCATCAGTAATTTCGTGTCTCGTGCTGCCATCTATCAACGAACAACTTTCGTTGACCTTTCGGGTATGAATAAGTACACATATCAACACATCTCAAAAGGGCTAAGAAGTACTTTTCTTTACATAACCGCCTCACTCTGTACAAGGCCCAGATAAGACCTAGGCCTCGAGTACTGGCTCAGATTTGTATGGTTTCCGGAGGCGGGCGTTTGTATGATAGCATATTTCTCCTATCTTTACATAAAACATTGAGGTAAAAATACCCGGACTATACATGGTGATCAGTGCAGGTAGATCGTCACGACAGCCGGGTATTGATGGTCGAGACAGGATGGCAGAATTCGTAGCTGTGCATTAAACGATTGTAATTGGAGGATAATTATAGTGAAGTGGCATGCTCGGACATTTTTGTTGATACACAATGTTACAAACAGATTTGTTATATCAACATACAGAAGAGGCAGCAAATCGACTTGATTGGACCAAATGGACCAATGTAATTCTGATATGGTCGAGCATTATCTTGTTGGTAAAGTGGGTTGGTAAGCGTCCGTATATAAGGCAAAACATGTGGTTCCTTCAGCTCCTGGAACTTTTTATTTTTTTTTGGTGAGGGGGGAATGCGTTTACGCACCATACCATAGCCCGAGCTACGGCGTGTGTGGGACTCCAGGTTGTCTTGAGGAGACCACCTAATATCCACTAAACCCTAACCTCCGCGTGGCCCGATTCATCAGCGTCTCGGTAGGCCATGTGTTGTGCGTGACCTGCGGTCTGCTACAACCTACAACGTCTCCTCATGTGTTTCAGTCTCTGGGAACGCCGGGTTGGTTCCCTTTACCTCGCACATTCTATCAATGTCGTTAAGCGATCATCGATAGAGGGTCTGCTAGGTTCTCTTGAAACTCTTGTTTTCGAAAAATCAAGAGTTTCAAGTCCTCTTACCTATATATTGTTCCTGGTCCTGGTCCTGAAGGGTCCTGGTCCTGGTGGGTCCTGGTCGTGGCGGGTCCTGGTCCTGGTTGGTCCTGGTCCCGGTGGGTCCTGGTCCTCTGCATCCACGCCGTTGGGGGGGCAACCGCGGGTTCTCCTAGTCTCCTAGTCAAGGTTCCAGTTAGCGGGTGCCAACTGGGACCTTGGTCTAGGATACCTGGTTCTGCGGTTGCGAGGCCTCTCGTCCGGATCGTAGTCCATGAGGAATCGTAGCTGCTCGTTCGGGTGGTCCTGAGCTTTCTCGAAGGTCTTCTCCGCTTTTTTCCTCATGTACTCGTGGTTGGTGTCCCAATACAGGTCTCTACGCAAGGTTGAGTTTCTTACGTAGGATGGTGCACTGGTGGCGATCCGGAGTAGCTTCATCTCTAGAGCAGCAAGTCGCTTGCGGTAGCTGGGGGCAGCGTACCCCCAGACCGCGGAGGCGTAAGCGAGCTGAGGTATGGCGATGGCCTTGATCAGCCGTAGCTTGGTCGCTAGCGGCATCCGGCTGTGTCTACCCAGTAATGGGTAGAGTTGAGCCATGGCTGCTCTGGTCTTTGCGATGACAGCTTCTATGTGGGCTTTCCAGGTGAGGGACTTGTCAAATACGATCCCCAGATATTTGACTTTGTCGCTCCACTGGATATCTTCGTCGAAGATGGATGCTTCGAGAGGTCTTGCAGTCCTTCTTCGTTGAATGAAGATTGCCTACGTCTTCTGGAAGTTGATGCGGATTTTCCATTTCACGCACCAGTCCTGGATGTGGTCCAGTTCATCCTGTAGTCTCCTACGGATGATCTCGGGTCGTCTATGCTTGGCGGCTATAGCAGTGTCGTCTGCATATAGGGCCAGCATTGTGTCAGCTGTCTTCGGCACATCGTGAGTATAGATGTTGTAGAGCAGGGGGGCTAAGGCTGACCCCTGGGGCACGCTTGCTTCCAGCTGTCGTCTTGTTGAATGGCATGTACCAATCTTCACCGTGAACCATCTTTGTGATAGATAGCTCTGGATCAGTTGGCACATGTTCGCATCGATTCCGGCGGCTTCCATTTTGGCGATGAGTCCATCGTGCCAAACTCGATCGAAGGCTCGTTTCACGTCCAGCAGGACGAGACCGGTTGCCTCCTGGAGATTGAAGCCGCTGGTGATGTTTTCTGTCAGTCGTAGCGCTTGGAGTTGCGTGTTGTGGGAGGATCTGAAGCCGAATTGCTCTGGGGGGAGAAGTTGCAGTTCTTCTGCCTGCTTCTCTAGTCGAACGGCGATAGCCTTTTCGACTACTTTGCCCATCGAGGAAACCAGGCTGATGGGCCGGTAGTTCTGGGGCAACTTCCGGTCCTTGCCTGGCTTGGTGAGCATTATAACCTGGGCTTCCCACCACCGCCGCGGGAAGTGGTTAAGTCTCAGAGTGGCATTGGCGATTCTAGCGAATCGGCGAATGCTTCGGCTTTTTCTTCACTGGAGTAGGCCAAGCCGCGTTGACCGTGAAGAGTGGGGATCGTGGTGCGCTGACGACGAAATGTTCACTGCATAGTCCAGGCCGTACCATCCTGAGTCTCTAGTTCTGCACAGGCTGCATTCCATCTGCTGTTTTGGAGATCCGCGAGTGCGTTCTTCAGGGCAAGCGATGCTCTGTTTCGCGCAACTCTCGACTCCTCTGTCAACAGCTGGAGATGTTCTCGCTTGAGTCTTCTGTTCTCCCTGATCAGGTGCCTAATATGGTGCGGTGCTGGACCATTTAGGTGTCTAGGAACTGCCGTAGTCTCGGAGCGGGTGCTATCCTCGTGCGCTCGCAGGACAGCATTCTCCAGCTCCTCTACTGCATTGGACTCCTGGAACACCAACAGTCATTTGCTTATATACCACTAGCCCCCGATACCATAATTCCAACAGTGCGGTTCACATGGGTTTCCATAGGAAAATGAGAATCTCGTCTTTCACCCAGTCGCCTTTCCCAGTGTCGACGCGTGACTTTTCCTAAACTATTACCAAAACCAGATGTGAAAAATCTGATTAAAAAAAGTTGATTTTGAACCTCCCAAATATAAGTTTTTGCTTATTTTAGGTATTTTATTCAAGCTATTTTTAAATTAAGGTAAACATTCCTGGACGCTTCGCCACTGGCCTTTCCTCTCTTACATGCATCCACGAACAGTAACTGGATTCGTCACTAAATACAATGGTATTCCATTTAACACCACAGTCAAAGACAAAATGCAAAGGGATCTAAATGTGGTTACAACATGACGTCACTGAGGGTTTAAACGTAACTCCCTCCCTGCTTCCACCAGAAGGAAGAAATTAGTGGGGCTAGGAACTCTGCCTTCTGAAAGAACGGATGCAGCTGTTGGGAAAAGTCAAGTATCCGGAGGTAATACTAGACTCAAAACTGACTTGACTGCAACCCGCAGGTCAAATGCATTAAAAGGAAATCAGAGAGGACTTTAATGTTGACCAAACTCTCTCACGGCAAAACATGGGAATTGAGCCCTTCCATGATGCACTGGACGTACATAATGGTGGGAAGATCCATGATAACTTATGCATCTCGGATATGGTGGCCAAAGATGAGACAACGCACTGCCATTTGCAGAATTAAGCAAGGTACAATACGAAATAATCGGGGAGGCGAGAATGGGCTACTCCAGGCTACATTCACAGCCAAAGAGAAGATATGAGGATCTTGGATATAACCAAATAAGGAAAGAGACATACTCGATGCGAGGAAAGATCACATCACTCTCAGATTTGCATTCAAAAAGAGCTTCAAGACAAAATAGGAGATGCGACGACACTCCAAAGCCAAAATCTGCAAAGAGAAATTACCTGGTACACTGACAGCTCAAAAACTGGGGAGGGATCAGGTGCTGGTATATATGGAAACATATGCAATCCTGGGCATAGTATACCGCTTGGAAGAGACACTTCGGTATTTCAGGCAAACGTTTACGCAATCTTGCGCTGGGCAAGGTTAAATAGTGTGCGAGCGTATAACAATAAAAGGATCGTGAAAAAAACAATTTGACATTGAATTTAATATAACGGTCATAGCCAATTTTGCAATTTTCGAATTAAAATTTCTTTTTTAATATTCTTTTCCAGGTATTCGCAAATTCATAACATTCATGGAAGAGCAACAATTTACCTTAAAATAACATCTAGGTGTAGTTATAGCTTCTATGATATTTATACCAGCAGCAGCGGTGGCCGCAGTAGTAGACTCTTCGGTCTCCTGATCAGTCACCGTGCGCAGTGCGGGTTCGAGTCCCGTCCCAGGAGAAATTTTTTACTTGGCTATGGATGTTGTGATTGTCCGTAGGTGGTAGATGGTCTCTGACTGTCGAACGCGGAGGTACCACCCGGCGGTTCTCGTAGGCGCAGCCAGAATGTGTGCATGTTGCATGTACACGTGTTCCCACGTAAAAAATATAAAAAAAATACCGTTAAGAAGCAAATTTTTTGCCTTTGTACTTCTGCAATAAAAAATGGGGGTTCGCATTTGAAAAATCAACATCCTCTTGAAATGACATTCAAGATGAATGTCAACGTCAAATACAAAGTCACCACTAGATGCGCTATTTGGTTCGATGAAACTTTTGTATTCAAAGTTTTTTCTAGCACCCTGAGTTTCTGAGATATTTGGGTGTATTCAACATGTATGTTTGCGTGTAATACTTCTGTAGGCAGTTCATCTTTTCAACTCACATTTACACTAGCCAGTATGTATTTGTTTCAGATCCTAATGGAATAATATATTGCTGAAATGCTCAAGATGAACAGGTACTTCAGGCTGTTCTTTTGTCGGATAGCAAAGGACCTAAAACAGAAAGAACTGTTGCCATTGAAGTTACTGTTTTTCATGCATTCTTCCAGTAAGTATTGATGGGAAATGGAAAATAAAAATGATTGAATAGCGTATTCCACCGGAAGATACCTAACCCAATTGAAAGCCGTGCCTGTGCCAAAATAAGCACACCGAAAAATCATACTCATATACAGGGTGTCCCAACAAAATGTATAGTAGTTTTAGCAATCTGGAGAAGATATGAAAAATCTGCTTTCGTGGCAATATGTTTCTCTTGCATATTTTAAAATGATGTATATATTCAGGAATGTTCCATAACTTAGTATCGTAGCAAACATATATTTTTTTAATATAACATTCTATTGCATATGTGTATAGAGCTTCTAAAAATAAGAAGTTTGATATCATATAACATATGATTTGTCAATTGTTTAGATATTTGGTTAAACGTTTGAAAAAATGGCCAGCTTTGATGCCTCACAGCTTAGCTGTTTTTGAAAATAGTTAGATAAACCTTAGTTAAAAAAAATATTATAAGCAAATTTTAAGCTGATCTGGGTATCTAAAAATGCGAATCGTTAAATAGGTTTTTTTGTGATTTTTTTTTGATATACAACTTTTTTCCAAACGTTTTTGAGTTATTGCGAATAATTTTCTTCACGTCAGTACCTCAAATTTCTCCTAGTTGTTAAATTTACATTATCTGCTACTGAAACAACGCGGTTGTAAAAAAAATACTGGACCTGAGATCCTACATCTGTGAATCAACAGAACTACTTGGAACGTATTACAATTTCATAATGAGTGACTGTTCATTGTTTTCATGGAACTTTACTAACATTAAATTTTAAGTCTAAATGTCGACTATATTTTCTTCTTGAAATTAATAGCATTAACTATTCCGTACATCAAGAAAAAGTTCCAAAGGACAGATGTTTAATTATGTAATAGAAGAAATATACAGGGTGTTCCATTTAAAATTTATGAGAAAAGGTACATTTTGCGTTTTTAGTTACCCTGTATAAGTAGAAAGATACTTTAGCATATCTTTCTGATCAGCTTAAGATCGGTGATAATAAAATTTTTGTGAACTAAATTTCACTAAACATCTAAACAATTGACGATCGGAACCATATGTGATATGATATCAAACTCGTTGTTTTTAGAAGCTCTATCCAAATATGCAATATAATGTAGGATATTCTATTTAAAAAGATAGATGTTTGCTATTGCATTACGTTGTAGAACACCCTGTACATATTAAAATAATTGTAAAATATGCACTAGCACGAAAACAGATTTTTGATCTTTTCCAGTTTGCCCATAAAACTACCTTTCATTTTTGTTGGGATTTTGGTACTTCAGACTTGTCTAGCAATACAAGGTACTGCAGTATTCATCACTACGCAGACGACACACAAATATTATAATTTTCATATCAATGATGCATCTTTTTCCTTTGTTTTTCCTTTGATTTTATCAACAATGATCTAGATACCACGTAATGTATCATATGGGGTTGTCCAAAACGAACGCAGGAAAGTAAACGCATATTAAAACAAGAAAGATTGATATTCAAATCAAGTTGGATACTTTATTTTGAAGGTTCATTTATACCATTTATGTATGAAAAATAATATCGCTCAAATGTTCACCACGACTGGATTTACAGACGTCCACGCGATGGTCGAAATTTTCAATGATATTTTGCAAAATGGTCGGTTCTATGGCATTTATCTCGGCAATGATGTTGTTTTTGAGTTCTTGGAGGGTGGCTGGTTTGTTGACGTAGACTTTGCTTTTCAAATATCCCCATAAAAAGAAGTCCAAGGGAGTCAAATCGCACGATCTTGGTGGCCATGGCACATTTCCTCTGCGCGAAATCACGCCATCACCGAAGAAGGACTGCAATCGATGGATATTGACGTTGGTTGTGTGGCATGTTGCACCGTCTTGTTGGAAATAAACATAGTCCATATCCATTCCTTCAAGTTGCGGCAAAAAATAGTCCTCTATCATCACGTGATATCGCTCAGAATTGACGGTAACGGCGTCCCCGGCCGCATTTTCGAAAAAGTGCCACCACACAGTCACTTTTTGAGGATGCATCGGCTGCTCTTGATACTCACGGGGATTTTCGTTCGCCCAGATGCGGCAGTTTTGCTTGTTTACCGTCCCATTCAAAGTGAAATGCGCTTCGTCGCTGAACATGATTTTTGATGCAAAAATTGGCATTAATTTGGCGGTGTTCAAGGAGCCAATCCGCGCGAAAAATGGTCGGCCCGACGCAGCTCTTGCGTCAATTGGATCTTGTAGGCGTGTACATTCAAATCCTTGTGGAGAATGTGGAGCAAACTGGTTCTCGAAATGCCCAATTCTTGGGATCGACGCGTTGTTGATTGTTTCGGATCGTCTCTCACACTCTCCTTCACAACAGCAATATTTTCCGGTCAGAGCCTGGCAGATTTGGCACACAACCTGTTGCCTCGAATTTACGCACCAGACGACCGATGGTTGTTTCGTTTGGGCGGTTGTTGCGACCGAAATGTTCACGAAGCGCGCGAAACGTGTTTTTTATTTTTGCACCATTTTTGTAGTGCTCTTGAATAACTTTAATGCGGTCTTCAATCGAATACGACTCCATAGCGATCAATGGTAAACATTCAACTAACAAAATGACATGTCGGTGACAGAAAACAAAGATGGCGTCTATGTCAAATTGACGTTTACTTTCCTGCGTCCCTATTGGACAACCCTTTATTTCGGCTGCTCATAATTTAACACTGAATGCATCTAAATCAAAAGTTATGACTTTTGGACCAAAGCAGAAACTGATAGAAGTAGAAAGTCTATATCAGCCTAACATAAATAACAACCACGCTGGGTGCAATTTTGGAACAATTTTTAAATGAAATATTGGGACATGTGATACCAATTTGTACGTCGCCTTATGACAGTAGAATATAAATTACCTATCCTTAAAAATGGCGGACTGTTGGACTGGCGATGTTGAGCATTGAGCATCATCAGCTTATAACTCAATAATTAATCATCAAAATGTTATGATATGTTATATCAATCTCCTTCTCTTGGAGGGATCTATCTGAATGAGTACAATAAAACAAGGTATATTAAGCTTAGGAAATGTAATGATTTGAGTTTCTAGGGTAAGATAATGTACTCACTAGTGGCGTTTAAACAAGCTGTCAAGAAAAGTGCGATGCCTAGCAACGCTGACGCGGCAATCTGGTGTAACATATTAGCGACGCGGCAGATTGCATGACCTTCTGTGCCACCGTTGTTAGGCGATGTTGTGGTGACCGCTCGTCAGTCGGCTTCTATCTCTTTCATGTGTGTTGATACACACTTCTCTCTCGTACACATTAAACTCAAGCCGCCAGACCAATTTGGTTTTCCCTGTATCTTAAAATACAAGGTGTTTCGCAACGTATCCGACAAATTTTAAGCACATATGCCCTGTTACGAAAAAAGTTGATTTCTAAAGTAAAATGTAATAAAAGTCCTACAGAAATTAGGTTATAAACCTAAATTCCAATATTAAATTGAAAAATAAATATCTATATTTTGCGTTCATCGTCGTGATATTAGAACACGCATTAATAATTTATTGTAGCAAATGTTGTACCAAACAACTGACGAAAAAAAATGCCAGGAATTTTTTGATTTTTCATACTGATAAGAACGTGTAAGTAAGGTTTAATCTGTATCGTGTGTGATCTGAATGAAGAAGTTGACGTGAATGAAGTTTATGTTTTTAGTTATTTGTGATGTGGTATCTGCACGATGGGGCACCTCCGCATTTTCGTTTAGAAGTTTGTGATTTTTTTAATCAGGTATACCAGATCCGCTAGATCGGAAGGGGTGGACCAGTTGCGTGTCCTCCACGGTCTCCCGATCTAAATCCTCTGGACTTCTTTTTAAGGGGATACTTGAAAAACGAGGTATACCGCACTCCAGTTCAGAATATTGCAGAATTACGTGGCCGAATCACAGTGGCTGCCGATTATTTGAGCCTTCGGGTACAGCAGGAAGGAGGTGTATTTGAATTAGTGCGCCGAAATTGGATTAGACGCACCCAAGCTTGCATTGCAGTTAATGGAAACAATTTTGAATAGCTTTTATAAGTGATTGAACTTTTAAATTGTATTATTTTATTATCTCGATTTCTGTAGGACTTTTATTACTTTTTTTTGAGAAATCAGCTTCTTTCGTAACAGTGTATATGTGGTTTAAAATTTGTGAAACACCCGGTATAGTATTCATGCACCAATGTTTATGTGCCTGAATTTCAGCTTGCTAACTTATTATTAGGGGGGTGCCCTTTTTAAAAATCACTGTATTCACACCTACACATGCTAAACTTATAACGTCTACCCTTTTGCGTCGTGGGCTAAAAATGGAAAATATAAATTACAGTACATTTTTGTCTTAAATATGACCCACTATTTGCTAGGTAGTCCAATACAGAAAATACCGGCAATGCTGCCAACATTGCTTGTACGTCTTCAAGCAATAACACGTATTTTCCAACTTCTCAAGGAAAAAGTGCCATTGATATTAAATATTTTCTAGCTATATTGGTGTTATATCCGTATTTGACGATACATATGAGGGAATTGGGCATAAATGTTGAAGAGACGGCTATTATGTCTGCAGTAACGCCTGCAGTTGCTATATTAATGCCTCCTTTAGCTGGAATGGTAGCTGATAAAATTGGAAACTTCAGGGTAAGTGAAGCTATAGATCATTCGAATTCTAGGTAACTTCATACGAAATAAGTAAACACATCGTTTGGTAGTTGTACCAGTGGAGGAGTGCATTGTTTTTTTCTATTGAACTGTGGTGTATATACAGGGTGACTTTGAAGTTGAGTCATTAATTTTCAGATGATTGTAGAAGGAAGATAAACCAAAATATGTGTGTAAAAATAAAAAAAAATTAAAAAAAATGTTACCTTGTTTTATAAAGTATCCTCCCGACAAGTATTTAAGTGCGGACCTGTATTTGATCGTGAGGTCTTGGAGCACCGGCATGCCTTCCCCTGTGAGGTCTAAAGTCACCTGATTCACGAGCCCGTTGTACTACATTAACAAAGGCACGAGGGGTTGGTTGCACTCGATTGGGAAACCGATCCGCATAAACATGTGCCATGTTTTATTTCGTTCGAGCCACGCAGCAAACACCACTATTCACTCACGCGTTACCGACTGACACATTGACTGAATAAAAACATCGTGATCAGCGTTTCAAATTCTTTCGCTTTTTTGTTTCCGATGCGATGAACCGATAAGGCGGATTATATCCGTTGTTGCCAAACACGAGCACATAATATTATTATTGAGACAGGGCGGTACTCAAACTTCTAAAGGGCTATAACTTTGTTACTCTAATTTTACCAGAAAAATGTTAAAGGAAAAAACATTTCTCTTGATCAGATCTACTCACTGTTAAAATAAATGACTCAACTTCGAAGTCACCCTGTAGAACTGAGCTTAGGTAGTGCCCTCTTGGGGCGAGGGTAGATAGACCAAAAAACATGTAAGTGGTTCGAAATCATAAATCGTAACCATAGTAAGGACGTCAGAGTAGTACAATACGCAGATGACCCAACTACCAGTATAAGCGGGACCTGAAGATAGGGCAAACATTATTTTACTAAAAATTTCCGAAAACACGTTGATAGTTATAATAAATCTATAGTTTTCTATAAAAGGAACTGTACCTGTTCTGACGCTGACTCTAAACAGTACCACCATAGAGAGGGTAGAAAGCCACAAGTTTCTGGGTCTTACATGGACGAAACACTTTCTTAGGAAACACACGTAGCTAATAAGTTTAACTCGGCTTACTCGGCGTAGGTGTCGCCTAGATACTTATTTTGCAATGAGGTACTTCATTACTTGATATGCGAATATTTAAGGGTGTGAATCTACATGAAAAATTAATGTTTGTTTGCTTTATAAACTATGGTCCAAAAATGTTTCCTTACAAAAACTCAGGGTGTAGAAGTTTTAGGAAAAAAATGGAAATTAATAAATATACTAAGTGACATATAAATCCGAACACCCAGTTTAAATGGTTTTATTTTAATAAAATTTTGTATAAGTACTTGATGAAGCATAATAAGTAAATGATAAAAATTTCAAAATGATTGCACTGCTTTAAAACCCTTTCACCTTTAATAATGTGTGGATGCACCCTGATGAGCTACGCATTCTCCAACGCGCCTAGGCATGCTTCTGATCAGGTGGTCAATGTCCTCCTGTGGTATCTCGTTCCAGGCAACCACCAACTCATCTCGAAGTGCTTCTACAGTCTGAGGAGGACGTTGCAAATTGAGCAATCTCGTACCCATCATATCCCACACGTGCTCAATTGGGGATAAGTCGGGAGATCTTGGTGGCCATGGTAACAATGTGACATCATTATGTTGAAAGAAGTCTATTGTGACTCTTGCAACATGTGGTCGGGCATTATCTTGTTGGAAAGTTGGATCTGCCAGTAAAAGATGGGGTTCGAGAACTTCGTGGATATAACGCTGCGCGTTCATGTTCCCTCTGATGAAGATCAAAGGTGACCTGGAACCATAAGCTATAGCACCCCAAACCATAACTCCAACAATGTGATGAACATGTCTTTCAACAAAAAACTGTGGATTCCTCCTTTCACCACGTCGCCTTCTAACCCTGGCACGACCATCGTGCATGCCTAAACAAAATCGAGACTCGTCACTAAAGACAATTTTGGACTCTAACTGCAATTGCCCGAAAAGAAAGTCCAGCTTCCCGAAGTCCCAGTATACGGCCCCTATCAAACTCACTAAGTTGACAAAATCGTACAGGTCTCCGTACTCTAGGCACCGTAACCGATCGTAAAGGATGTCAAGAACCAAAATCCGCCAACGTTGATTCTTTACTGCGGCTGAAATATTCATTTTTAGAGCGTTAGTGAATTAAAAAAAAGCAGTATAAAAGCCGGAATGTCCAACTGATAAGGCTGAACATTTTTTCACTTGTTATTTACAGTAAGATAAATACATTCACCAACTTTTATTAAAATAAAACCATTTAAACTGGGTGTTCGGATTTGTATGTCACTTAGTATATTTTCAGAACCGCTACAGATATTTCACTGATATTTAGTACGTAGTGAAAGTTAATAAAGTTGTATATTTTTCAATGCAAAGATAATTTTCAGCTTCAACAGTGGCGTTGAAGAAATCATTTTTTCTAGGTGTAACACTTCTAATGTCACTGAATATTTTATGGTTTGTGATTATTTTGGTATAAAATTACTGAATTCATTAGCAGCTTTCAAAAAATAAAATTCTAAAAAGGTAAATAGCACAGAATTGGAAGGGGAGGATTTTTAATGAATGGGTACAGGCATTCATTGAAGTTACCTCCCATCCACTATAAATTGCCTCCCTCCAAGATGGTATTTATTTTATTTTGAATTGTAGTTTCTCGGAAATGGAAGTAACTCAAAAATTTAGTTATCTGGGCTCAAATATTTTGAAAACGGGCAACCCGAACTTTTTAACCAGGTCAAAATACTGAGTAAATCTACTTGACTCCTTTATTTTCAGGTACTATTATCAGCTTTTTCGATCATTGGTGGTGGATCTGCCTTACTGTTGTTGCTAGTACCTGTAGGGCGGCTTACTTTTACTTTTCCGAAGGAGTTGGTATTTGGTTTATCATGCAACACAGAGCCAGTATTGACATTATATCAAGAGTTTCCTTGTATTCCCATTGACAGAGACCAAATCGTTGATATCGAACTACAACAACAAACGTGTGGAGTAGCTTGCCAAGCATCTTTCACCAAAAATCAAAGCCAAAGCTTATTGAAGACACGTAATTACGAAATCCAAATAGCAGAAATGGAAACAAACGATGTTCTTACTTATACATTCAAACCAAATGTGTCAAATGAAGCTATTCTTGATACAAATGTTAGCCAGAGAAGCCAAAAAGTTCTAGAAAACATCAAGCCTTACTCCGCTGTTATTAGGAAGCTTACCAAGACCACCTATTTCTTCCCAGCGAAAGATTTGTACTTATTTTCTTGTGAGCAATCGAACTGTACTGTAGGAAAAATAACAGAAAGATCTCATATAAATAGTCGTATCAGAAGTGGGATATCCCAAAAATATATTGAAAAGAAAGACTTTGAGAACATACAGCTATACAAGCTTCACTACGTTGATTCAAATTCAGATCTGATTTGCTCACATGATTCAAGTGACGAAATCATATCTGTCAACGTTGCTGTGGATTCAGAGGGCGTAAATACAACTTTGAATTTGGAACAGTGTTCAAGAAGATGTTTGTTTACAGGTAAGAATATTTTATAGCTAGATCTCTAAGCTTTTTTTCGCCTTTCACCACGCGTTAAGCCTGCCACATGAACCCGCTAGGCTTGCAATTGTATTTTATTATCGAACTAAAGAACCATTCAGGTCACTTCGATGAAAAAGGTAACCCGATAAAGTAGAATATTTTGTTTTTTCTTTTTAAAAAAAGTACTTAAATACCTTTCGATCTATTTGTAGGTCCACGAAAACGCTTGTGCCAAAACTTAAAGACTACCGTAGAATTGGACACTAGTTTGACATTTTGGAGTTACCTATGTGTCCGAGTTTTTGTAGGAATAATCAGTGGAACATCGTTTGCAATGTTTGAAGGGGCTGTCATAGCTCTACTCAGAGAACATAAGGCTGATTATGGCTTGCAAAGAATTTACGCCACTATAGGTGGGATGATCAGTTCACCGATATCGGGGTGGATGATAGATTATGCTAGCAAAGGAAAAAGTTATACAGACTTCCGGTAGGTTGCAAATTAAAACTATTTGTCTATTATACAGGGTTTTCAAAGTTGAGTCATTTATTTTAACAGCACGTAGAAGTTGATATACCAAAAAAACCTGTATAAAAGTTGCATAATAAAAGAAATAGTAAAAGCTTAAGAATTTTTAAAACTAAGAATGCTATTACACAGATTTTTTGATATTCTCGACCACCGCCTTGTAAAATCCAAGCGTTTTTTGTTTACTACTCTTATCGTTTAAGGCAGCAGCGGTGGCCACAGTAGTAGACTCTTCGGTCTCCCGATCAGTCGCCGTGCACTGTGCGGGTTCGAATCTCGTCCCAGTAGAAATTTTTCTCTTGGCTATGGATGTTGTGATTGTCCGTAGGTGGTAGACGGTCTCTGACTGTCGAACGCGGAGGTACCACCCGGCGGATCTCGTAGGCGGAGCCAGAATGTGTGCATATTAAACATTCTAAATAAGATTGGATGATCTATAACAGTTAATAATCGATGCACAACTGTCACTGTAAATATCACACGATTCAGTAACACTGTTCATGACGCAGCACATGAGATTAATTGGCGATTTTGTCATAACATTTGTACGGCCAGCTTGACAATAGAATGTCATTTGTTGTCGACTCCCTAGCCTTGGAACGCGGAAACATATTTTTTCAAGTAAATTTTGACAGTCAGTTTTATTGTGAATGAGGCCATACAAAAACGACAAAGCAAATATGTTTCGTCTTGTTGACAGTGAATCCAAATTGAAAGACTCTAATAGGGCACTACGGTCACAACCTCTTTCTGGATAAGAACCTGTGCATTTAAGGTGAAAATACTTTAAAGCTTTACGTTGAATGGCCTCAAGGATCACGACAGAATTTTGGTATATAGGAGACCAGATCAGAGTCGCATACTCCAACTTGATCCTGACAAAAGTAAAAAATATAGTCATTAATGTATCAACATTGGAGAAACCCTTCCAGTTTCTGATACAGAAACCAAGTAGTCCAGTGGCAGCCGACGAGATATTGAGTATATGCTCAGTAAACGTTAGCTTGGTATCAAAAATGACTCCAAGGTCTCTATAAGAGGTGCATCTGTCTATAACCTGACCATTGATGTTATAATTATCGTAAATTAAATAGTTCACTTTTCTTGTATAAGTCATAACTTTACATTTCGAAACATTCAGACTGAGACAGTTTCGTGAACACCATGACGAAATTAGAGCTAAGTCATCTTGCAACATGACGCAATCCTCGACTGTCTTGACTGACGTGCAGATTTTAAGGTCATCAGCGAAAAACAAATGGAAACACTTCAGTTCAAAAGACAAGTCATTAATAAATATCAAAAACAATAATGGACCTAGATTTGACCCTTGAGGTACCCCAGACGTGGCCCGATAGTAACTCGACCTATGACCACCATATTCGACAAATAACCTTCTATCCCTCAAATATGAATTCATGAGCGACAGCATTGCATCAGACATACCCACTGTTTTAAGCTTATCCAGAAGTGCATAATGATCAACTTGATCAAAAGCCTTCTGAATATCTGTGTAGATGACATCAACTTGTCCCTGACCGTCCAGTACTTCAGAAATGTATTGAGTAATCAGAGCCAAGTTGGTGACCGTAGATCTGCCTCTCATAAACCCATGCTGATTAATAGAGACTGCACCCCTGACCGAGCAGTAAACCGTTTCATAAGCGATGATCTCAAACAACTTGCTGAAATTGCACAGGATTGCTATTTGGCGATAGTTGGAAATATCAGAGATATCTCCACTTTTGTGTGAGGTCTTCCAGATATTTGGATATGTCTCTGATTTTAGAATTAGGTTGAATATGGAAGCCAGCGGTTTCGCTAGTATATGAATGCAATCTTTAACGAAAAAACTTGGAATACCATCACATCCAGACGTCATTTTGTTCTTTAATCTTTTCGAAGCCCTAATTACGTTTTCTTCACTTATATTTTTTAAAGAAATGATATCGGTAGAATTATTTGTTGGAGGAGATGACCCTAGTAGACCAGACGGGATAAAAACTGTTGAAAAGAAGGTAGCAAAACTGTCCACTATATCCTGAGGCGTATCGCAGACATTGCCGTTAAGCGTCATCCTTGGGGGGATTCTAGATTGCTGTTTTTTGATCTGGGCAAATGACCAGAATTTGCTAGGATCATTGCTACCGTAATGGATACTTGTGAACAAGACAATAGGTAGCCGACGATGTGTCTAAGCTTTCAAATTTGGCGACGCCGCTTTGCCGGTTGCTAGGTCAGAAAGCTTCCATATCATTCAAGAGAAATAGTCTAGCTACCAATGCAACATTTAAGATTACTTTTTTTCTATTCCAGTCCAATATTTTTCCTATATGCTGCTCTGAAGTTCATAAGTGGAATATTGATGCTATTTATAAATCTGAAATTCAAAAAAGCCGCAGTTAGTGTCATAACCGATGTTCTCACTGTACTAAGAAAAGTAGAAATGATAGCACTGTTGCTTTCCTGCATTGTCTTAGGTTTGTATCAGTACTAGTGATTGCAATCCCGCAGAAAAGCATTCCGCGGGATCCCGCACCCCTAAAACGCTGATCCAGAAACATTCAAAATTAACGCTAAATCTTTCACTTAAAAGCATGAAAATTTAACAAAAAAAAAATTATGATTATTTTTACTGGCTACGCCACCAGGCGAGGAAGTATTGTTACTGCAAAAAACTTGAAAATGCGATATTATGTTTTTTGGATGTTACATGAAAAACCATGCTATTCATTTTCGTCGATCTGCCTCTCTGTCCGGTAATCCTTGATCGCTATAACTTGAAAAGAGCTGTTCGCATTTGGATGAAAGTTTCACACAAGGTTACTAATACGTAAAGAACGAAAGAGCTTTGTAAATTTTTGAAAATTGGTCTAATGCCGGCACAGAAGAAGGCAAAAACGAAAAGTAAAACTCGCTCAAACGTTATTTTTTGACGTTTCAGAGGATCCTGATGTTTTTTGAAAACATTCTTAGAGGTGGGGGGTTTTAGGGTGGCGGGCGAGGGTGTACCTCATTTTTTTATGTTAGTATATTTATACGCTCCCAACCCTGATAACTAAGCAACTATTAGCCATATTTCACACAGCTTAGGTTTCCTCGTCTTTAAAACAGAATAATGATATGGGAAGGAGCAACGTTGCCAGGTGAGCGGTAGGGCAGGGAAATATTGTATATGGTCTAATTGTATGGGCCTCTTTGATTGACTTTATTATTATTATATTGTACATATTTCTAACTATTTTTTTCTCAGAGGGTTTAACTTGCGCGTAACTTAATCCTTTAAGATCTGACGACATCCTTTCTTAGGAAGTGCAGAGTCAATCTACTTGACGCCATTTTTGCCCATTTGTACAGATTCTTCCAAATGATATGAATATCAGCTGAACAATTTTATGATCTATGATAAATTTAAGTTTGTTGGAGAATTTATATATCTAGGTCGAAAGTACGTCGGGTTCCAGTTATTTAATTTTTTCAAATTGTAGGAAACATTCCCAAAAACTGATATAGGGTGCTTGAAAATTAAAACCGAGTTTTGCTATTAATATTGCTTCCACATTATTTAAACGTTTTTAAAATTATTGAATAACATATAAAACACAACTTTATAAAGGTTGTTTTATTATACTAAGTGACATATATATCTTTGATGCAGCTTTTTTGCTTTGACTAACAGTAAAAGTTTGCCTTTGTTGTTAAATTGCATCGACTGAGAGTAATTTCCTTTTTAATGATTCTTGATACAACTTTTTAAGCAAATAAAATATGTTTGAGTAACCTGCATTTAGTTCTGATATATACACCCAAATTCGATTCATTAGCATTGCTATCTTGTTAACCGCTAAAGCTGCGTAAATTAAGGCAAGAATATATATTTCAATGCTTGTTTTTAACTGGCGAATATATTTTATAATTTTCAACTGTCCGTGATATTTTATTTCATAATTGCTTTATTCCTTTTGTTACAATGCAATATTGTTTTAATAAGTAAGGCAATTCAGCTTTTAAGAAGTGTTCTGCTTTATAAAATAGTCGTAAGAACGTTCTTAGTGCAAAAATACAAAACAGTTTTTCGACAAATTTTAATATTGTTTAATAAATGTTTACACAACAATTTTATACGACGTTCAAGCTTACTGAAAAAATAAAAGATTGGTACTGGAATTATCTGATACGAGTTTATTCGTTTGCGAACATTTATAAAATTTAGTTATTAACATTTTCTTTCTGATATTATATTATATAATTACCATAAGGCAAAAAAATATTTGTGAGGATACAAAAGCATTTATGATTACATTTTTCCGAATAGTTCTGGAACGTCTTTAAATTTGTTTAATTTTAAAACGGGTTGTGGTTTAGCATTGAAATCCACATTCTAAGGTTTAACCGACATCGGACAGTTGAAAATCATAAAATATCTTTCCTTGTTGGTAAGTCGGGAGTACAATATGCCTCAGCGAGCGACAATATCAACAAAATCAGAAAGAAAATATTATTGAATTCATTTTATAATTGTTCCACAGAGCGCTAATAAATCAATTTTATTGTTCGCAAACGAATAAGCTTGTATCGGATAATAACAGTATAAAATCTATTATAAAACAAATTTGTGCAGTAAGTTTAAATGACGTATCAAATTGTTGTGTAAATGTTTATAAAACAGTATTAAAATTTGTCCAAAATCTGTTTTCTATTTTTGATCTAAGAACACTCTCACGGCTACCTTATAAAGCAAATTACTTCTTAAAAACTTAATTGTGTTGCTGGCAATTATATTGAAAAAAATGACCAGTAATATAAATAAAATAGCACGGACAGTCAAAAATTATAATATACAGGGTGTTTCAGTTTATTGTTGCATACATTTAAGATTCGATAGAACTTTTAAAATTAATGCATAAAGTCTATATAAACATGGGTCGAAAAATACGTGGCTTCCGAAATACAGGGTGTTTAAATTTACTTTCTAAAATAGTTTTTTTTAAATATTTCGAACAATATTTGATGTATAACAGTGAAAATTGGTATACAAGGGTTTTTTGGTACAACAAAACGAACCATGGGCATAGTTTTACTGTAGCCGCTAGAGGGCGCTCTCTACTGTACCTGTAGTGTATTAAAATGACCGAAAAAATTTTCTTAGTGCAATTTTTTGCTTTTTGAATAAAAAAACTGATTCTTCGCACTTTTCTGCATAAAAAAGCTCTCCTGTGAGTTTTCGTTATAGTTAGCCGTTTTTGAGATATTTCGATTTTGAAGGTTCAATGCATTTTTAATTATTTATGGGAAAATAATATTTTTTTTACATTTTCCATTTTTGGTCACAACTTGTGAATCATCCTGTATACTAGACCCAATAACTGAGATATACCCCCGCCCCCCCCTCCAATCTTCAACCTCTACAAACGTTTTTTTGAAAGTGATCAGCATTCCCTGAAAAGTCAAAAAACGAAGTTTGAGCGATTCTTATTTTCTTCGTGTTTTGCTTCTACCTCTGCCGCCACTGGAGCGATTTTGAAAAACTGAATAGCTTTCTGGTTTTTGTTATAGTAGTAACATTCTGTGAAAATTTCATCTAAATCCGAGCGGTACTTTCCAAGTTATGGAGGGCTAATGATCAGCGGAAGAACAGACCGACATCGTTTTTCGTGATGGACATTTCATATAACATATGATTTTCGCTATTACTCACCAGTGACATGGATGTAAAATCATTGTAACTTTCGAAATTATATAATTTTATATTAAGTGTCCGGTATCCCACGGGAGGGTTGATGAACCCCGCCTATTAATCTCAGGGGTTGCAATCCCTAATTAGTACTGAGTTGATCTACTTGACGCTACTTTCAAAACTTTGATTTACAGGATGTGCCTGGGGTTTCATCGAGAGCTTCCTATTCTGGCTTTTAGACGATTTGGGAGCCTCAAAATCTCTCATGGGCCTTACAGTTACTGTAGGAGGTTTTGTTGGCATCCCTCTACTGGTACTTTCAGGCCCCATTGTTAAAAGAGCTGGCCACGCCAATGTGATATTTATTGGGTTCATTTTTTACGCTATACGACTACTAGGCTATTCGCTCCTGTATAACCCTTGGCTATGTCTAGTTTTTGAGGCAATGGAGTCTATAACGTTTGGCCTGAGCTTTACAGCTGCTGTCACGTACGCTGCCAGATTGTCAACTGTCACAACTGATACTACTATACAAGGAGTGCTTGGTGGATTGTACTATGGAGTAGGTATGTGTCAATTGTCTTACATATACAGGACGATTTTCTTCATGCCGGGGAGAATTCAGAAAAGCGGCAACCATGCAATAGAGCCCCATACAGGTTACTCGACCTAATACCTGTTTCACACTGACAATAAATCCATAAATTTCTTCAAGAATTAAGTTCTTGGGCAAATTTCAAAAGTATAAAACAGGAATTTGACGTCAATTAAATCCATCAAGATATTCGTGGATTTCTTCACGAAATTGGAACTTATTCTAATTTTTGCCAAGTTGGAGATCGAACTCCATGGCGCCAACGTTGTTTTCCTTTCCATTATACGAGGGTGGTTTCAAAAATAAGGTTCGCATATTTTTTCAGGCACAAGGAATTTTTATTTGAAAAAACGAATTCACCATTGAAAACGTTGATCTTTAAGCTATTTTCCTTCATAGTCCCCCGTTTTCCTACGCGTTTTTTTAATCTACTTTCGCACTCCCGCCTCAAGTAAGTCCGCCTTATTTTTGAAAAAAACCTCGTACAAAGACGTTTTTGTTTTGTTTTTTTAAAATATTGTAATGCAAGACTTGTCTCCCGTTGTTACATGAAAATAAATCTTTCTACACGTATGTAATTTGGGGCGCTGAAATCGAAAAAATCTTCGTGTCAAATTGACGTCGATGTCTGATGATACTTGAGCTTTAATTAGTAGCAACTTACTTCAAAGTGTCTGTTTTCAGGAAAAGGCATTGGCAGTCTAGTTGGGGGTTATCTCATACATCCTATAGGAATCCGACACACCTTCCAGCTTTTCGCAGGCACAACTCTAGTCATAGGGATCGTATACTTTTGTTTTTATCACTTATACATGAAGCAACATCCATCTCAGGGCACTGATATAACAAAAAAAGACGTCAAACAGTCCCCGGAAACAGAGGAAAAAACAATAGAACCTATAACGTACGAAGACGCTATGTGCAATCCTGCCTATGAAACGACTGAAGTTGAAGATGATATAGTTGAAGAAAATTCTTCAGCTGACGATTAGAAAGTGAAATCTCAACCAAGTGTTTGATTTCAAACAATTTTGGAGTTCCTTTTGTTTGGTAAAAGACTCGTACTCGGAGACTTACGGGTATAATTCTTTAGCTTGCCCAAAAATGTGTACAAGGAGGGGTCTCCAGGACTTGTGGTGGCAGATATTTCTCGAACTATGATTTAGTAACTGATATTTCTAAATCACGACTGCTACCAAATACCGTGAAAAACGTAACGATATCACGACTTCGGGAACTGAAGGTTGATTCAAGCGAATGACCGGCGATAATTGCCAATTTACCAATACTGTTTAAGCGAATTTGGTCATTAATCTGTCATAAAGTAGCCGGTATACATCATCGTTTGATAATTGTCCGCGGTAGTTACATAGCCCGAGGGTTGTTTTAATCTCCTCCACATGCAGCTTGTCATTTGTCATCACCTAAAAACCCAAAATAAAAATGAAATGATCTATGGTCGGAGTTCTACTTTGTTTAGTGTTTACATGTTTTAATATTAGAAATCGAAGATTTTGGAATTATTTGGTGTATTTTTGTGGATGTGGGGTAAATTTGTTTAAAGCTACTGGGACATTCTACTAATTTTTTGAGCCATTTAATGTTTTTGCATAACTATTCTCCATCGACGACAAAAATATCTTTAGATATTGTGTCGTCTTGTCAGCAGAAGCATCTGCTTTTCCCATTTTTTTTTGAAATACAACAAAACATTCCTGACAACTTATAAGCCCAAGAGAAACATTTTGACAGCAGTGACATATGACAGAACGGGCCAACCGATTTTAAACGTATCCGAGCTAGGGCACAACCTGGGTATTCACCAATCGTTCCCTTGAATCAATTTTAAGTGATTCACCACAATGGCGGACATCATGGGATCACTGCGAATGTGCGTGAGATGCGCATAAGCGCTGGCCGCTAAGGTTAGGAATCGTATACCTCTGTAAGACTACTGTAACCTTCAAGCGATATCGCGCCTTATAGGTTTCGTTAGTGGCCTCCGTGCAATTCCATCGCGTCATTGTGCTCAGGTTTGCCAAATTGGGGGATTTTCCCACAAATTTGGGGGATTTTATGTCCATTGGGGAATTTTAAGGGGCATAAAATGTTCTGAGGGAAAAACAAAATTGTTGGATATTTTTGGGGTATTTTTATCCATCTTTATCTTCGAAAAACTGCCAACTGCTAATGCCAATTTTATCTTTCTGTAGCTTTCTTTCCCCATGTCGCACACATCTCCACAAAACATTCACCCATCTCTACACCTTTATGTCAATTGTAGGTTGGTAGACATGCATGGGAGATTTTTTAGAAAAAGGTGCAAATCTGGGGACTTTTGTGCTTGTTTTGGAGGAATTTTGTTTGATCCACCTGGCAACGCTGTGCTCAGGATATCAGTATACCCGTGATCTCATCTTTATTTGAAAGTCGTGATCCCGTCACGGATCATCTATCACAGAAATTTGAAAATAACGGTATCGGATCGGCAATCTCTACCCAGAACCGGAACATGGATATCGTCCAAGAAAATCCTATGGGCAGGTCTTGATCTCCCGACTTAATGCCTTAACAGCATTTTGTCCAATGCGTTTCAGTTCAAGAAAAATTGGCCAATAAAGAGCGTCATAGTGTGATTTAATCTCGTTTAAAAATACCTGAGATGAGCGGTTATTGATAAAAAACTGGTTATTGCACCAATAATTTGAACCGGCACAACCAAATTCAATCGGTGATTGGCCATGTTTACACCGTAGCTAGCCAAGCGCCTAGCTAGCGCATAGTACACAGCTGTAAACGTATAGAGAGCATTTATGTAAACACTTACGACTTCATACTGCTTGATAAATCAATCCAGGTTCTAGAATAATTGTGAATTTCTCTCGAACTAAACAGCATTGAACAAAATGTGGTTAAGGCATGTAATGAGAGGTCAAACTTTTTCTAAGCGAAAGCCGTATTCCGGTCCTAGACATCCCTTCTTGTAAGACAATTGCCTCAGATCCAATGTATTCTGAGATACAAAGTCTTAAACAATGACCTATAGGTACATTTTTATATTAAATGCGTCTTTTTGACCTTCTTATGTTTAGATGCTGACTTTTGGGGCCGATTGAATGATTATTTTTTGAAGCTTCCTTAAGGTGAGAACGCCTTATTTATCTTTTCTTTCTGTTGAGAGTGACAGGAAGGTTGTCTAATACAAAAATAAACATTTTTTATACCCACTGGTTTATGAAACAAAGGGGTTTTCCAAGTTATATTAACCACCCTTACAACCGTAATACCATTGCCATACCCTGTTTAAACCTGGTATTTACTCTGCATCAAAACAAACATGATGATGATGATGATGATGAAATTTGAACATCTCCCACTGGTGTTTGTTCTGACAAGGAGTAAATGAGATTTGAATACAGTATAGATTATGCTATTGAAATACCGAAAGCTAGAATCTTTGAAGAGATGAACTTAATAAAATTGTTTGATAGAAGTAGGTAATGTTTGTAAAAGAGCCTGTGATCATTTGAGTATACTGGTCTAATGACCAATATAAGATAAATAAATTTATTTATATACCTAAATGATGTTTTATTTTACTGCTTAACATTTTTATACTGACCAAAGTGTTTTATTCGCTACTGTTGTGTAAAATCTGGGATGGATCAAGCCAAAATTTGAATATATAAAGGTAACTTGATATTCTCGAAAATGGCGGACCAGAATACTCATCTACCTTCTCTGGCCGTACAAGATCGCGGAACGCTTTCTGTCTGCGCCAGCCTTTAAGGAAATCTTTATTGGAAATCACAGAACATCCCATAAAACAATATGCCGTAATGTGTTTCACTTAACTTGTTTGACTATTTAAGTATTTAATGATAGATGACGATGACAGCAGCAGTTGTATGTGCAGCCATCTATACAATTAACTGTAAATCATCAAGTGAATTAGTACAGATTCCTGTACGTTGTAGAGTACTTATATATCGTTTGACTACTTGTTAATAGATGGCAGTAAGTGACTTAATTATGCTTCCATCTTTGAGACACTAGTTTAATTAACAATTAGTGGAGTATTCGTTGAAAATTTGCTGTATATATATAGATGGTACATGCAGTTTCCTATATGATCTAGTCCTATAATCTTATTGCTTATGGAAATCTTTATTGAAAATTACAAGCAGCTCATTAAACAATATGACATAATGTTTCGCTTGAACTGTTCGACTATTTGATATAAGATGCAGCAGCAGCATTTATGTTCTGCCATCTATCCAACTAATTGTCAATTATCAGGTAATTTAGTACACCTTTCTGTACATTACAGAGTGTTAATATATCGCTTAACTATGTTAATGTAGATGGCAGTAAGAAATTTGATTATACTACCATCTTTGGGATACTAGTTTAATTAACAGTAAGTGAAGTATTGGAAACTCTCTGGATATAGATGGTACATGCAGTTTCCTATACGATCGGAAGAAAGAGTAGAGTTCCTGAGTTTTTCACTTTTAAAAAAAAATTTGATAGGATGCGCTGGCGAAATAACGACGTTCAGCGTGGAAGTAAGCGGCGCCGGTGGAAATAGCGAACAATGCATTCTAGAGCAAAGCTCAACAAAAATACAGGGCCGATAACAGCCTATTGATTTTTCAAAACGTTCGTTGAACCAATCACAGGGATAGGATTATTTTTAAAGGGTGAGGTTGTTTAGAAAGATAGTGCGGGCGGAAAGAAGTAATGTGTGTGTAGTTTTCGAAAATTGTGACGAGCCGAGGCTCGGAAAATACGATATGCAGGTGGCAACGCTTTTCCGCGAGTCCTCCACATTACTGGGAGCGACCATGGAGGCGGGCGGCACCGGGAATGGCCAGGATTCGGGCATCTCCAGTCTCGGCCCTGGACCATTGTCATACGACACCTATAGCCACCCTTCAGTCACCTTTTCCAACAAATATAAGCTGTAAGTAGCTGCTCGCGAGCTGCTGCCTCTTCCCACCATACGCACCGCATGTAAACAGTTTTTTTTTTATTCGCTCAACCCACCGCCGAATGTTTTCATTTTTGCTAAACCTGCCAAACCAGTTTGTAGTCGAGCGACATTACCGCTTAAATGCTCGTTTTATCGCTTGATGAGCGGTTGGTACTCGCTACCACGCATATTTCCTTTTTGGGATGCTGCTGTTGATATTTTCCTTTCCAATTTTCATCGTCGGGAATCAGAGGCGTGAACTTATTCACGCCTTGCCCATGCTTACCTAACATTTTGGAGACCACTGATTATTTTAAACATTCTACATTTATTGCATTTTGTGTTGCCTATCAACCATACTCGCTATGCGATCGTTTGCAATCCCTTCATCCTTGAATCCGTTTTTGACACATCCTTTTTGCAATACCATCTTTCCACACAATTTCGATTATTTTCATCGTTTTATTTGAATGTTCAATAATGTCCTTTTTCCTGTTCAGTAACATGAAATTGGAGCCCCACGATGATGGTTATGAAACAAGTGCTGATATGCTGATGGGCACTGCCAATGTTCCTCACAATCATGATGTTAAATGTGAAGTAAAATGCGAAGATCCATATAGTTTCATTGACGATGATCCGATCCCAATGCTACCTGCAGCTCCAGGGCCCCTACACCTCATGCACCCCATGCCCCAGATGAACAACCCACAGCTTATCTCGGGACCCAAAAAGAGAGGTAGAAAAAAGAAAATCAAACCAGAACAGTGAGTAAACACACTTTTTATTCCATATTTATCATAAAACTTTGTGCTCTACTGATGTAAACATCTCATTCTAATGTGGCATTGATAAAAGAAATTAATTTATTTGAAACGTATTCCCTGGGCATCCCTGTGTATCATGTGATGCTTGATTCATTCCTTATGACTGTATTGTTATTGTCACTTCAGGCACGTGGAGCAAAATAGCTTCATAATTTTTTGTATCAGTAAACTGTTTACATAGCAATATAATGAATGTTACTATAGCATTGCAATGGCATATACAGCGTGGTTAAAACACAAACAATATTTCTTAAGCCGATAGTATGTCCAAAAATAAGTTAAAAACAATATTTCCTTAATGTTGGAACTTTTCTTTACACAGTCTATAATTCATGTAATCAAAAGCAAATTTCCTAGTAACACATATCAAAGCTTTACGATAACAGAGCTGTTAAGTTCCAATAAAATTTGAAATTGTTGCATGGTGTGTAGGTTAACTTAGCCGTTTATTTACAAGTGGATTGGAAAAATTCGAAATCAGAATATTCTAATAGCAATAATGAAGTTAATGGATTTGATATTGGTTTACAATGAGTGTGGCAATTCAAGATTCTACTGATACTTTGTAAGTGTATTTATATAGTTTTCCTGCATGAGCGGCATACATTGTTGGCTGTCAAGGTAGACACAGTAGAAGACCTAGATAGTCCCAAATGTTGGTAATTTGGGGAGGACAAGAAACTTCTGTTTCCGAATAGAATGGTGACAACTTCATCAGAAATTGCAAGTGAAACTTATGAGAGAGTAGACTTGAAAACTCATTCACTTTGACATTTCAGATATTGCATATGTTTCTAAAGCCACAACTTTAAGAACACCCTGTATATGTCCTAAAATGATCTATACTAGTAGCACAGAGTATTATACATACAAAAATCAGATTCAATCAACCCCAACTTGAGTCGTTTGCATTTGGTGGAATTCGTGTTGCTATGACATTTAGGATTTAGGGGCTATGAAAAACATTGAGTTTTATCAATACTATGTATAAATATATAAATAGCTTTTCAAGAAATAATAATTATTATCTTGCCAAAATGCATGTGGGTAAATGAACACAAATAAATTTCTTGATTATGTACAGATGTAAGCCTGGCCTGGCTACCTTCGATCTTTTTACTGACTCATAGTATCAACACTGTACTGCTCCATAAGCCATCTACTGGTATTAGATTATTGAATAAGATAGCTCCAGTGATGTGATGTACCTATGTTGATCTTGCATCGATCTAGACTGTTCCATTACCAAGATACCAAAGTGTTGTAAATTTTAACCTTAGTGATGAAACTGAATAAGAATAAACATGAATATTGTTGAAAAAATGTTATTGAAAATGATTTTCTTGTTACTCCTCTAGAGGTCAAAATGTTTCTATGCTACTGGTGTAGTTTGATCCATGAAAAAATGTTTGTGTATTGGTCAGTTCATACTACATGTACAAAATTTCAATCTTTCCTGATTTCGAAATTTGATCTGACAATGCAGAAACCTCATTAGTCCACTAATTTTAATTTTTTATGAGACAATAAAAACTGTGTCACTGACCAGTTTTATAGTATTTTTTGGGCTTAATGCAGTATTTGACAAATCCTTCACAGTTTATTAATAATAATGATGGAAAAATCCTGAAAAACTGTTATAGACATTGTTTTAGCAGGAAATTATTATTATTAGCACGACAACAGTAGGCGGAAAAGTCTGATGACACTGCTGTGTAAAGTATTTTTTTTATGCTGGATAATGCACCAAACATGCAGCCCTGTCTTCTACTTGCTCATCCAGCTTATTCTTGAATAAATTAACAGTTGTTCAACCTTCTGTTTCTTCACTAAGAGAGTTCCACAAGTATACTACACAATTTCTTCTTATCAAGTTGAATGTTCTATCTGTGCCTAATTTTTGGGTATTGGAAATAGGGTTAGTAGTTTATAACTGAAGCAAAAGAGTCATATTAATAATATTGTCCATCGCTTATTATTGAAAACCACAACTAAATATTGACTTCTTACCATAACTCGTTTTAAATTTGCATGTTTCAATACTCTTGAGTTACATACAAACCCTGGAAATTTCTATTTCACATCTAAACCATTAATCGAACATAATGAAAAAATAGATAGACTTATTCCTTTAACTTTCTTCAATAATCGGCAATCGGTTATACGAGGGATGTCTTTTAAGTTTTCAGAGAAATATAAAAGAGTGAATGCAATGTGATTTAATTTAAACTGCTATAGTAGCTGCATTGACTCTTTTTATGAAAAACATATACTAGGTGATACCGTATATATAAAATTAGCTATGCAAATACCACAAATATGCACTTGCTTGCTAGAGGCGGTTAGCATTGACCAAAAAAATCATCCAGATCACACAAGTGATTATGGTAAAAATATGTTGCAACTTTGGTTATTTTCCTGGTGCGTTAGTTTCAGAAGGGTTTAGAAAAGGTTATGAGCTCATAATTTGCACATCGCAGCTCCTTGATTCACACAAGTCGTGTCTTGCATTAAAACCGACGAATTACATGACGGAGTAAATTAAGACTTGAAGAATCCAGGTACTAAAGTCGGTCGAGTACCAGATACAAACCATGCACTTCTACTTTATAATATAATATGAAAATATGTATGTTTTGGATTGCTGTTTTTCTATTTTTTTTTTGTACATTTTAACTTCAAATCTGGTTCATTGTCATTCATTCATCTCAGTTTTAACAAAGGTTACTATTATCTTGATAATAATTGTATATTGAGCCTCCTAATCAAATTAAGGTAAGTGTGTGATGTCATCAATACCAAATAACGCGCCTGAGTCTTACAAATACCCCTTTTGCTCTTTTTCACATAAAATTAAATATTACTTGTTTATTCATATTTTTCTCAAAATCGACGGGTTTTATAATTTCACTGGCTATCCTCTATCAGTCTTTATGCATATGTGGCATGAAAGAAATTAAAACGGATATTATGGACAACTCTATACTGTATTAGTAAACTGAAGCCATTCAACTTTCTAATTCTAGATAGATGTAAGTATTTTACTAATGAAGATGTTTTACAGTACAAGAAAATTATATAAATGTTGAAGGTAGAAGAAAATAAAGCTACTAAGTTATGACGTAAAGTGGAGTGTTGAAATTGAAAATTTGTAGTGAAGGATCATACCTCATTCTGGAGCTTAGATTGAGCAACTGTCTGATTTTATTCCAAAGCGACATCAGTCGACGCAAACTTAGATTGTCTGCAGTCATCTCTGCTTAATCATGTTTCCCTCTATGCCCTGTCATCCAGGGTGGTATTGATCTGACTTCTGCTAATTTCCAGCATCAGATCAGGACCAATGATACAATGCAAGAGCCCTTGGCCCCTAGTTTTGACATGTGATCCACTTTCTACTTAATGGTACAACAATAATCAATATTTTCTATGAATTATAAAAATTATATTTTAAATGTTCTCTTTACCTGGTACACCACTGTACCCAGGCATCCATGTCTCTCGACGGCAAAACCCCATCTATCACCAGAATCGACCACTGCGAGAGGTATAGCATCTATCGGTTGGAACTATAAAGATCTCAGTTCGTGTTTGATAGCCCAGTCACCACTGTGACCGCTAGAGGCTGACGATTCTGGCGGTATAGTAGATGTGGTTTACTCGCTATTGAACAAAATAAACATGCTGCTTTTGTCCGTCCGATTTTGGGTAGCTGTTTCGTGCTTTATGTCAACTGATCAGCATGATCTAGGCTTCGTGTCTGGGACAACGAACTAATGCATGATACTATAACTCGAGAAGATAGGCGCATTCCGCGATTGAATTTCTTACGCCGTTACGCATGATGTCACTCGGTGACAACTGTTCCGCTATATATGGTATTAGAGCGTTTTCTATTCAATATGCTTAATATTTTTTGTGATATCTATTATACATGATCATTTTAGTACTACATAGAATGTTTTATTTATATTTTGATGTTTATGTCGATAAAATTTAGTGAAGTATCTATATCATTATAGCAGGAATTATTTATCTTTATGAAGTTGTCACTTTCGAAAAATGAACAATAGGCGATTTTCAAGGTTCTGAGTAGTTCATGATTTAATCATTTTAAAGGCTCCTATAGCTTTTCAAACTAAAATCTCTTTAGTTCTCCAAATAAGGAGAATTTTTTCCTTTGAAACAAATTGATTTTAAATAATACCTTTGTGCATCAGGGTGCGTCATCTATTACTTTTTTTCTATTTGAAAAATCAACACGCTTTTTACGAGGTGAAATCGAATTTTTTTATTGATAAATGAAGGTTGGTTTTATGCCTTTTATGTATGAAAAATAACATCAGTCATGTGACCACCGCGGCTTCGCTTACAGGCCAACATCCGAACATACAAATTTTCAATTACTTTTCCCAGAATATTCGGGCCGCAATTTCAGTCCGAATATTGCGCTTTAGGTCTTGAATTGTCCGGGGACCATTCGCATACACTTTTCCTTTCAAAAATCCCCAAAGAAAATAGTCAAGAGGTGTTAAATCGCACGATCTCGGGAGCCAACTGACATCGGAATTTCGTGAAATTATGCGGTCTTGAAATTTCGTGTGTAATAAGGCGATTGTTTGGCGAGATGTGTGAGCCTTTGCTCCGTCTTGATGAAATCAAAGATCGTCGGCACCAATACGATCCAATTGTGGCCGCAAAAAGTCTGTTAACATGCCGCGATAACGTTCCCTGTTGACGGTAATTGCCTTTTCTTCGACATCTTCAAAGAAGAATGGTCTAACGATACCACCAGCCCATAATCCGCACCAAAGAGTCACTTTTTCAGAATGGAGAGGTTGTTCATGATATTGGTGTGGATTTTCAGAATCTGGAATTTTGCTTATTTACGTAGCCTCATCAGAAAAGATCACTTTGGCCGAAAATCCGTCTTCTCTTTCCAGCATTGTGTTAGTTGGATTTTGTATGGATGGAGGTGTAAATCAATGTGTAAAATCCGGCGTAAAGTGGTCTCACTAATTCCCAATTGTTGCGAACGGTGCCTAGTCGAGGTGGTTGGATCTTCTCTCAAACTTTCACGCACTGCGGCTATGTTTTGACGAGTACCAGCTGGGCGAGCATGTTGGTATAGTCTACGATCTTCAGCTGAACCAGTTTCCTCAAAACAATTAACAATCCAACGAATTCCAGGCTCTGTAGGGCATCCATGTCGGCCAAAACTAGTACGAAGTTTGCGAAAAGTATTTTCTATATTTCGAGCGTTTTCGTAGTAAGTTTGGATAACCAAAATGCGTTGTTGTGTTGTAAATGAATCCATGACTATAAATGGCATACCTTTGTCAGTTCATTTATGCTTACCACATGACTTTTGACTCACATAAACTTATAGGTAAAAAAAACTAATAGATGGCGCACTCAGTATATTGATTTGTTGTATTAACTTGTCATACAGAAAAACAATAGAGATATAGTCGAAATCACGAAAGATGACGATTACGTCATCATTTTAGTCTGCAGTAAAGACAAACGACAGCGATTTGTGAATATTTTTAATGAAGATTCAGATATGTTAGACAGAGACAAACAGAATTTTATTGTCTAAACAAACTGTATTGCTAATTTGCATCTGTCCGACAAAGATAGACGATGTTTTCATGTTGCATGATCGATCGTATTTGAAAGACGAATAGTTAGGTTACGTTAAAGCAGGTTAGGTTGTTTTCTAATAATACTTTGGTCTTTGGTGTTCCTGTCTCAAGGTATTCTACTCATAACTGTTTTTTTTTTTCAAAACACCCACTAAAATTATTATTAAGGCATCACTCAAAACCATGAAATAAAATGAAAATAAAAATAATCAGTTAAATAAGCTAACTTCGCAAAATCATAATATAAATTTGTTCTCATTATGTTCCTGACATCGTGATTTTATCATTGACGTACCTGCATTGATTACTTTAGTACAAATTATGGTATGACGTAATAGTCATCTTTCGTGTTTTGACTATACTGTATATCAGACATCTTTTTTTTTGTTGATGCTTAAACAACCCACCATCTCACAAGACACAATTCTTGAATATTTAATTCACTGTTTTTAGTTATAGTTTACATAACAAATAACAAACTCATGGAACGAATCACAAGTTACGTGCTAAAGCGCAGGGATGCCGGCGACTCACTTTTTTCGTTCTCGCTGCACATATTTTAGTTTATGAACATTTTTGAAGAAGCAGCGCTCGTACTCTCAAGCCCCACGAAATTTAATGAAGTGATGTTTTTATAAAAAATAACTATGACAAAAGTTGTTCCTATGCAGGGTTCTCCCAAAGCTGAGCCAATATGTATTACATGAGAAATTATTAGGATTAGTTGAAATCTACATTGAATTTTAATCCCGCTTTGCTCTAAACACTCCATATATCTGCACTAGGGATTTCAAATTTGGTAAGCAATACAATCCAACATCGTTTAGGTAACTAGTAAAATGTTACTTAGATAGTTTTTAAAGAGACGGAAAATACGAATTTACCCTGAACCGTTTTCATTTTCAGTGGCACTTTTTACAAGCCGTGTATAAGTAACTGTTTGTATGTTAGTTCGTTAGTATGCACAAATACTGAAATTGAACTTTTAACTAACCAACCTTAACCAATCGAGCTGAAATTTTGTATGTCTGTTTGGTTCGTGTGACAATACGTAATGAATTAACTGTCGCCATATTCAATGTGATATGGCGTATGCTATAAATATAATGGTGATTTATCATTTTCATAGTATATAATATGGGTATCAAATGAAAGGGCTTGATGAGAGAAATACAATAAGCAAACTGACGTCATTCTAAATTCAATATGACAGACGCCGCAAAATATCGATTTATAATTTTCATAGTCTCCCCATATTATGGATATCAAATGAAATGGATTGATGAAACACAATAAATAAAGTGACGTCATTCTAATCGTATATCGCGGACGTTTAAAATGACAATTGACAATGCAATATTATTATGACATGAAGATGATCTGACGATGAAGCCAGGAAGTGGCCATGGGAACCCATTGAATAGAGCCTCCCTTGATTCCTAATGACACGTACACATGGTCTGATGATTAGGTCAGTCAACAATTGTGTAAAAAGTACTCATCTATAATAACTAAGTAGGTTCAATCAATTTTGTAAGAATACTTAATAGATATAAGTGCGTCTCCCGCATTTACAAGAATGTGTTATATTTTTATGTTTCTTTTATGCATCGTATGCATTTCATCTTAAAATATGCATACATATGAGTAATTATTTTTACTCACGTCAATCTAACAGTAACAAATACCTTATATAGGTTATTCTCTTTTTTCAAACCCTTGTAAAGCGCCATCTAAATCTGAACGTTTGTCATCCGTCACTGGGGAATGTTGTCACCGAGTGACGTCACCTCTATCGAAGGCATGAGATCTATCGAAATAAGATAGGACAAAGCGCCATCTATTACCAGAATCGACCAGTGCGGGAGTGTATATTACTAAGTCTAGTCCATGGTGATGAGTTGCCAAAAAGAACGAAACAGCTGTCCATGGTCGCATGTGCTGCCAGAGCTGATCTTATCTTTGAAAATGCTATCGCCTTCAAAGTCGTCTGGTTATCCGAGTATACATAGATGCTACTTCCTGTTCATTGTAAAAAAGTTTCAATTCTTCTCACTAATCTGGGCGGTGGTTTTATACGAAAATGATAATTTTGCATACAGTCTCCATACTTTTTATGAATCTTAAATAAATAGGTTATATTTAAATAGAGATATCCATAGGAAACTGTATAAAATTTCCTGTCCGCCACCCATATTTATCTAAAAATAAACATCCCACAAATAAAACAGTTAGATCAAGGAAATTATACGAGAATTCAGAATGTGACCTTAGGAATCCATAAAAATGAATTTTTCCAATTTAAGGCCTGAGTTCAGCCAAGATTTGACTGCAGGAGTACCACGGCCTATAAAAGAACGCAAGAAACATGATCGATTTAATGGCATGCCAGAAGAAGAGGTCTCGAAACGAACTCTACCGGATCATCTCACAGAAAATTTAGATATTATCATAGTAAGCCTGAACCTAACAAATTTTCCCAAAAAGCTTTGGTAACATTTGTTTTGACATTTTTATTTATTTCACTATACTGTTTCGTAAAAATACCTCCTGCTTCTCGGACGCTGATATCGTGAGTCAAACATACTTGCGGAGAGTTTTTTGGAAGCTATTAGTAGGCACCTAACTGATTAGCTTTTCGTACCACATGAGGGTGATTACACGATTTAGTTTACTATGAAAAAAGAATTTTCAGCTTGAAATTCAAGTTTTTTTCTAAGCTCTTACCCAGCGAACCCTGACTTAGAGATAAAAAATTGACAATATTGCAGAGTTTCTAAAATCCGATGTTTTATCATTTAAATATCTCGAAAGATGAATTATAATTTTGCCAAAATTAATTATTATTCGAGATATAAGAGCATTGCTACAGGAGATATTTGTTTACGAAACTTTTTGTTCTTGTGTATCTGATTCGTCTTGGCTCAGAAGATTTTAGAAAAAAAACATTTTTCAGATTGGCATAAATCCAGGTCTCTTTGCGGCCTACAAAGGACATCATTATGCAGGGCCTGGAAACCATTTCTGGAAATGTCTGTATTTGTCAGGTAAATACAAAATTTCCAATTTCGTCTCCCGTTGCTACCCATGGCCATCAAAACTCGTCAAGTGTCGTAGGGCAGAAATTGAGGTAGAAAATGGGCCGCGTTTGACGCCTATGTGGGCTCTAGCGTCAAAGTGATTTCGGAATCAACATATTCGATTCACCCAGGAAAGAGTCTTTGTCCAGATCACACATACGCGGTCTGTAAATTAAGTAATGAGACTGATTGTTTTTATTTTATTCTGCTATAATTACAATTTTATATTGTCACCCTCAAAATAACTTCCTTCTGAAGCCACAGTACACTGGAGACAGTTTTTCCACCCCTCATAGCAGTGCTTGAACTCTGATACTGAAATAACCTTCAGCTGGTCGGTTACAGCCGTTTGAATGTTTTCGACTGACACAAAATGTGATTTTTCAACTTCGGGCCTGCTGAAGTTTAGCAAGCGTTTCTGTTGCACTCTGCCCAAGTCTGAAGGCAAGCCTGATGGCACACCGTTGCTCAAAATTGATGTCATTCATTTTTAGAACAATAGGAAAAACTGTTTCGCAAAAATAAATCGCTACAGACAACCAAATGACTTCAGCGAGTTCAAACTTGTACTGAAGGCGGATCACATGTTCCACTGTCTCCCCACCAAGCCTGGCGACTCCAGTATTACCAGATTGAACGATACGCCCCAGTCTCATTGTTTTGTTCGTCGGAAACTTCAAAATATCAGAGCTTCGAAAACAACCACTTGACCTCTCGTTATTACAAGCGAATTAAATGTGTCACACTTATCTTGAAGAGTCGTTGGGTCGAATTTGAGGTAAAAAAAATGTGTCGCTTGGGACTTTTTGTGGGTCGTAGCGTCAAATTCGGAATGTATGCCCCTAATTTGCCCAGAAAATGAGTTATGGTCTAAATTGAAGAAACTCCGGAGTTTTGGAAAATTCAAACTTCAAATTCTCTATCCTAACACGTGAAACTTATCCTGTGGTTTTCATCCTGATGTTCGTCCGGTCGCTGAATTAAACCACCTATGCTTGAAATACTGTTTACTAATGACGTTTCGACTAGCACGGTGTCCTTTTTCAATTACACATGACAATTCTGATGACAATATATTTCTGTTTTATTATTTCGTTTGTTTTTCCTTTTCACATTCCAATAGATTGTTTCTATCATGGATGCCCGAGCTCTACTAAAGAGCCGTTCATTTCGGCTGGTCGGAGTTCAGATCAATAGCAGCAGCTGCTGGGAAAAAGCTGGGCTACTTATTTAGGGCTAAGAATTACTTTTCTCCACGTGACCTCCTCACTCTGTACAAGGCTCAGACAAGACCGAGACTGCTCTTATTTGGGGGTGCTGCCGCCCCGACTACATTGCCCATGCTCGATGCTGTCCGACTGATCGATGACTATTATCTAACGGACAGTCTCGGGACCCTTTCGCACCGGCGGGCCGTTTGCGCTACGCCAGTGGGCTTTGCTCCTGGCTGATACGACCGCTCCTTTGTCCCTAGGGTGCCGAGGTTGTGGTACAATCTACAACAGGAGGCTTTTCCCGGTTTTACTAACCTTAGGCAGTTCAAAAATCGGATTAACAAAGTTCCGTTAAACTCATTCCAGCAGCTGCGGTGCCCTGGCTTTTGGGCTGCTTTGGTGTAAAAAAGTCTGACGATTCTGTAATATGCCGCTCCCAAAAGGACGTCCAGCTCTCCACAAACGAGCATGTGGTTATCTATCGTTTTCTAATTTACCTGACACGTCACCCTCGTCCATCGTCCCGAAAACTCCAAAACTCTTCCGAACACACTTACCCAGAACAACATTCGACTACAACTGCTGCAGTTGCCACCGTGCATATGTGGTTTCATTTAGTGCCCATAAAAACATGAAATAATATTCCCTGCTTTGTTGTAAATTTTAACATTGACATGATTTTTAGGTTTGACACCACAACAAATGTCGGCAGACGAAGACTATAAGTTACTGCAAGTAGGAATAGGGTTTACCAACATGGTGCAGCGTGCTACCAAGGGTAGCGCTGACTTGACTCGGAAGGAGATAAAGGAAGGTAGTCAAATTCTGTTAGAGAAATTAAAGAAATTTAGACCTAAGATAGCTGTATTTAATGGGAAATTGATATATGAAGTTTTTTCTGGGAAGAAGGATTTCAAGTTTGGCAGACAACCAGACGTCGTTGAAGGTACTAATACAGTAAGTATCATGCTTTTGCTATAGTCATGTTGTATGTCTTGTGTTTGGCTGTCTTCTTATTATTGGTCACTCTTGCGATTACTCGGGAATGTCTGCCATTAATCAACACCACCATCAGATGATCATTTTCTTTTTTTTTAACTAAAAGATTATCTAGTTTTACTAGATTACAAAACAAATTAAAAATGGTTTTCATGAAAGTTCCACAAATCATATCTACATAACTAAGCTAGTTTTTTTTCTTTTCGTTTATATGGAGTCTTCCGCGACGATTTGACAATTCATATGGTTATGGAAACTGCTAGGATTACTTTTTTGAAACATTCAAGCAAATATTGCGCGAGTCGCTTTGTTAAGTAATAATTTAGTCGTTTGCAATGTTTTAAAGCAACACTTGAGATAATATTTATATGAGATATGTGTGCCATACTGCAAATTTTATATATCTATTTTTTGGGCGTACATATACCTCAAAATTCAAACAGGGTGCTCATTTTTTCAGTCAAGCCAGTAGGCCAGGAAAGTTCTGTAATCGCGAATAAACTTCAAATGGAAGAATAATTTTCATATATTAGGTACATTTTTGTGGCGTTCGTCAGGAAATCCTTGCCCCTCTGTTACAGACAGAAAAATATTTATAGTTTTTGTTAATCGGTCCTGTTGCGATAGAGCAATTTCAAAAAAAATCCCAAGTAATCGTTGGTCCTTCTATAACTTGGAAAGTCACTGAATTTTGAAGAAATTTTGAAAGGCCTGTCATGGTACCAAAAAATCTATAACTGCCTCAAACTTGACTATCTTTTTTTTCGTTTCTGATGATTTTGAACGCAATCAGAAATGTCCTTAGAGGAGTCAAGATGCAAAATGAAGTCAAAATGTGTTGATATATTTTAAGACGTAGTCAAGAGTTCATTTGAAGGATTCAAAGATTGCAAAATTCCGACAGGGTTGACGTTTTTGATGAGCTGATGAAGTACTGACTCAATCTGACACATTTTTTTTTTTCAGCATATGTGGGTGATGCCATCGTCCAGTGCTCGGTGCGCTCAGTTGCCCCGGGCTGCTGACAAGGTTCCCTTCTACGCGGCTCTAAAGAAATTCAGAGATTATCTGAACGGACTTATCACAGAGATCGATGAAAACGAGATGGTATTCTCCGAACCGAGAGTGAAGTCATGTTATGAAGCAGAACCTAAGCCAGACCCCTTTTCCCCGGAATTAACAGATATCAGTAATGCTGTGATCCAAACTGAAGATAGTAGCATTATACCTTGCAAGAAAAAGCGAGGGAGACCAAAGAAAATTAAGGTATACATCATTTACTGATTTTATACAGCTTTGCATCAACCACTGGCGCACAATTTATTTCGTGTTTGTAGACATACAAAAAAATGGCGTCAAGTACATTGACTGTATACTTTGTTGGAAGTTTCAAAGATAAGAGAAAAAGCAAATGTATCATATTTCTCTTTACATGTCAAGTGTAGAGAAAATATGCAGCTTCTTAATAATAGAAGGTCTTTCAATGTCGCCAAATATGCGACAATTTACAACCGTTTACCGCATACAGCTTCCAGCCTACAATTTTCATCCCCTCCAAACATTGTTTGAAAATGAGCAGGAATCTCAGAAACGTTGTAACATTCCAGCGATTTTATTTACATTACATTACATTTAGGGATTATAAAATCCAGAAAAATATATGTGTAGTTATAAACAGTCAAGTCATCATTTACAAAAGTATCGCAGAACGCTGAAGTTAATATTCTTGCCAAATATATATAAATATTTTTCCTCTAGCGGTGGGTCTGTGACGAGAGCACCACAGATCGCAAGTTTAGCCTCCACGACGATGCAGCATCGCACGGTGCTTGCAACGCCAATGATTGCCAAGTTATTTCGGGCTTTTATCATTTGATTTTCACGTTGTTACCGGTATCAGAAGCTTCTTAATGATAGAATGTCTTTTACTAAGACTACAGACGTTACATTTACAACCCCCAATCCCCAAGTTTCAGCCTCTACAAAAAAATGTTCGTGATGTATATGACGTATAACATCTCAGAGACATAATGTCTTAATTTCGAAATTAATGGCGATTACAATACTTTTACGCTAGTTTTGGCATAAAGTAGTAAAAAAGCAATACTAAAAGGTAACAAATTCACTTAAAAACAAAAATCTAAAGCGAATACAAAGCAATTAAACAAATAGTCAACTATTATGAAACGAAGTCTGTAAAAACATTATTTAAAAACTCATCTATGCTGTAAAAGGCACTCATAGCTAAATATTTTTCGCAGTTTGTTTAAAAGTTGTTGGATTGAGGGTTTTACAAAACCTGGGCAGTATAAAGTATTTTACAATGAAGTAGTTACTTTCGCGTCTAGTTTTTGCCAGTATTGTGTGTTCTGGTATTAATTCATTATTGAACCTTAGGTTATATTGGTGATTCTGTTTTGGAGTTCCGTAATCATCATAATTATTTTATCTTCCGGAATGGTTCGCGACTCATATCGACAAGGTAATGCGATAATGCGTAAAATGCCCTTTGAACTAACCCTATATATTGCTCAAGCTAGTAGTGATGTTTGGAAAACATTTGTTTTGGGATAAACAATTAGGAATTCTCAAAAACTACTTGACCAATCTACTCCAATATTGTTGTGGTTGTTTAGAAGTACGAATCCTACGAATGTTAAGAATTTCAAGTATATGCGAGAATTCCTTCGTCGCATTACCAAGTGCCAAAACGTGCAGTTTGCCTCGGTTTTTGGTCCTAACTTTTTTAATATTAGCCGGATCTTCTTAAGTGTGGTCTCATTTTGTAGGTCTACCTTAAAATCCTATATGAAGAGTTTTTTCGTTCCTGCCAACACTTTCGATTGAATCCAAAAAAACATGGTTCCTCATACTTGGTTGTCGAATAAAAAGTTTTTCCACAAAAATTGGTGTACCCATTTTATGCGTCCATCTTTTGAATACCTCCTTGAGCAACTTGTAGCAATAAAACTAGACTTTAAACTTATTTCGCAAACCAGGGGTATTTTCGTCTAACATGATTAGGCTAAAAAGTCTTTACTTGAAATTAAGGTGCACCAGCGGCGGAGATATATGGCATTAGTGACACTATTTTTCCAAATAAAAATAGTATGCTGTTTTTTTTCAAAACACGCATATTGTTCAAGATGAACTGGAAGTGATTAATTTGGCGTTGGCTGATCCTAGCACAAGTACTAGGTAGATTGCAGCCCAGTTACCATATTCCCGATGTCCTCCGTGGAGAATTTTAGATCAGGAAGTTTTAGATCGGCTAAATGTGCAGTGTCTGCAACCCGAGTGGTTCCTGCAAATGCATAATCAAAATGCAGATTTTATTGATCTGGTTTTGTGGTCAGATGAATCGCTTTTTACGAGGAGTGGAACCTCATAATGAACATATTTCGTCGTTATAAAATCCCCGTTCTGTGAGAATCCACATATTTTCGAGAAATGTCTGGTGCGGCATTTTCGATGGCCAACTACGTATGCACGTATTGCCATAACGTTTAAATGCAAACTCATACTTAGCTTTTCTAGAGAATGACCTAGAAAATGTGTTAGATGATGTTCCGTTAGCAACGATACGAATATGGTATCAGCATGATGTTGCTCCAGCGCATGTTCGTCGTGACATAACCGCATGGTTAACTAATCATTTTAGACAATGATGGATTGGCAGAAACGGACCCGTACATTGGCCTGCCAGGCCTTCTGATTCGAACCCCCTGGATTTCTTTTTGTGGGGCGCTTTTAAACAACTATTGTATGCTGAACAAATCAATACTGTTGATCAGTTACAAGAAAGAATAGATAATACGTTTCATCAAGTTCAAGCCACAACTAGTGTTGCGGAAATACGTTTTTCTTTATTATATTATTATATTGTATCCGTCAGAATGGTGGCCTTTTTGAATATTCATTGAAATAAAGCTTTATCTAATTTGTTTTTTTTTTATTTTTACGAAAACGCTGCACTCTAGGAACAAACAAGAGTAATTATTTGTATCAAATTGAAGGTAAAATTTGAAAAATTGCGCGTTTAGTAAAAAAAGTGGAGTACTATTTTTTATTTGGAAAAATATTGCCAGTAATCCCGTGTCTTCGCCACTGGTGCACGTTAATTTTAACTAAAAACTTTTGAATATGGACAATAGTTAGGTAAATCCACATACCAAATTTGATTCCAGTTGACTGTTTTGCAGATATTAAAAAAAATGGTTTTTATTTTTAAACTTCAACACCCCGTATCTTTTTCATGAAGCCCTCGAGGAAAAAATGTTAACATAGGAGACCCTCTTAAAATGTGGTCTTGTGTATGATGTTTCATTTTTGGTCACGACTTGTGAATCACCCTGTATATCCGAACAGAAAGTACCTTCAATACACGAGATAAATGTCCCCAAATGAGTATGCAATATTGTAAGTTAGATTGGAAGTTAGCATAATAGGCTAGTCGATTTTGCTAGGTCGATATTTTAACTCTGGATCATATAAGTTATTTTAGATACCTTCTTTAATAAAGTAGTGATGTGCCTTCGTATCAATAAACTCTGCAAGGAATTTAACGGGTTCTATCAAATTAGTTTTATTGAGTAATAGAGATTGAGTTTTTACTATGTTAAGAGACAAACTGTTGTCATTGAACCAAACTACAAGCAATTACCGACCTATTGATTCTTCCTTTTTTTTACAGGTTGATGGTGAGGAGCCCCCGCCGAAGCCAGTAGTTCGGAAGCCTCCAGCGCCTCAAAACAATAACTGTGATTTCCCAAAGAAGAAACGAGGTCGGCCTAAGAAAGTCAAGGTGGAGAACATGGAAATGAACCACCAGCCAGACAACACATCGACGAACATGTCCCAATGTTACTCGAACCCGTCACCCATTCAATCGCCGAATAATTTCTACCAAATGACCCCACCATCGAACTCTAACATGTACGCTCCACATCCTCCTCAACAACCGCCTCCTCAGACGTATTCCCAGTCTCCGCACCCTCCATACAGTCAGTCCCCTAGACCTCAGTACAGCCAATCCCCTAGACCACAGTACAGTCAGTCGCCCAGACCCCAGTACAGCCAGTCTCCTAGACCACAGTACAGCCAGTCGCCTAGACCACAGTATAATAACTCTCCGAGGCCGCAGTACAGTCAGTCTCCGAGACCTCATTCGCAACCATTTACTCATTCTGATCTCAGCTCAGAAATCAGCGCAGCGATTAGCTCTGAGCAGCTGGGCTCCCCAGCTTCTCCTATTGGTGCCCCAGATTTCGAGCCTTTGTCCAGCATGACCGAAGAAGCTGAGTGTAGGTTAGGCAGTCCTGCTCCTTCGACAAACAGCGAGCAGCCCCATAATCAGTATCAGTATCAATATGGGATGGAACCACCTCCTGCTCAGCAGCCGGAGCCTCAGTATGCTTCGCCAAGGCCAAACCAAGATATCGCTTCCAAAAGTCTCTCCGGATTGGAATCGCTGGTCGACCAAATCCCGAGTATAACAGAAGGAGAGGCTCCAATGCCAGATACCTCCGAGCAGTATCAGAATCAGTACAATAACTACAATGCGTCATCATCGAGAGCCAGTCCAGTACCGCCGTACAATTACCCGGGTAGCAACGGATACCCGATTTACCCGACACCTACTTGGAGCGGCCATTACGATCCCGTGCCGCTGGGGTATCCGCAAATACCCCCTGCGTATGCTCAAAACTACCATGGGTCTAGCTTACATATGCCCAGTCCCAACTACTCGTACTATAGTTACCCCCAAGCCACTACAGCCCACCCCCCAGGTTACCCCCCTTACTTGGGAGGATTCTGATTGGTTTCCGTCACTGTGTTTTCATGTTGTGTACCTGTACCATATGTTGAGCTAGTACCTAGCAAGTCTGTCCGCTTGAGTACAGTTGGTAACTTGTATACAGAAACAACAGAGACTTGCACAGGGTAAATGGTGATATTTTTTTGTCATAAGTATTTTTCTCTAATCTTTGAATGTTAGATAGGCCAAGGGTTTTGTGCATTATTCTGCATGCAGATCTCAGTCTAGTGTGCGTGTTATATGAGTGTGAGGTCCATAGTTCTAAGGTACCGTTCTGACCAAAAGCAACCCGACTTCAACTCGATTTCGTTTTGCGTTCCGACCGAAGCAAATGACCAATTATTAGAAGGCGAAATATAAAGATACCATTTATACCTTACATAAGTAAGGCATTTCTTAAAAAAATCTAGTCAGATCAATAAATCAGCGCAATATTAGTATTTTTATTACCAAGAGCAAAAACGTCAATACATATCGCATACGTATGCTATGAAGGGTCAGCAAGGTGGTCACGGACTCATTATTCTCACTTTTAGTTATTTTTTTATATAGATTACTCATTTTTGGACGTTTCCACAAAGACATATTAAATTATTAATGTTCAACCAATCATGTAAAACGCTTATAAAGTTCCGTTTAATAAGCATGCTGTTTAGTCGCCCCATCCACCCTCAAAAACCAATTTTACTAATTTTTTCTTCTGAAATACTGGTTTTTCTCATTTTATTTTGAGAGCTCAGACGTGTGGGCGAGGGAAAAGTAACGCTCGTACACTACTTATTTGCCTGTTACGCTAGTTGTATCAACTTTAGCGTTCCTGGGAGATTTTCAATTTTGATGCCCCATTAATACACTCCAAAGAACACAGAAACGATGGAAAAATACTTTTATTCATTTATCGAGCAACTACACATGGCGGTGCTAGCAACTGGTACGCGTTGCCGTCGAGTTGTGGTTGCTAGTTGCTTTCTGTGAGAACTGTTCCGAAGACACAACTGCCAAATCGCTCGAGCAAACAAGTGCAATATATTTTTTTTAAGTTTGTACTATTATTAACCTGTTCTCAGATATAGCTCAAAAGTGATGGTTTTTATCATAATTTTATCGTAACTCCTTAACCAAAGGTTCCATTACATTACTATGACGACATCTTAACTCAAACATAACTTTTGTTTAACAGGAGAAAGCTTTTTTTGGCCACTATCAGGCAGAAAAGCTCAACACAATTGCCCTGTCGGCCTTTCCTGTCCGAAGTGTGACATTCTTCAGAGGTGACATACTAAAATCCCTCATGTCAACCCATTTGCCATCGCTGACATGCCTGGCGAACTTGTCAGCAGTAAGCCTCTCGCCGAGCGTCAATTCGAGCCGTCTCTGGTAGTCAACCCATCTAACACATTAGAACAGAATTAGGAGTATCCTTCTCTTCGTCGAGGTAGATGTCAAAACAACCAAGTCCTGTGAGGAACTGCAATATAGTAATCTATCCGCACCGCTCCCTTAACAATCCAAGTTTTAATATCTAGGATCAACCTTCTGGTCCATGCAACATAGCCAGCTTCATCCCATCCCTCCTGCCATCTGACTAAACGCGCCTCTCGTCTCTTATAGGTTCGGCGCCCGTTTTGCAGAGCGCGCATCTGTCCTCGGCCAGCAAATCAATTGGCGGGATACCCAGCCCCCACCACCAGACCATCGGTCGACACCGTTCTGTAAGCGCATACCACGCGCAACACTTTTTTCAATGGCTTCTGAGCATTAGCTGTTATCATGTTTTTCATCGGGGTATTGTTATAAAGGGAGGTTTCGTACAGCATAATCGAGTTTTAGACTTTCACCTGGAAGACTGCTAGATATCTCATAAATTATACCTTTAACTGGTACATTATTAAATTCAAATAATTCAGTAAATACATTCACGACTCTGTTGTAATACATAGTGTGATGGCTCTCAGTGTGTTTACGGCTTTTAAGCGTTCAGCTGCCGTTTGTTCGGATTTTATTACAGGGAACAAGCTTTTCCTCAGACTTTGGGTAAAATCATTCATAGTGATAAGAGATTTTGTTTCTCTATGCTTCTGCAACCTCTCTTGTTGATATGGTCTCCGCTGTCCCGAGGCTTTGCCTTTATTCTTCTGATGGCCACTCCTACCAGAATCCTGCGCTTCTCACTACTGCGGCCTCCATCAGATGGCATTAGCCATATCAGAGCTGCGACAACTTTATTTACCTTGTCGCCAACTTATATGGCCGCAACAATACGCGGTATTTTTTGAATGAGAAGTCAATAAATATGGCAAAAAACTACTTTTGAACTAAAACGTATTTACAACAGGCTGTCGATAGGCTTAACGTCTTTCTCCATTATCGAAGTTTGATATAATAAGCTGCACTTGAACCATGGACTTATTGAGAGATAGCCTTATGCAATTTAGGCATGGAATTTTGAACCCATAGGAGCTTTTAATCAAGAATAAAACAACAAGATGGCACAAAACATATGCAAATTTGATGAAAAATTCTATAGTTCATGTTGTACTGATCAAAAAGCCCAAAAATGCTTCCTCTTTGAGATACACGGTGTCAAACATTGGTGAATTAACCCATGTGGGTACCCAGGGTGAGGGTACTTAACGATATAATGAAATCACGTGATCACAATACTTTCACTATTGGCATCTCGGAAACTGCTAATACACGACGTCGCGTCGCTTAAATTGTTGAGCATCATTCCAAAACAATTATATTTTTCAATAGTTGGGCTTGAATGTTTACCCGATTAAATCAACAGTGCTTCAGTTTATGATGGAGGCGCTCTACATGAAACCTCAGATTAATGTGATTTGATTGCAATACGTGTTAGCGATTAAGATATGGCAGATATGAAATGTATTTAAGAAGCTGCAACAACGTCCAGGCTTTTACTTTAAAATGTTTCCATCTCATAAAATGATAGCGTTTTCAATACTAAAATTGAATAATATGAAAACGTTTTTCATTCGATGATTTAAAACCAACTGCAGGAAGACCGCAATTTAACCATTTGAAGTTTTATAATATCAATCCATGTCATGATATTCTATTATAATGATTATCACCTATAACTGTTCATAAAAACTGGACGGCTTGGCGTATGATATAAAACAAATAAATATCTGGCAATTTCAAGGTCAATCTAGAAAATTCAGTTTTTTTGAATGAACTAAGGTCTGGCAATGACAATTTCTGACATAATAATAATATATGTCTTTATAACGTCACAGAAAACATTAAAAGTATGATGCAAATGGCGGAGTCTAGCCATTGGCCAATCTACTCGACCAATATTTATTTATTTATTTATTTATTTATTTATTTATTTACAAATTTACGGGATAAACCCATTCGGTTACAGGTTGTAAAAGTACAATCTTAACCTAATAAAATTCACACACATCTTAAATAAAGAATCTAACATATGAACATAAAGTTTGACTATTTACTAAATTAAAATATTAAAATATTAAAACGTGCATAAAAATAGTTACAAACAAATACTAAAAAAAAACTAAAAAAACTGAACAACTAAACAACACAGCAAACATCACCAGCAATTGAGACATTTTAAAACTTTAGCTAAGATTTCTATCTTTAAGGAACTTTTTGAGAGAGCATAGTGAAGTATTAAAAAGGTCTATATCACAGTCATTACAATTTCTCATTATCCTATCCATGCTACTATTCGAGCCATACAAAGTTCTATGCCGACAAGGTTCAAAGGATCTGCGTCCTCTTAAATGCCTAGGAGAAACATAAAAATTTAGCTTTAGAAGCAGGTCTGGGCAGTGGTAAACACCATGAATTAATTTATAAGCAAAAATAATATCTGCTGAATCTCTCCTGGCTCTTAGGGATCCAATCCTTAACTCCTTTTCAAGAGCATTATAGTCTAAATTCTCAATAGAAATGTGTTTTTTGTAAGCTTTTTAGAAATATATAAAGAAAGTCTAAATCAAGTATATACTATAAACTATAATGATGTCGTTTACTTGATACTTAATAAAGTATCAAATGTTTCTGAAATTTTGTGTTAGTATCCATAAAATATATTCAACAAAGATTAAGTACTACCAAAATTTTCGTGTTATTGTGTGTTTAAATACTTTCTTTTAATAGTGCCTTAAATTATTATGATTTGCTATATTCCTAATATTGATGTCTAATTATAGTATTTGGCGGTGTTCTATGATTAAGATACATTTTTTTATATAAACTCTGTTCACCTGTACAAAAATCCAATATGGAGTCCATAAGAACAAATAAAGTTGAAATTTTAATTATGCCACCTTGTATAGAAGAAACACTGGCAACGTGAATGCATGATTTATTTTAGAATCGCACCTCAAATTATTCCAGGAAAAAATAACGATTTTGGGATAATTCGTTTTTTTTTTCATCTTCGGAAATACTCTCTCAGTTGTGGAACTTTCTAAGTGCCAGGCGTACCCTCAGTGGCTAAAGCTCTAATCTTTGACACCCTGTATCTCAAATAGAAAGCATTCCAACTATCAATATCGAATTTTGATTAAATTTGACCGGCGTTCAAATTCCATATGTTTTGTGCCTGGTACTTTTCAGAAAGTATAGCCGTTCTTGAAAATCCGATGCTATTTCACTTTTTTGTCATGTGGAGAGAATTATTTTGCCGGGTAAACGTGCAATTCAACGTAATATTGTAGCATTTGATTGTGTGCTGATTTGGTGGGTATGTCTTTACTACTCACTATTATAGTTGTAGCCGATGTCATTCATTAAAAAATAAAACATTTGTTATAGCTCCACAGGTCTTCTTTACTTCCTCCCTTGTCCTTGCCCCTCACATATCACTTTCAAAGAATTCGTCGCCACAAAACATTCTGTAAGTGACGACATATCGAGAGTAAACAATACAGCTACAAGAGAACTGAGAAACTATAACCATTATTGTACCGTTATATGTGTTTTACAAAAAATGTATTTTTTTTCTACTATTAATACTCATAATAGGTTTCACTTTGTTTTTGTAAATCATTTTACTTCGATTTTTGTACTTAAACAGTATTAATTTATTGGAAAAAAAGTCGTAAAATAAATTATCTTTAGTTTAACCCTGGAGTTTCATTTCAAATCTTGAAAGTAATTTTTTACAAACTCATTTTAAAATTTAGCATTTCTATCCCTAACTGAAAGAGAACTCTTGCCACAGGCGTCACACTTTTTACTAGTAGTATATACGTATCGGTCGGGTTACCTACCCTATTTTCTGCTCGAATCCACTTTCCTCCTTTTTGAGGATTTTGCCCATTATTTTCCTACTTTATATACATGTATATATATATATATAAGATGACTTAAAAACTTACCTCGAGGTTATTTGGTGCTCAAGTTAGAGAATTCAAATACCAACCACCAAATTCAAAAGCAGATTCGTGTCGGACGATTCCACATCAAAATTCATCTTCATACATGAGGTACATTGAAATTTGCCCTAGAAGCCGTTTCGAAGTTTGAGTGATTATACTTTAAATTTTTCGAAAACTATGATGGTGACACGCAGTAGGGTTACTGAAATGTGAACTTCTTGAATTCGTGCCACTGTCCGAACCTACGGTGGGCAGATGACTCACGTCCCATTCCTTATTTCATACCAGTTGCCATTCAATAGAATTTAAAATAAAAAATAATTGTTGGAAAAAATAGACGCTAATAGCACTGGACTAGATGTGGCGTTGTCAAACGAACCAATGATACCTGTTGCAGAATTTCTGGCGATCCTGACCTTTCATTTCGACCTCAAATGGAGCGGCGTTGGGACCGATCGGGAATCAATCCCGAACAGATTCGACACAATTCACAATTCAAAAATGTGTACGCTCAAAATAAAATCGTTATTGTCAGTAAAGAATAAGCTAACGCATATTTTCAATATGCATCTTAATTCAAGCAACTGGTGTAACATGTGCATGCGTCACCGTTGCTAGAAAACGTGGCGACGAGCTTCGCTATCCAGCCGGCTTCTATCTCTTTCTAGCATATGTGTTTTACACACTCCTCGCGCTTCTCTCTCGTACACATTGAACTCGCGTGCGTCAGCCGAATTTGGTCCTCAAAATATATTATTTATATACAGAAATAACGAAAAATTTTAATGGTCGTCAATTACAATAACTTTTATTAGAAAAGTATATAAATATATAATCCAGTCAAACATTAGATATATTTTAACACAGTACAGATTGCTACTGAGAAAAATTAAGCTAATATCTAAGATGGTTTAAAACACATAACTAAATAGATCAATAGAACCTGTTATTTGGGCAAAGTTTTAATCCAAAATCAGTCTTGCAGCATACCTAATACTGACTCTATAAATGACTTCTAAATTATTAATATTAATAAATAAAGTTGATCCATTATTTGTACATAAGTGAACATACTTTTAAAAATTGCCTTCACTTGTGAACATCTTGGAAAATTCAAGTACTACAGAAACTACTTAATACACTAAATGAATCGGCATTTCAAAAACCTCATCATTCACACAATATGAATTTTTCAAAAGCTAATCATTCATAAATAAAGTTTTAAGGGATATGTTTTATGCATTATTATTGAGAATTACTGTAATACATTAACTTATTAACGTGTCACATCTTTTAATTTTGCATATTTTATTTTAATATCTTCAAAGTGTGTGTGCGTGTGTGCCTTCAAAGTAAATAGTCATATTCTCCATTATTCTAATCAAATATGGGTTAAGAAGTGGTTTTTGAAATGACCGATTCAAATGTATTAGGAAGATCACAGCCTTTTACTTAAAACTAGGTTAGCAAATATGAGGTAAATGGATTAAATAGCTTATACATCCCAGTATACAGTAAAAAATGCGAATAACAAGGGAGGGGTAACCAGAAAACGAACATTTAAAATAAGGCACCAGGGCATCAAAATGTTTTTCACAACAAAACGTTCTAGAGAGTGCAATATCAGTAATTTGATAAACATCATCCTCACTCACTAACTACCGAGACACTTTTCTTGAATGCATTTTTTGTGTTTTACCAATAATGTCACAGTCGTTGAGTGACTGATGTTTTGTCAAATGACTCGGAATAACTTAACTGTCTCACTAAAATTTTGTGGACAATTTGGGAAAGAAAATTTTTCAAAATATACAAAAAAGTCTCTTACCTAAGATTTAAATTACGTATTTTGATTATATTGGCACCAACGTAATGAAATATATAACACCTGTGTAACAAATTGTTATAAATATTTTAGAATAAATTATTTTTATACAACATAACTTAATTTCAAACACTGATTACATAAAAATGGAAACATTGAGATCTTACATCTATAAAAAGTGTACATGCTGCAATAAGGGTTTGAAATTACAATCAACATTACATATATAGGAATTTAAACACTCAGAATATTTCAAAAATGTAATATCAATATATTTCGTTGTCATATCAATAAACATCTCGTACAAAAATTTGAAAACTTGGAAACATTGCAACAATGTAATTACTTCCGAAATTTAAAAGTGTTACCGTGTTTCAAAACACGCGGAGGACTCTCAATTTTTTGGGCATGATTAATAAACAATCATATATATAATCTAAGAAGATGCCCAATCCTATGCTGTATTTGCATGTTTGCTTTGGACTCGTATCATCACACAGTAGAATCGCAATTCTCTTAGGAGTAATAAAAGCATACTCCATTTTCCTATCAAAGTTGTTTATTTTCAAACGTAACATTAATCTTTCAAGGAATCATCATCCCTTAATCTCTCTCGCAATTATTCCTAATATTACGTATTCTCAGAAATTCTTAATGATGAAAAAGGAAATCCCATAACCTGCGACAACAGTCCCAGTTGGCAAGGCTGGCGATTAAAGACGGTGGTCGACACGTATATAGCATGACTCTCAAATGAATTGGGTATCTTCTGGTGGAATATCGACTGTTTACTGCCAATATCTCCTATCTACCAATTTGTGATTCGTTTTTCCAAGATCAATCGAACAGAAATTCCTCCTATGGAAGGAATCTATACATTTTTGCGCGATTTTTCAAATCAAATGAAGATGGATTACATCTGAGATATCGTGTATCATTGCAACGATTTTCAGTTAAAAGTACGACTTAAAATATTTCTGTATATATTTATGTATGCAAATAGATTTTAATTTAACGTTTAAACCATGTGCAGAAACGAGATATATGACGAAAGAGTATTTCCAGTGTTTTTATTGTAGATAGAAATTATTTCAATAGCTCTGTTTGTATTACATACCTACATTACCTTCCTCTATCTCAGCAGTTTATAATGGTAACAAAGCATTATAATAAATCAGTAATTTTGAAAAACAAACATAAAATGTGTTGCTCTACAGTTGTTGGAGCGCTAATTGCGTTATATCTACTCCGTTTTACGTAAAACTAAAGTAAGTTTGCCTAACTAGAATGATTTGATAGTTTCAGTTGGTTCTTAGCATCTTTATAAGACAGCTGAACTCATTGCTGTACTGCATGATTCTTTTGTAAGCAAATGTGATTTTATTTATCAGCCAGACCTAAGAATCAGCAGCACCATATTGCTTTGCTTTAGTACATGGCTACCAGAAGATAAGAAATCATGGTAATACAGAAAAAAGATTTTACCAGCTCACCTAGCGATCAACGTCTCAACCATTCAACATGAAAAAAAAAATTAAAAGCTTGCTATGTTTACCAGAATCAGTGCGATTGAAACGGAGATCGAATTAGAAAGTATTTCAAACTAAGCTGTTGATTCCAAAAGCCAAGACATTTTGAGTTCGAGGCTCTCGTCTTTACAAAACTAAGTTTTGATACTGAAGATCTTTTGAAGGGTTCATTGTCATTGTTCAATATGCCCGTTGACATGGAATTTGAATGTATTCTTCGAAACTGTGATCCGTCAATCTAGGACAACAATAATCAGGATCCTTGGATATTCATTGTTAAAGACGCAAACTAAAGGGTCGAAACATCATCTTAGCAAGCAACTATATTTATGCGACCAAGGAAGCTCGGACCGAACCGTACCCATATGAAGCAACAAAACTAGGGAATTATTTTTTCAAAGACAACTCAAGACCGTCCTTCCTAAGGTACAGCAGTATTCGTCGGTAAAAAAAACAAACGAACCAACTGTTAGAGACCTGAGCTCCTTAAAATATAATATGGCAGAATCTATCAGTTATAAACTTCAATTTGACGAAGATTGGAGGGAATTACCTTCAAAGCCTAAGATGTCAAAGTTCTAACATTTGCAGTTACTCAAGCAGGTTCTGCCTGATGACTGCCATAACTTCTATGACACTCTACTTCAAAAATCGTTATTTTGTATTTATTTTGAATAAATGTACTTGATTTCAAAATCTCATATCTGCAAGACAAACACCTGTCAATACCTCCTATCTTGAAAAATATGTGGCAAAGTACAATTGTCGATGAAAATGAGTAACATATTATTTACAAACAAGTAGCCAGAACCAATGAACTAAGATCTTACCATATTCGGACACATACCGCATTAGGATTCTAAAGAATCATACTTTACTCTTTCCTGAACAATTGGCAATTTTGCAGATAGATGTTATTGGCCGTAAACAAGTCGATGTTAATGATGTTTATAAACACATTGAGCTAAGGACTCATTATGAGCCAAATACCACCCTTTAGAAGCTTCTCACTTGAAGAAAATTGCACTATAACATATTCGGAAATAACATTTAGGGAGGTTGCCTTCTAGATACTGTCATCATTCTGACAGTTGTCATCCGTTGACAAGCGTCATGGTATGCATCGAGTGGGTTAACAACACTGTAGTCTACCTCGTCAAACGTCAAAATTTTGTCACCTGGTTGTAGTTTTTCGCATAGCTCTGTGTGAGGATATACGTCCTTCACAAATATTCCCTAAAAATGGAATGTTTTCATAACTCATCAATTTTATATTTGGTGTAACTTACATCGTTTTGAACAACAATCTGGAAGTCATTGGGAGTGTAAGATTCGGGTATTTCAATCTCCATAACTTGACATACTGTATGTCTCCCAAAAGGCCATCTCACATGTTTTCCTTGAATACAGTCGTCTGTATTATTTGAACCAGTTGACATCATTTTATTACCTGTAAAAATGTACATAGGTACATTCTTCAACCTTCTCTATAGTTATTCCTAACATTACATATTCCCAGTTCTTTTGAACACCTATAGATGGTGGTCAAAATATACGTATACATTCCATAGACTTGCAAAATATGGCTCAAAAATGCCATATATCAGTCATATGAAATGATTCTATTTTAAGGATTTTTCTAAAAGAACTTAACTTAAATTTGGTTCAGGATTGCGCCCTTGTAATTACTGGTAATCATTAAATAAAACTGTGTACAGTTGTAAGCACAAGTGGTTGATGGTGCCATGGAAAATGCACAGCTTATAATTAAATTTGGGTATCCTCTGATAGAATATGTTCATAAATGATGGTACTCAGAATTATGAAAAAATCTTTCTGTAATAAAAAGAAAAGAAAAATGAAAAACCAATACTTACTACTCTCATCAATTTGCAAAGTCTGTATATTCCTATCCATCGGTAAAACATGATTTCTATTGCTAGGTAGTTGAGGAGTGGGCATATGGATGTTTGTAGGCTGTTGTTGACTAAACTGCTTTGGTTGATCTTGAGGACTTGGAGGATTATGATTATGCGCGAATAGATGTGCGTTTTTTGAGTAGGCTGCCGCTATGTGATAAGGAGGAGGTTGTTTTGGAGGAGTCTTGTTACTTTCTCTTGTGCTTGTGATGTCACATAGGCTTTCAGCCATTTCAGTCTCGTGTCCATTTAGACTTGATTGAGAAGCATTCATGTCACCTAAAAAAGAAAATTCTTCAAACATAAAAATATGAAAATCCAGTAATAGGGAAAAGCGAACTTTAATTGATTGCTGACATCTTTTACTATGTTTCTGGTTTTGGCACCTATTTGTATGTAAGGTTTTGAAAATTATTTATTTTATAATGATTTTTAACTGCAATTCATAAAAGTGGAAAGCTACTTTTCACATTTCTACGTATATACGAGTATTGTGACTTGTGACAAATCTGAGTAATATATTAGCTATACAGATTGCACTTAAAAAGTGATTTATGTTCTGTTTGTTGCTCAATAGTAATTTGAAAAGCGTGTAAAGCTTGACTGATTTTGTTCGAAGTTGATGTTGCAGCGAAGCACTGTTAGATGAACGCCTAAATTAGAAATGGACATTTATGAAATTTGTTTAGCAGTGCGCCTGTCCAGAAAATGCGACCATCGATGCTCAAAGTCAATACCACACGTCCCGCATCTCTTCCCGCGCAATGTGTCTATTTATGTTGCTATATTTAATTCATTTAAATCACAGAGCTTCTGCACCTCACTTGAATATGTACAGCACTATATTCCTGTCGTTTCATACAAACACACATTATCAAAATAATTACGATCTAACAGATATAGTTTTTTCCCGAAGATTTCCAACATTTTTACATGCGATCAACACCGATTCGAAAACTGAGAAAACAACAACTATACCGTAAGTTTAAGTTCGACAACGAAAGTCGGAAAAATAACGGTAACATCTATATTGAATTTCAAAAAATAATTTACTATATGTATTGATATTTTTGTCACCTGCTGATATAATAGAAGTGCTTGATTGTGTTAGTATTTGCATCAATTACTTGATCTGTTTAATGGGCAGTTCAGAGTCTTAATCCTCAAGCTTAGTACACACTTGTAGACCCTGTTGCGCAACTTGTCTATAGGCAGTCTGGAGACGGTCTCAAGACACGACCTATAGATGGTCTATAGACATCCTTCTTTGTCTCACCTAGCATCCACACGATAATGTGAATTTTACAGTGTCATGTTCGTTTTCACCATCAAAGGCATTGTTTTGTGTGGAATTGACCGGGATATGTCTCAGGGTCCCTCAAAATCCTGCTGACATTGACCAGATAAAACATAATGAATTTAAGGAGCAATAATAGGATAAAATCCAGAAGTTCCTCTGAGGTTAAAAAAATACCAGCCCCAAATATCGTTTGCGCCTCCCCTAGACAAAATCCTAAATCCCATATCATTCTTACCTGCTATATATGTTACTTTAGCCTCTTTGATCTCGGAAATGTTAAGAGCATGTCTGTTAGGTAGATGAGTGCCTTTCAAAGTCTCTCTGAGTCTTCTAAGTTCTTTGTGATGTGGTGTAGGTGTTCTACTTAGAGAAATGTTAGTATCCCTAGTCTCTTTCTCTGGCCTATCTGTGTTGAATGTTATATGGGACACCTGGTTGCTAGATGGATATTGTACAGGTGGAAGATCTCTACTTGGCATTTGAGGAAACACTACTGAGGTTAGGACTACCTGCCCATCAGGAAGCTGTTCATTTTGAAGGTGAATCAAAGGTTGTGTCTGGTTTGGTGTTAACCAGAGAGCTTTAAGATTCCTTAGTTTAGATATTGTTATGGGCAGATATGTTAGCTTGTTGCCAATAAGTCCTAGAGTTGTTAGATTTTGCAGATGCCCTACTTCTTCTGGTAACTTCTCTAGTTGATTGTTGTGAATGTTCAATATTGATAGTTCACAACAACTGCCAATTTCTGGAAGTATTTAAACATGAAAATAAATGAAAAATTCGATACTCTGAATTTGAAAATTCTGAAGTTTAACGCTCCATCATTTTTAGCATGTCAAAAAAATCCATATGAAGTTGGATTTTCATGCTTCGGTATACTTCTTTTTAGTTCGCTCTAGAGATATTGAACATAATATTCTTACCTGGAGGTAACTGCTGCAGTTTGTTATCAGATAAAATTAATGTTGCCAGTTTTCTTAAATGGCCAATTCCACTAGACAATTTCAACAAGCAATTGTTCTGTAAGTTAAGTTCTTCCAAATTAACTAATTTACAAATAGTGCTAGGCAATTCTTCCAGGCAATTTGATTCAAGCTTTAGTACCTGAAGGTTTCTCAGGTTTCCAATAGCTTTTGGAAGTAATGATAAGTTATTGAAGCTTAATATCAGGTTGGTTATTTTTGTCCAGTGCCCTATTTCTTTTGGTACTGAGTCTAAGTTGTTGTAAGAAGCATCAAAATCATTCAGTTTTTTTAGATGTGTGATAGAAACTGAGAGTTCTGTGATCTTATTTCCATTTATCCAGAGCTCAGTTAGGTTTCCATGTGATTCACATACCTCTGTCTAAAAAGAGTTTAAATAGGGAACTTTCAACACTATTTTAGATGCAAGCACTTACCAAATTAGACAAGTTGTTATCACTAACATCTAATCTCTGCAGATTAGTCAACCTTCTTATAGATTTAGGAAGTTCACATAAATTATTATCTCTAAGTTCTAAGACTCGTAAGTTGGATAGTCTACCTATATTGGCAGGCACAAAGTCAATTCCAGTGTCATTTAAACAGAGCTGCTGCAAATGTATAAGGCTCATTATAGCATCTGGGACTTTTCCTAGGTCATTCATACTGAGATCTAATACAGTCAGCTTGCTTAGTTTCTCTAGGCCTGGATGCACCCCTTCTAAAACTATATGCAAAAATAAGATATACCAAACACTGAATGTTGCATGAAAATATCGTAAATAAAAAAAAGGATATAGTTAGACAAAATATCAATAGCAAAAAAGACACATGTGAACTTTTGAATACATGTTTAATTTGTAACTTTTGAAATATATCTTACCATTTTTGCTGAATATCAAAACTTGTAGGTTTGTTAATTTGGATACTAAAGGTGGTATTGCTCTTATCTCATTGTCACTGACATTCAAGTATCTTAAATCTATGCATTGGAACAACTGAGGGGACAAGTCTTTCAGCTAAAAAGGATTGAAAGATTGAGTCCAAATGTACATGGAACTGTTAAGCATATGATGTACCTTATTCCCTTCAAGGTGCAAAACTTCTAATGTTGGTGAATTGGCGTACACTTCATCTGGTATATCCGAAATTCCACATCGGGAAAAATCTAACTCTGTTACTTTTTCGTCTTTTGACTTGCACTGACAACAAGTGAGCCAGCCCATTTTGTATTTTCTTCTACGTTATGGCTTTTCCTGACACATACATTATATTTTAGGCATGATGTAGGCCTCTATGGTGTCTCTTTGAAGAACCCATTTTCACATCTTAATAACATTCATTGCGTTTTCTTTTTTTTTAAATGCATTTCATTTACAGTATCATTTTTTGTTTTCTGTTGTTGTCAGGTTGACATTCCAAACGTCATCCCTAATGATAAATGTCTCGCAGCGCTGCCACATACTGTTACCATATATACAAAATTTGCCTACGAATCTTTTCAAATTAACAATGATGTCGTCGATGTTTTGATGAAATCTCCTATGCAACAATTTTTCCACATCGGAGTTTTCGGAATATCTGTATAGTTAAATATGAGCTCCGTGACCGTACAAGAGTTTAGTAAGAAACTCTAATAATTCTCTGTGAATTGAAACGGAACCAGTTTTTAAATTCAAAAGTTCTTATGTTTTCTATAAAAAGTTCTTCTAAATGCATAGGAGTTTTTAACAGAACAACGACGATGTGCTGGTATTTTGCTGTCTTTGACTAATAGCACTTGGCAACACTGGCAGAGAGAACAATGACATGCTAGTGATGGCTATCTAGCTCAGAAATCTCAGCAGAGTAATTACTATGAATTGTAGAGATGGGATACTATCTACAATATTCGTTTTTCTAACGGCGTTGTGAAAAATAAAACATGAATCAGGGCAGGATGGTCAGTGGCTCATAAAGTCAAAATGATATCGGATTCTTAATCTACGCACTATATTTATCCCCTATATTAAAAATAATAAGCGGTTTAAAAAAAATCCCGTGTGACAAAATTCTATTTTCGTTACCTGTAGAAGACTTTAAAACTTTGTAGACATAGGTAAAATTGGGGATAGTTGAAAAATTGTGCATTGTCATGAAGCTGAATTTGAGGTGGAACATGTGTTGTTTTAGATCCCCCATGGGTTATATTAATTTGGAATCTACAAACCTGATTTACTCAAGGATGAGTTTTCACCTAAATCAGCACATACAAGTTCAATAGAAAAAAGTCAAAGAGTTGGATCAAATTTTGCTAAAATTTATTATAACCTTAAATTTCGATTTACGATAGATACAGTATAAAAATATGTGAAGATGTGTACATTAACAATAAACAAGAAACTCAAAACTTCAATATAAACACTAACATTGAACAATGAGGATAACTCACTCAACTATCACCAGAGTTACTTTGAAGATGATTTGGAGCATCAGCAAACATAACTTTCAATTTGTACGCTTCTGCTACTAGCACACTGACTTGAGAGCTGGTCCATGATTGAGTAGGGAGATTTTGGAGCAGTAATAATAATCCTTGAAAATCATGCTCCTGTAGCAAATCTTCTTTCCAATATAGCAAAAATGCTGCACAGACATAAAGTTGGAAAGTCGCAAAGCTATCATTTTCTGCCAGATAAGTATCCCACAGTCTTATGGTGCACCGTAATGGAAGCTCTCTTGTTAGTAAGTTATTCAACCAGCGGAACGAAAATTGCAAATAACAAACATTGTGTTGCTTCAAATGTCTGTGTAAAGGCTCATCTACTCTTTTAATCAATTCTTCTAGCTGCAAAACTTTCTTTTGGATCCCAATTTGAGCAAATACATAGTTGTCTTGGATACCATCCAGGAATTTAGAAAGGCACCAAAATGAATCAGCCTCTATTATTTTTCTCTGATCTTCAGTCAATTCAGTCACATTGAAAGTCTCAAAAGAACTGCTATCTGGTATAAATTCCTGGAGGAAAACTACATAGAAAGGAGTGACTAAATCATTAATTCCTTGAACATAACCTGAGGCAGGGTGCCGAATAGACCAAATGAACAGTATCCTTTCAAACATCAGCTGGACAGTTTTCTGCTGAAATAAGGGTATAGAAGGATTCATTCTTGGCACATCTATATTGATCTGATGTTGAATATCACGGTTAGTCTCATCATGCTCAGTGTAATAGTATTTTTCCACCAAGGTCCAATAATCTTTCCTTTTTCTCTCCAAGACTCCATCTCTTCTTTCTATATTAATTGGTAGATATCCAGATAGCAGCCTCCATGTGATGCCTCGAACTTTGACAGGAATTCCTGACCAACTCAGCTTACACAACTCTTGCAAAGAAGGTGGGTTCTCAAGTAAAGTCAGAAAACGTTCCAGCTTAGATTCACTATCTTCTTCTTGAGGTGGGTTCAGACAATGTAACTGCTTAGGTCTACCAGGTATTCGATTCACTTTAGCACTGTTATCACAATTTGGAAGCAACTGCTTGTCTGTTGTTACTTGTTCCTCTGGGGGACTCTCAACCTCTGTTGTACATCTGTGAGTATTCAGTACATTTATAGCAGCTGACTGGGAAACTCTCTTTGATATTTTTGTGTCTAGAAAAACGTTGAATATTAGATAATTTGTCTAGATGTTTGCAAGAAAATATTACTTTCTAGTCCTGATATAACGCAAAATTCGTCATCATCCATATCCCAGGCATCACTAACAGAAGCTTGAAAATCCTGAAAAGACGTTGATGTTGGTGTTTTACCCTTAGAAGATGTTTTTCCATCCCGTTTGGGGCTTGGCCTGAAAATATTGGAATCAAAACAACTGTTGTATACGTTTTTAATGTTTATGTATACCTTCCTGGTACAGTCTTCACATTTTTCTTCCAAAACGAAGATTTATCATTTTCCCCATCCATCGTCGATCAACTATACTTTGAGACTTACAAAAATAATATCCATAATTTTAATTGAGAATGCATAAATAAATTGCTACCCTAAAAATTGTTTGAGGTTAAATGTCAGAATGTCGAATGTCATAGCAATAAACTGAACATGGAACACAAGTCGGGGGAAGAAACCAAACACGCCTGTGGTTCGGTTAATAAAGCAATTTCTGTGAAACGTCTGGTACCTTGTTTAATTTTGTTACATTTTACATTATCTCAAAAATGAATAATTATATAATAGCCGGCAACGCTGTAACTATTTAGTACGATTTTTGATTAATAGATGGCCTAGCTGAAGGTCCGGCAGTTACCTACCTCATTTGTTACTATTGTTAATTATTAATCTAATAGATGGCACCACCACAATAAAGTGAGGTGCCCTCTATTGAATAATAGCCTACACTATCCTCCTGCAACAAGCGGTGTCGGTAACTTTGGCGTCTTGCACTTTTACACCTCCTTCCGTTTCTATGCTCCTGATGGCAAAGTTTTGCCCAGAGCGTCTGATTCAGTGGCGGCTTTATGCGCTTTAGCTACATAGAGAGCGTGTGTCGGTCGCACCGTTAAAAAGTTTTTTAGTGATTCTGCTGCTTCGTTCTCAGTTATAGAAATAAGAAGTTCCGATATCTACGGTGAATAAGGGAGATTTTATTTAGTAATGCCTTTTTTTCTTCTGGGAAAATAATTCAAGCTATCTATAAAAGACATACCTACCCGTTAAAACAGATATGAGTTTTAGATCACAGGTATAAATAAATACAAGAAATATGAGGCAGTGTTCTAAATTAATTAATTGAATTGTCCAGATGTTGGCTATACTAGTTTTTTCACTGTTCCAAAGACTTTTATCAAGAATATAGTAATTTTTGTATATTTTACAAATGTTGCGTTAAAAAGATGGAATTTGTACTTTGTTGTATTTGGTATCTTTTAGAATGTTTATAAATGTCGGAATATTTTGAGAGAAATAAAAAATGTTTTTTTCTGATAGTGGTCCTTAATGGGTTAAGGGGCATCCAACCAGCGTAATACAAGATTTTCGTCTCGTCTCACTTGGTCGGTCCGCTTAGATTCCAGTTTTAATTAATGTGAACAAACTCAAAAGTATAAGGATATGGTGAAAGGTCACGCAATTGTAGCTTTATAGGTCCTATTTTTTCAATGTCCATACAAAAATATCGGATATATTTTTCTCCTTAATTACTTGTTTTATATATTTCAACTTTTATAAAAAGAAGATTCAGTACATAAATAGAATAAGATTTAGATAATACTTCGCCAAAATGAAATAGACATCCTTTTAGCAAATATTAAGGTTTATCTTCATCATTATGCGTTTCATCCTCAATATGCGTTGATTCTGTCTTTTCTATTTGGTCGTAAATAATTTCGTCCTTCTCATTTGGTATGAGTTTCTCTAAATCCTTGTCTGGTATCAGACTGGCACTTCTTTGATGTAGCTTAGGAGTGCTGCTCACACATTCCTAAAAACTGAACATGGAACACAAGTCGGGGGAAGAAACCAAACACGCCTGTGGTTCGGTTAATAAAGCAATTTCTGTGAAACGTTTGGTACCTTATTTAATTTTGTTACATTTTACATTATCTCAAAAATGAATAATTATATAATAGCCGGCAACGCTGTAACTATTTAGTACGATTTTTGATTAATAGATGGCCTAGCTGAAGGTCCGGCAGTTACCTACCTCATTTGTTACTATTGTTAATTATTAATCTAATAGATGGCACCACCACAATAAAATGAGGTGCCCTCTATTGAATAATAGCCTACACTATCCTCCTGCAACAAGCGGTGTCGGTAACTTTGGCGTCTTGCACTTTCACACCTCCTCCCGTTTCTATGCTCCTGATGGCAAAGTTTTGCCCAGAGCGTCTGATTCACTGGCGGCTTTGTGCGCCTTAGCTACATAGAGAGCGCGTGTCGCACCGTTAAAGAGTTTTTTAGTGATTCTGCTGCTTCGTTCTCAGTTCTAGAAATAAGAAGTTCCGATATTTACGGTGAATAAGGGAGATTTTATTTAGTAATGCCATTTTTTCTTCTGGGAAAATAATTCAAGCTATCTATAAAACACATACCTACCCGTTAAAACAGATATGAGTTTTAGATCACAGATATAAATAAATACAAGAAATATGAGGCAGTGTTCTAAATTAATTAATTGAATTGTCCAGATGTTGGCTATACTAGTTTTTCCACTGTTCCAAAGACTTTTATCAAGAATATAGTAATTTTTGTATATTTTACAAATGTTGCGTTAAAAAGATGGAATTTGTACTTTGTTGTATTTGGTATCTTTTAGAATGTTTATAAATGTCGGAATATTTTGAGAGAAATAAAAAATGTTTTTTTCTGATAGTGGTCCTTAATGGGTTAAGGGGCATCCAACCAGCGTAATACAAGATTTTCGTCTCGTCTCACTTGGTCGGTCCGCTTAGATTCCAGTTTTAATTAATGTGAACAAACTCAAAAGTATAAGGATATGGTGAAAGGTCACGCAATTGTAGCTTTATAGGTCCTATTTTTTCAATGTCCATACAAAAATATCGGATATATTTTTCTCCTTAATTACTTGTTTTATATATTTCAACTTTTATAAAAAGAAGATTCAGTACATAAATAGAATAAGATTTAGATAATACTTCGCCAAAATGAAATAGACATCCTTTTAGCAAATATTAAGGTTTATCTTCATCATTATGCGTTTCATCTTCAATATGCGTTGATTCTGTCTTTTTTATTTGGTCGTAAATAATTTCGTCCTTCTCATTTGGTATGAGTTTCTCTAAATCCTTGTCTGGTATCAGACTGGCACTTCTTTGATGTAGCTTAGGAGTGCTGCTCACACATTCCTAAAAACAAAAAATTTACATTCGATCTACTCAGTAAAACTAATTAAAACAATATTAAATGTGATCAGTTCCCGACTCCTATTATCTGTATTTTGGTGTTGAGATCATAGCCCCTTGTACGTTCTTCCCTAAGGATTACTCATGGCTCGACCATCAACCGCTCCAAGTATCCTCTTGCTTTACGTGGAGCAGGTGAAGTCAGTTTAATAGTTCATTAAAAAAAAAATGGTGTACTCCAGTAAACGGTTATTAAATTTAATTGAACTATCCATAGTTAACTCTTTAATTGGTTTAATTAAAATTCTAATTACTTTAGTTAACATTTTTCTCAGTGTACAGGTATTATTATTATTACATTAGCCATAGGAGGCCAACGCTCCCATAGAATGGACTTTCGGGTAGGGAAGCACAGCATGTGCTGAAGTGCCAATTTTAATGTTCATATCTCTAATATCATTGATTAAGGTATTCTACCTGATGATAGCCAACCTAATACTATATTCCCGCGTTAAAAAGATTATTCGAGATGAAGTGAGATATCGCAGCGCTATCTGTCAGAATTTGTCACAACTGTTTCTCATCTCCTCAATAATAGAAAATCTACTTTTAAAAGGTTAGTGACAATTATATGCTTATTTACGTTTATATAGTTAGCTACAGCGCCATTTAAGCGGCACTAACATTTTAGAATTAGATTCCTAATTAGAGAAGAAGGAGAGGAGAAACATAGCTGTGACAAATTCTGACAGATGACGCCACGGTATCTCATCTCGGATATTTTTTTAGACACAGGCATGTAGTACTCGTATTAGGATCACTTTCTTCAGGTATAATACGTTAATCAATACTACTACGTAATAGTTTGACACTTAGTCTCATTTGAGATGTTTTCTTAGCTCACAGTGCTTAGTAGCACACCCAAATAATGATGTTTACCTTTGAATTTTGCTTGCTGATATGGTTGTTCGACATCTTGAGGTGTGTGTTAGATGCCTTTCCGTGCGTAATTTCTATAGCTGATTTAAGTAAATCTGTCTTAGAATTAGAACTCTTGGTTCTAACCGGATTATTGCCCAGACTTCCTCTTCTGATGCTACTACTTCTAGTACGCATTATACTGTGATTCCTTCCTAGAGACGTCAGTGACCCAATTTGGTTATATTCCACCATTAAAGTCAGTCTTTCCAAGCTAACCATAGTGGACTGATCTTTGTACTTCGGTTCTCCATTTTTCAATTTCACTTTTGATTCTAAAATTATAAAAAATATGGGGTCAAGTAGGCCAACTCCCTACGCATTTATCTTATTGATTGGATTGTTTATTCCCAAACTTAACGCCACATGAACTGCGAAAAGAAATCTACCTAGCCATGAAGCAAAAGATAATCTTGTTTCCAATATATCGACGGGTGCTTTTTTATTTTTTTTAGAAATCTAAACAGATAAAAGGCAGACGGGGCCAAGTCCGAGCTATAGGGTGGATGGTCTATCTCAACGAAGTTGCATTCCTGCACAAATGGTCTCGATTGGAAAAATTGGGTCTTTTCTGTTTGATTGCTTTACGTAAATTTTTCAGCGTGTTCTCATAGACGTCCGCACATGTCCTTTTGGCATGTGTTCAATGTGATGGATGTCCCTGATGTCCCAAAAAACTGTTGCCATCTATTTTCCAGCAAAGGGGTTCGTCCATGCCTTTTTGAGGTACACCCTGTTTGAACCCACTGCTTGGATTCTGTTTTTGAGTCAGGATTCCAATTATGCATCTGGGTCTGGTCGCCCGTCACCGTTGGTCAGTTTCCAAATGACTTCCTGAAATCTTCGACCTTTTTGTTCTGGTGTCAACAGTCGTTCAACCCACCTGGCTGACACCTTACTCATGTTCAAATTGTCGTACAAGATGGTTATTACGCTGGGTTCCGATATATCCAATGCCATAATAATGGTAGAGACCTTCATACGACGACCTTCGAGAGCCATGACTCAAAATTTTTGAGTAATTTCATCATTTGTTGCTCTTTATGGCCTTCCACTTCTGGGATCGTCTTCTATGGATTCACGCCCCCATCGAAATTGTTTCGATCAAAACTTTATTGTGTAATATGATGGTGCATCATCCCTATAGACGACATCCGTACTCTCAAGAACTGTTTTTAGGACACTGTGCTACTCTAATTTTAAGTTATTCATGTTTCCTCACAATTCACTACTCAAGTTGGAAACTAATCATCGAAACTAGCTCAAACTTTATAAGTAAGGCTAGAACACATTCCACTATTTGACATATCATGCTTGTACATTTCAATTGCTTTTTTATGGTTAGGTAGATTTCTTTTCTAGTGTCCCTCGTATGATTTAACGTCCACCAAAGTAATTACATGTGAAATATAAAGTCTGCCTACTTGGAACACATTTCTAACACTACTAATTATGACTTCCATGTTTTACTTATCACGTGAATTATTGTTATTGTGAAAAATCTCGAAAACGAGATATGTGTTTTTGGACGTTATATGACATGTACATCACGAAAAGCCACTTGTTTATGTTGAACTGTCGGTCCTTCTGTCCGTTGATCGTTGGTAGAAGGATATGTACTTAGTTTGTTCTAGAATGATTTCAAAATCAAATTTGTCATATTTTCATCATTGCGATCTTATATATACTAAGTGACATATACATCCGAACACCCAGTTTAAATGGTTTTATTTCAATAAAATTTTGTATAAGTACTTAATGAAGCATAAATAAGTAAATGATAAAAATTTCAAAATGATTGCACTGCTTTAAAGCCCTTTGACCTTTAATAATGTGTGGATGCACCCTGATGTGCTACGCATTCTCCAACGCGCCTACGCATGCTTCTGATCAGGTGGTCAATGTCCTCCTGTGGTATCTCATTCCAGGCAACCACCAACTTCTCTCGAAGTGCTTCTAGAGTCTGAGGAGGACGTTGCAAATTGAGCAATCTCCTACCCATCATATACCACACGTGCTCAATTGGGGATAAGTCGGGAGATCTTGGTGGCCATGGTAACAATGTGACATCATTATGTTGAAAGAAGTCTATTGTGACTCTTGCAACATGTGGTCGGGCATTATCTTGTTGGAAAGTTGGATCTGCCAGGGTGTCAAGATAGGGTAAAAGATGGGGTTCTAGAACTTCGTGGATATAACGCTGCACGTTCATGTTACCTCTGATGAAGATTAAAGGTGACCTGGAACCATAAGCTATAGCACCCCAAACCATAACTCCAACAGTGTGATGAACATGTCTTTCAACAAAAAACTGTGGATTCCTCCTTTCACCACGTCGCCTTCTAACCCTGGCACGACCATCGTGCATGCCTAAACAAAATCGAGACTCGTCACTAAAGACAATACTGTTCCATTCCTGATCCCAGAGTGACCGTTGTCTGCACCACTCAAGGCGATTACGTCGGTGTTCTCGAGTTAAAGGGAGGACCCAGTGTGGCCGGTATAAAAACAAGCCAAAACTTCTCATTCGTCGGTAAACACTTCGCATGCCAATAGGTCTTCCGTGTTCTGCAAACCATTCATTTGCAATGGGCCTGGTAGTGGAGAAACGGTCCCTTAAGGCCAATAATCTTAGGCGGCCATCTTCACGGTCTGTTGATCTACCGCGGCGTCCAGTGCCCCTTGCTCTTTGCGTACGGCCTTCTCGAAGCCATGCCTGACAACACCTAACCACAGTGTCTACACTTCTTTGCACTCTAACTGCAATTGCCCGAAAAGAAAGTCCAGCTTCCCGAAGTCCCACTATACGGCCCCTATCAAACTCACTAAGTTGACGAAATCGTACAGGTCTCCGTACTCTAGGCATCGTAACCGATCGTAAAGGATGTCAAGAACCAAAATCCGCCAACGTTGATTCTTTACTCCGGCTGAAATATTCATTTTTAGAGCGTTAGTGAATTAAAAAAAAGCAGTATAAAAACCGGAATGTCCAACTTATAAGGCTGAACATTTTTTCACTTGTTAGTTACAGTAAGATAAATACATTCACCAACTTTTATTAAAATAAAACCATTTAAACTGGGTGTTCGTATTTATATGTCACTTAGTATATATCATATACTCATTTATCTCGTAGAATATGAAAGATGATAGCATTTTACTCATTGATCTAAAATTTCAATCTTCTAACTTGATGTAGTTGGTTTAAACTCATCGAATGAGGAACAACACAACGTAAGTCATTTATATTGTCCAAGGGTAACAATGAGACATTGAAAACAGTATAATTTAAAAAAAACTGAGAGCTGAAACGTCAGATCGAAATCCTGATTATGCCACCGTGCAGAAGGGAAAAAGTAGTAATGTTATTGTGTAATTTGTTTGAGATTTGCAGACAATGTGAATGTTGCAAAAGTTTTGTTTCGGATTAAAGCAAGAAAAAAATAAAAACGACTTAGAATAAATTCGGAAATAGTTTGAATTTCCAAACTGTCCAAGCTCCATTTTTTATTTACATGCCCTCATACTCAGTGTCGTTTGGGCTCCCTTCTGTCCCCCCTCTGGGTAAGTCCTTGGTGATTACGATGATTCCTCGCCAATTGGCATAGGAAAAAAGTTAGTCACCCAAGTATGGGAGTCATTGTGTTGTTTTTCATAAAAAACAGTCTGAGATTAAAAAAATGAATATAGGTATTACCGTTATCATAATCGTCGTCTATAACAACATGTTTGAGCCATGTACAATGAAGAAAGGCATAAGCACATCCAGAAAATCCTGCTACGTATCCCATGAGCTTGAAAGATTGCCGAATTCCAAATTTGGCTATGATATTTCCTCCTAGGAAGCTTCCACTTCCTCTCCCAATGCTATAGTGGGCCATACCGCAGACTCCAATGAGTGTAGCAAGAAGATTTTTGGGTGCTAAAACGGTACAATAAGTCGCTGCAGCGACCCACATGAGATGAACGGACAAGGCTTCCATTGCTTCAAAGGGAAAACACCACCAAGCACTCCTAGAAACAAAATAAGATCACGTCTAGTAGAATTACTCTATACTTCTTACGTCTCGGTACGGCATCACATAGAATTTTCTCTTTTGAAAATTTTTTAATTTAAAATGAAGATAAGGCTCAAATGGAATCAAAATGCTACCGACGCTTCGCGAGTGTATGCAGATCGCTTTCCTAGTTATCATTCAAGGCCGCGTAAAATTGTTTACCTTATGCAAAGAGCTTGGGATACAGGTCGTTTTGCAGGAATGTCGCGGTGGGATACCTAGACAGCGCCGAATGGTGCATACTGAGGAGTGAGTACTGAATCTTGTAGATGAAAACCTTTCAACAAGCACTAGGTAAATAACTAGAGTACATGTCCAAGGTGTGATAAACGCTGTGATGATGAATTGTACCCTTTTGTACAAAGCAGCCCTCCACTAAGTGTCTGCAAGATTGCTCCGAGCCTTGTATTTCAATGCATATCGTTAGTGTGGGTATCGGGGCATGCTTGTTGATCCTGAGCCAGCCCACTCTGAGGAGAAGTATCTCTAGACATATCCGCCAGGCACGGGAGCTCCTGGTATGGCCCTGTGTTAAGGATGGACGCTTTTGCTTATTTTTAGATAGAGCCTACCTAAGGTGTTGGTGGTACTGCTGTCTGGCCATAACACGATGATGCGTCACCTGAGTGTGATGGGGGTGTCTGATGATATAATGTGTGAGCGCTGCGGAGTAGAGAAAACATCCTGGGTGCATATTCTGTGTCGCTGTGAGGCACTGAGCCACTACAGGCAGACTATGCTGTCTAACTTTTTGGATCCCCGGGATGTTAAGGAGCTGGGACTCAGGGCTATACTCAACTTTGCTAGAAGGGCTTGAGGCTTAGAGAATGTAGTGGTGCATAAGGGCCCGTTATGTGACCTCTGCGCAGGCTTCCTCCTAGCTGAGGATTTTCCTGCAAGAGGGCGTTTCTGTGAGTGGATGTTGCAGTCCATATTAGTCACGGACGAATCAATCTTCAGGGGTAACGGGAATGAGGTCCTTGTAAAAACCTCACGTAGTTCGTCGGTCACATTTACAACAAGCATTTTCTTTGAATATTTGGGCTGGTGTGGGAAATGGTATGCTTATTGGACCTTCTATTTTCCCAAATGGGCTGGAGGGTTTACAATACCTAGACTTTCCACGAAAGGTTTTACCAAAGGTGACAAGTTAGACCAGTACTTATAAGTGGCAGAGCCATACTTGAAATTTCTATGCAAGTACTTGTTCATTTATTTTTTTTTCACTTTTTCGCTACTGTTTAACAACACATTAACTTTGTTATTTCAAGCGTAGAAAGTACCAACTTTCAGGACACCTTATATTTGATGTTTCATTTTACCGAAAGGTATTTTTTGTAGTTTAAGTAGTATAAGCAGATACTTTGAAAACAACGTTAGGTTCAAGTTGAAGGATTGATATATTACATCGGCTTGTATGGAGCCTTGTTTCTTGCAAAGCCATTCGGAGGAGCTTAATAATAGTTGAATTCAATAAATAATTCAAAGTGTTAATAATTTGCTTGTTCCATTTATCCACTAGGTCAACGAATAATAACTGTTCGTTTGTTATACTGGTCTTCCGTGTTTCATCCACCTTATCCCGCGAAAATTTCCTTCGCACTATACAGGGTGTCCCAATATTCATAGAACAAGCGATAGGGGAGCTAATTGCAATGAGAAAAACCAAATATGTCCTTATGCGATTGTGACGGTTTTGAGTTATCGCCATTTTTAGGAAATCGTGGAAAATCGCTGGTTTTGAGACTGCACTAGTTTTTTTTTTGTTATTTTTCAATTAGATTTGCAGAATATGTCCTCAAATGATGTGTGAAAAAAAGCTATGAATGAAAATTTATTCCAGTTATTAGAGATACAGCAGTCTGTCAATCCGCAACTTTCTTTGTTGCCAAAAAGATTACAGCATATTCAACGAGACTTATAGAAAAAGTTAGCAGGCGGATAAAGTGTCCATAAAGATTAAAAAACTTCTCCGTACTAGGGCCTTGCAAAAAAACTATTAGATAATCAAATATCCTAAACAGTTTTGCGCAAAGTGAACAAAATGCTGCAGATACCCCAAATCCGGAAAATCCGATTTTTTAAACTTAATCCTTTAACTGCCGTTGTCGATCTTCCAGCTTCTGAATATGATAGGGAAACAATTGGCCATAGTATCGAGAGTTTTTTCACCACTATGGACACCTTATTCGCCTACTAATTTTTTGTACAAGCCTGGTTGAATATGCTGTAATCTTGTTGACAACAGAAAAAAATGCAGATTAGCCGATTGCTGTACCTACATTAACTGGACTAAATTTTCACTCATAGCATTTTTCTACCGACACATCATTTGAGAACACATCCTGTAAATCTCATTGAAAAATAACAAAAAGACAACTTCAAAAGAAATATACTAAGTGACATATAAATCCGAACACCCAGTTTAAATGGTTTTATTTTAATAAAAGTTGGTGAATGTATTTATCTTACTGTAAATAACAAGTGAAAAAAATTTCAGCCTTATCAGTTGGACATTCCGGTTTTTATACTGCTTTTTTTAATTCACTAACGCTCTAAAAATGAATATTTCAGCCGCAGTAAAGAATCAACGTTGGCGGATTTTGGTTCTTGACATCCTTTACGATCGGTTACGATGCCTAGAGTACGGAGACCTGTACGATTTCGTCAACTTAGTGAGTTTGATAGGGGCGGTATAGCTGGACCTTCTTTTCGGGCAATTGCAGTTAGAGTGCAAAGAAGTGTAGACACTGTGGTTAGGTGTTGTCAGGCATGGCTTCAAAAAGCCCGTACGCAAAGAGCAAGGGGCACTGGATGCCACCGTAGAACAACAGACCGTGAAGATCGCCGCCTAAGATTATTGGCCTTAAGGGACCGTTTCTCCACTACCAGGTCCTTTGCAAATGAATGGTTTGCAGAACACGGAAGACCTATTGGCATGCGAAGTGTTTACCGACGAATGAGAAGTTTTAGCTTGTTTTCATACCGGCCACACTGGGTCCTCCCTTTAACTCGAGAACACCGACGTAATCGCCTTGAGTAGTGCAGACAACGGTCACTCTGGGATCAGGAATGGAACAGTATTGTCTTTAGTGACGAGTCTCGATTTTGTTTAGGCATGCACGATGGTCGTGCCAGGGTTAGAAGGCGACGTGGTGAAAGGAGGAATCCACAGTTTTTTGTTGAAAGACATGTTCATCACACTGTTGGAGTTATGGTTTGGGGTGCTATAGCTTATGGTTCCAGGTCACCTTTAATCTTCATCAGAGGTAACATGAACGCGCAGCGTTATATCCACGAAGTTCTAGAACCCCATCTTTTACCCTATCTTGACACCCTGGCAGATCCAACTTTCCAACAAGATAATGCCCGACCACATGTTGCAAGAGTCACAATAGACTTCTTTCAACATAATGATGTCACATTGTTACCATGGCCACCAAGATCTCCCGACTTATCCCCAATTGAGCACGTGTGGAATATGATGGGTAGGAGATTGCTCAATTTGCAACGTCCTCCTCAGACTCTAGAAGCACTTCGAGAGGAGTTGGTGGTTGCCCAAAGGGCTTTAAAGCAGTGCAATCATTTTGAAATTTTTATCATTTACTTATTATGCTTCATTAAGTACTTATACAAAATTTTATTAAAATAAAACCATTTAAACCTGGTGTTCGGATTTATATGTCACTTATTATAGTTCAGTCTCAAAAATGGGATTTTCCACAAATTCTTAAGAATGGCGATAATTTCAAAAACCGTGCATAATCGGATGTGGTCATATAAGTTTTTTTGTGGTTGTCAATGACCCCTATCACCCCGTTTCGTTTGCTCTATGACTTTTGGATTTTTCAAAAATCGTCAAAGCGAAAAATAGTCCAAAGAATGGATCCTTAGATTTTTGTCACACATTTAGGAAATACTTTTCTATTGCTTACTCAATATTGGAGTATCCTATCAGTCTCACAGCTTGGGCAAAAAATGCAACGATGATAACATTCACATGTCCAATCTTCTTAGTGATGTTCTCTGCCCCATACAAGAAAGGAATGCTGCTGATTGTGCCTACAGTCACTGTTATACCAAGCAAAAATGTTGGAGCGCCTAGATCTCTTAGATAGAAGAACAGAAAGCTTTCGATGAAACCCCACAAATTCCCAAGAATAAACAAAAACAGTATGAAAACTATAAGATGAGGCATCTTGAATATTCTGAGCAAATCTGAGAAAATATTGTCTGCTGGGAGTTTTGTGCCCAAAGGCATCATGAACAAAGCTATGGAGGAAAAAATGAGCAGAATATCAAATGCGTAAAAGGCTGCCGAGTAGTCTGTGTAACCTAGCCTTTCACTAGTTTTATCTATAAGAAGACCGGTTAGTGGCGAAAAGGTTGCCATTCCTAAACTTGAGAACAGACGTTCTTTTCCGAAATCGCCTCCGTATTTTTCTATCATGGTTAAAGCTATGGGGTCCATGATAGTGACGGCTGCTGACATTGCTGTCGTTCCAAGAAATCTCAACACGAAATATATCCAAAAAACACTCTCATCGCTCTTTTTATAATCTGGGGGGCAAACTTCAGGACCACCGGACCTAAACTGACATCTTTGCAGGATACAATCACTGGTATAGTTTGAAAGGCGGTCTTTTGTGCTGACATTTGCTTGAAGGACCAATCCACCACATCTCAGGTCTTTGCCCTCTAGTTCTTCCCAGTCTACGCCATGTTTTTTCAACATTCCAGCTCTAAACCTCTTCTTGAATTCTGTCACATCCTCGTCTTCCTCGGCGGACTCTAGTTCTATTCCAAACTGCTCCACAGGGTCTCCAAGGTTGGGATGCATGTCTAGAGTCAATGCCGTTGCTGTGTCATTCCTGAAAAAATCGGACAATTGTTTCTCTGATTCTGGGTCCAAAGCTCTATTGTGCATTATGAGGCTTTTCGTTATTTTAGCAGAGGTGATGATTTGATGAATGTGTATGACGGTAAAATAAGTTATCTCAGTAGATTATGTTAACAAAATATTAAGGATAAGTGTCAAACTGTTCCAAGTAACTAAATTATTGAGATTAATTAAACTGATTCTTCTGAAACCAGTTTAATTGAAAGTAATATACATACTATTAAACTAATTTGCTTGAAAATAGCAATGTTTTTAAAACAATTGAACATTTTAATAAAAGCAGTTTTGCTATACTGTTTATTTGAATCGCGGACTTGGCAGGACTCGGACCTTAATTCGTGAACGATCGGGGGTATGCGATAGATGCAGTGCCGGTAACGCGCTTCAGTTTCATTTGTGATTGTCGCGAGGAGCTTCATATTCAAATGCTGCCGTTGTTAGTGGATCAACTATGGTGGTCAAGAAAAATACACGAGCATAAGGGACTTAGTGACTCCTAATCATGGTTAGAATATTCCAAGCTTTAAATAAAACACTTTATAGGGGAGTCACTGCTGAAGTGACGGAATGGGAAGAACTTTAAATTTTATTTATGCAACCATATTTAGGCCAATCAAGAATATTTATACCAAACATGTGCTTAACATACGCCTGATGTGCTTTTCTTTGATATTTTATAATGTAAATTGGAAGTGGAGCCTCCTGTTGGTGTAGAGTTTGTAGTATTTGGGAATAGTTTTTTTAAAGTACTGTAGAAAAAGTTTTATACAGCTTTATTCAGTTTACAGTGCTTTTCAAAAAGGTTTTTGACTTGCTATTAGCTCAACAACCAATCATCAAAACGCTATAAGGCTATATCAATCTGTTTTCTTGGAAGGAAATACCGAATATGCAATAATATGAGAAAAAATCTATTTTCAAAAAATGTCAAAATCTAGCAATCATTCTATTTAAAAAAGTTTGTAGACGGCGCACAGCCGTCGTCTTGATATAGACGTCTATGTTGTAAGTGTTATATGTTATAATTTGTTGAATGTTTTAGATGAGTGGTTATTGAGCCACCACCTTTATCTCAATTTGGATAAAACTTTAGCATTGAGTTTCCTCAATGCTCAAAAAAGCTCAGTCCCTTAAGTCTTAAAATCAAAGATAAAAATTCACAATTAGAACACCAAATAAGGTTCTTAGGGATTCACTTTGACGACAACCTTAGTTTTAGAGCACATTGTGACTTTGTTGTTTTGAGTCTGAATTCACAATCATTTAACAGAAAAGAATGGAGAACTATTCTAACTGAGATTCAATTAATAACGATATATTATGCTCAAGTTACTAAGCTAACTAAACTAAACCGCCTACCAAATTTCATGTTCTTAGATCAAATAGTGTTCGAGATAAATAAACTTGAAAAGGTTCCCTGTGGAAATATTCAACCTCCTTCTACCCCATCTTGAAGATGTAATTTCTGAAACTCTTTGTTAATAATAATTACTTTAAAGATAAAATTGAAGGCAATACATACTCCTACCTTCAGGCTGGATTAATTTGAGATATTCTAGATTCTCCATTCAAACTCGAAAAGTGAGAATTCGCACTTTACTTTCTTAGGAGTGTAATTTACAAAGATAAATGTAAGTACCCATTTACACGGTATCAAACAGCCGAGTATAGGAAACGCATATTTGTATACATAGCCTTAAAAAATAATAGTTTCCCTATAGTAGCTTTTATTCCTTATTTCAACCCTTTCAAGCCTAATTTTCACATCAAACGTGTAGCCTATGTTCGCCTCCAAGATACGATCTATGGATGTGCTAAAATTCCTCAAAATGAAAACACAAACATAGATACAAACATACATACACATATATACATACAAACATAAATACAAACATACATACAAACAGACACACATACAAACATACATACAAACATCCATACAAACATGCATACAAGCATACATACATACAAACATATATATAAACATACATACAAACACACATACAAACATACATACACATACATACATACAAACATACATACAAACAGACATACATACAAACATACATACAAACATGCATACAGGCATACATACATACATACATACAAACATATATATATATATATAATTTTTAATCTGTCTTTAACTTGTCTTGTCATATTTTATATAATTTTACCCATTGTACCATGTATCCAGCTCTCACCATGTTACTGGACGTTTCCCTCATCCTATACGAAAACAACAATTAGCAACATCCTCACATACTACTCTCCTGATGATGATGGCAAAGTCCATTGAAAGCTAGAGAGAATTAAAAAAGTATAAAGAGTCCTCTTTGCTTAAATTTTGTCGAAGTACCCAATAAAACGCGGAAGCTTTAATTTTTCACCTAACTGGTTTAGACGACAATGACCACGTCTCAAGTTATATATATATATATATATATATATAAACATACATACAAGCATATATACATACAAACACACATACAAACACACATACAAACACACATGCAAACATGCATACATAGCCTTAAAAAATAATAGTTTCCCTATAGTAGCTTTTATTCCTTATTTCAACCCTTTCAAGCCTAATTTTCACATCAAACGGTAGCCTATGTTCGCCTCCAAGATACGATCTATGGATGTGCTAAAATTCCTCAAAATGAAAACACAAACATAGATACAAACATACATACACATATATACATACAAACATAAATACAAACATACATACAAACAGACACACATACAAACATACATACAAACATCCATACAAACATGCATACAAGCATACATACATACAAACATATATATAAACATACATACAAACACACATACAAACATACATACACATACATACATACAAACATACATACAAACAGACATACATACAAACATACATACAAACATGCATACAGGCATACATACATACATACATACATACAAACATATATATAATTTTTAATCTGTCTTTAACTTGTCTTGTCATATTTTATATAATTTTACCCATTGTACCATGTATCCAGCTCTCACCATGTTACTGGACGTTTCCCTCATCCTATACGAAAACAACAATTAGCAACATCCTCACATACTACTCTCCTGATGATGATGGCAAAGTCCATTGAAAGCTAGAGAGAATTAAAAAAGTATAAAGAGTCCTCTTTGCTTAAATTTTGTCGAAGTACCCAACAAAACGCGGAAGCTTTAATTTTTCACCTAACTGGTTTAGACGACAATGACCACGTCTCAAGTTATATATATATATATATATAAACATACATACAAGCATATATACATACATACAAACACACATACAAACACACATACAAACACACATACAAACACACATGCAAACATGCATACAAACATGCATACAAACATACATACAAACATAACAAACGTACGTACGTACAAACGTGCTTACACACTTTCACATGTATAATATTAGTAGGTTATATCGATTTTTTACGTAGTATCCCTGCCGGCATCAGTTATTTAAGAGAACGAGGAGCCTGATAGAGCCAACACATTGAAGCGTTTAAGAATGGATTACCTTTTCTTTTTTTTGATATGGAAGCTGAGATCATCCATGTCACCCACATCAACCCCTGCAGCAGTGAGATTATTTTTCTTTTGTTTCAACCACTTGGCCTCGTAGAGCAGACAATGGTCGACGCACATATCCAAAACTATGTCCAATTCTTCTATATCTGGACACTCCCTACTAGGGCAAGGGCTCCACCATACTTCGACATACATTTTCTTGGGATGCCTGATGATATATCCATCAGGAACAGTTCCTGGGGTCTCTTGGTGTGGCATGAACAGCAAAGAATGGTGCAAAAGTGCAGTTAGAAGAAAAGATGATATCACTACAGGCTTGTACTTTCCGAACTTGTCAACTATATAGCCTGTTGCAGGAGGAGCCAAAAAGGTAGTGAATGGCAAAGCTAAGTACACCCAGGCTATTTGCTCCATGGTTAAGCCAATGCTTTGCATATGGATGGTCAGATACGGGATCAAGGATGACGTAGCTGAAAAATATTTCTTTAATCATTATTATGAGACTACTGGATTCATAAGATTCGTTCTTAGTTGCGAACCAATATCAAATGAGAAAATATTAGTTACCAGCAGAAATATAAAAAATAAACTTACTAGTGGACCTGATCAAATTCCAACTGTTTTTGTTAAAGACTGTATCAGTCAATTAGTTCATCTTTTACGGGTTATCTTTAACGTAATCTTAAAAACAACTGTTATTTCCGATAAGTGGAAAATTGCTAAAGTTTGCCCGATTCCGAAGTCAAGCAGTTATCACTGTATGAGTGAGTATAGGGTTATATATACAGGGTAACTTCCAAGTTGAGTCATTTATTTTAACAGTGAGTAGATCTGATCAAAAGAAATGTTTTTTCCTTCACCATTTTTCTGGTAAAATTAAAGTATCAAAGTTATAGCCCTTTGGAAGTTTGAGTACCGCCCTGTCTCAATAATAATATTATGTGCTCGTGTTTGGCAACAACGGATATAATCCGCCGTATCGGTTCATCGCATCGGAAACAAAAAAGCGAAAGAATTTGGAACGGTGTTTTTACAATTATTTTATTCATTTGTATACAGTCAGTGTCAGTGAATAGTGGTGTCTGTTGCGTGGCTCAAACGAAATAAAAAATGGCACATGTTTACGAAAATGCTGAATGTAGTACAAAGGGCTCGTGAATCAGGTGACTTAAGACCTCACAGGGGAGAGCATGCCGGTGCTCCAAGACCTCACGATCAAATACAGGTCCGAACTGAAATACTTGTCGGGAGGATACTTTATAAAACAAGGTAAAATTTTTTTTATAATTTTTTTTTTATTTTGACACACATATTTTGGTTTATCTTCCTTCTACAATCATTATCTGAAAATTAATGACTCAACTTCAAAGTCACCCTGTATATATAGAAAATGATCATGCGGAGAAAGGTATATAATAAAAAGTATGAAAATAATGGGCAAAATCCGCAAAAAGGAGGAAAGTGGATTCTAGCAGAAAATAGGATAGGTAACCCGAGCGATACGTATTTCTGCTAGTTGGCTTAAGCAGGCCCGAAATGAATGCACATATGCAACTACAAAAGTAGATACACATGCCCACACATCCGGATACGGTGTGTAACCTGAGGAAACGAAGATGGAGAGGAAAAAAAATCGACACCCGAAGTCCACAACAAGAGTCAACCTACACATTGTAGTATAAAATGGCTAGAAGACCTAGAATTTTCACGCGTGGTTGTGGTTAGATGTCTCCTTGAAAATTCTAGTTCTTCTAGCCATTTTATACTACAATGTGTAGGTTGCCTCTTGTTGTGGACTTCGTGTGTCGATTTGTTTCTTCAGGTTACACCCGTATCCGCATGTGTGGACATGTGTATCTACTATTGTAGATATTTCGGGTCTGACGAAGCCAACCAGCAGAAATACGTATCGCTCGGGTTACCTATCCTGTTTTCCTACAAACCACTTTACTGCTATATCTAGAGGGCCTCCGTTTCGAGGATTGACAGGAGCGCTAGCACAAGTGCATAATATCTAATGGAGACTATTTTCAAGGCGGCATCATTAATGTAGACGAATAAATAAATATTTTTCCAAAAAACGAAAATTGCCGTTATTTTCTGAATACACTGCCTTTCAAAAGGCTTATTTTTGAACGGGTATATAAGAAGGCTGAAATTCACGGCGAAGTCTTTAAAGTGGGGGAGTCGCAGCATCTTGAAACATTTTTTTAATATGGAATTTTGAAGCTCTGCTAGGATATTAAATTGATATCGTCCAAAATGGCAGCTGTCGAAGTTTAAGTTTTTTTTTTGCATTGAAATGCTAATAGCTCAATAACGACTACATTCGGCACAAATTAGCCCTTTCGAGAAAAAAATGAGTTACAAGCATATAAAACAAAGGAAAAATAATTGGATCAATTCTCTATCATTTTAAGCTCGAAATCGAAATTTGAGATATGTCAAATATGTCTAATAAGTGCGAAGAATCACCGAGGCTGGAAGCATATAATTATACTAACGCCAAAATAATGAGATATTCCTTTTCTCAAAAAAATTTGAATGATCTTTGTTTTTCTTTTGCTTTTTTGCTTGAAGTACCGCCGCTACTCGATCTACTTTCAAAAACTACATCTATTGCTCTTGGCATAAAAGTCCGAGCAGTACTTTCCATGTTATATACGGGTCAAGGATTAGCAGACAGACGGAAATTAGTGATAATTGTACATCTCGTGCAACATCTAAAAAATAATATCTCATTTTTGAAATTTTAGGCAACTACAATTACAAGCTCGCCAGTGGCATGGGAAGTAAAACAGATTTGGAATCTACGCATCCAATTTATTCACGAAACGAGCGTTTTCCTAGATCACAGTTACGCAGGCGTTTTTGAAAATTTCGCATTTTCAAAGCATTCAGATAGGAAAGGATCGAAAACAGTTTTTGCATGTAATTGCTGTGTAGTGCTTCCGAATCAGGAGAATAAATGTAATAAAGGTATTACATTTATTAAGTACAATAAACTAATAAAGATATATAATTTCTCAAGTACATTTGATAAAAAATTGGCAGTAATCATTTATGCGTAGGATTACTGAGATCAAAAGCTTATTGGAAATAAAACCACTTTTACTAACGCATACAAATAGATTTACCACCATACAAGATGGATAATACCTGAAATTTATGACATTTAGAAATAATTAAACAAATAGAGGTTTCGGAAACGAAAAATGAAGTAAATTTTCGCATTTTTTAGCTGCAACGGAATCGATTTTCAAAAATCACAAAGGTTTTTCTTAGTTGCCGTAAGACTAACCTTTTTGCTCAGAAACTCGTCAAAATCCAAATGCTATTTTCTGATGAGTCTGTCACAGCGACATATTGAAGAATATGAGTGTCATGGTTTTTCATATTGTTATAGATCATCAAAATAGTGATAATTTTATTGTTCCACCGCTTCCCTTACTTATTGATATGGAAAGTAAATATAGCACTATGGTTAGGTAATTATTTTCAAAATTAACAGAAAATGCGTCAAAAACGGCATAGTACATCTAATTTTATTATGTTGTTATGCATTATGATAAGAGTGCTTGTCAGGATCTTTAATCTAACTTACATTTACTTTACAGGAAAAAAAATGTTTACAGACCTCCATATAGAAAAAACAGGGTAAGTTTGAGCATTATGAGGTTCTTGTTGAATCCAAAAAACGATTTCTTTGGCTCGGCATCGGTGTTAACCTCCATATCTGCCGTAGTATCCTTCTCCATTTCGATAAAGTGTGAAGCCCACGATTTTTTACGATAGGAAGATACAACCACGACACAAAGTTAAACTGATATGAAGTCTTGAGAATAATATATGTTAAATTACATTATTTGTTCAGAATACGAGATAGTGGCTTGTCTATCTTGGAAATATTTACATTGAGATGTATAATAATATTATAGGCGTCAGCTTTCGCCAATCTAATGTAAACTTGGATGAATTAGTTGTACTACCATGGCATTTGAAATGTAACCAAATAAAAAAATGGCGTCAAGTATGTTGACTCTGCACCTCCCACGCAACGCCGTCATCAGTTCATAAAGGATTAAGTTCAACACAAGCTAAACTCACTGAGGACAATAAGATAGAAGTTAAACGGTTTTTGTCAGTTAGCCAGTCCATACAATTAGTCCAGAGACGTTCTCTCCTTGCGCTACCGATAGTCCATCTGTCAACGTCGCCTCTCCCCGATACCTAAATCGGTTGCCGGTCAGACGTGGCAGCGCGGCAGTAATACCAGTGCACTCACTAAGATTGACACGCCACCGGGAGCAGGAGCAGACGCGATAGAAAACATTTCTCATTCTATCAATATTTCTAATAGGTGCGTACAATTACAGAGGAAAATTAAGATATACCTTCTCCCACCCCCAAATGTTTGCTCCTAAAATTGAAAAAAATGATCAGGATCCTCTGAAACAACAACAACAAATGAATCAAAGCTTTTCTTCCTTGATATAATATTTAGGATCACATCACTGCCACATCGTGCTAACTCACAACCAAACATGCAAACCATCAGCTATGTGCAAGCGATTTCAGATTCCGATTGTTTCATTTCTGATTCTGATGGTTTAGATTCCGACTACGACGGTTTTGATTCCGGCAGGGGTATTATGCAAATAACCCAAAAAAAGTCAAAAATGGCGACAAAATGTCATCTTGCAGACTAGGTGGTTTTTAGTATGCAAATAGTTCATCACGTTTGCTCGCTATGAACCTTATCAAAAGCGTCCATCTATGGAGGAATGACTCAATGATAGTCGGTTGAGTAGCAAGATCGCATCTGGGTGATTATGTGTATTGGTCTGCATGTGTGTAAAATTACTGATGTTTACTATGTGAGAAAATTAAAACTGAATATGCTGCCAATGTCTATTGACTGTGCCCGACGGGTTATTTATATGTTATCCTTTCTGAAGACAGGTTATGTTCAAAGTTTTAAATAACGATTATTCCCGTTTTTTGTGTTTTCAAAAAGTTTGAGGAGAATTACGGGAAATCACCACCGCGCCCGCGTTGTTCGTAATGTTACTGTTAGCATGTATATGACTTGTAATTCGACAGTGTACAGTGAATATATACTATGTGACATATAAATCCGAACACCCAGTTTAAATGGTTTTATTTTAATAAAACTTAATGAAGCATAATAAGTAAATGATAAAAATTTCAAAATGATTGCACTGCTTTAAAGCCCTTTGACCTTTAATAATGTGTGGATGCACCCTGATGTGCTACGCATTCTCCAACGCGCCTAGGCATGCTTCTGATCAGGTGGTCAATGTCCTCCTGTGGTATCTCATCCCAGGCACCCACCAACTCCTCTCGAAGTGCTTCTAGAGTCTGAGGAGGACGTTGCAAATTGAGCAATCTCCTACCCATCTCACGTGCTCAATTGGGGATAAGTCGGGAGATCTTGGTGGGCATGGTAACAATGTGACATCATTATGTTGAAAGAAGTCTATTGTGACTCTTGCAACATGTGGTCAGGCATTATCTTGTTGGAAAGTTGGATCTGCCAGGGTGTCAAGATAGGGTAAAAGATGGGGTTCTAGATTAAAGGTGACCTGGAAACTGGAACCATAAGCTATAGCACCCCAAATCATAACTCCAACAGTGTGATGAACATGTCTTTCAACAAAAAACTGTGGATTCCTCCTTTCACCACGTCGCCTTCTAACCCTGGCACGACCATCGTGCATGCCTGAACAAAATCGAGACTCGTCACTAAAGACAATACTGTTCCATTCCTGATCCCAGAGTGACCGTTGTCTGCACCACTCAAGGCGATTACGTCAGTGTTCTCGAGTTAAAGGGAGGACCCAGTGTGGCCGGTATGAAAACAAGCCAAAACTTCTCATTCGTCGGTAAACACTTCGCATGCCAATAGGTCTTCCGTGTTCTGCAAACCATTCATTTGCAATGGACCTGGTAGTGGAGAAACGGTCCTTTAAGGCCAATAATCTTAGGCGGCGATCTTCACGGTCTGTTGTTCTACGGCGGCGTCCAGTGTCCCTTGCTCTTTGCGTACGGCCTTCTCGAAGCCATGCCTGACAACACCTAACCACAGTGTCTACACTTCTTTGCACTCTAACTGCAATTGCCCGAAAATAAGGTCCAGCTTCCCGAAGTCCCACTATACGGCCCCTATCAAACTCACTAAGTTGACGAAATCGTACAGGTCTCCGTACTCTAGGCATCGTAACCGATCGTAAAGGATGTCAAGAACCAAAATCCGCCAACGTTGATTCTTTACTGCGGCTGAAATATTCATTTTTAGAGCGTTAGTGAATTAAAAAAAGCAGTATAAAAACCGGAATGTCCAACTGATAAGGCTGAAAATTTTTTCACTTGTTATTTACAGCAAGATAAATACATTCACCAACTTTTATTAAAATAAAACCATTTAAACTGTGTGTTCGGATTTATATGTCACTTAGTATAATTGCAGTATGTGGCAGTATGTAAGTATAAAATATAAGATTCCATATACAGTTAATTACTTCACCAACCAGGAATTTTCTTTACTTATCTCTCTCATTTTTGAAATTCAGCAGATGTAATGTAATTTCCAGAAGGAATAAGAAAAAGTGGATGCGTAGTTGATTCATAGCTTTGAATAATACATCTCAAGTAAGTGTATTTGAGACAAGAAACCAATGGAGTTATCATCAGCACAGATCCTCACTATGCACATATGCACTGCCGTTTCCTTCCAGCTTACAGCCTAGACCTCCACTAATACGATCTCTGGAGCAAATGTTACATCACATCAGAGACAAACATTGACAGCTGAAGCATCATGAAGTTCAGGCAACACGCACAGCTAGTTCACGAGTTCACAACAAGTATATAATAGATAGTGCTAAGTTGACATCTTGTATAAAAACCTAATATATCACAAAAAACTTATAAAATGTAAAAAACGACAATATGTCACTTTTCAAGATACATAATACCCGTGCGGTTCCCATGATTGTATTAAGGAAAAAATCAATTAAACCCATTAAAATCAAACCAAAACCTTGTATACCTTGGATGATTCAGAAATCTGAACAATATTGTTCAGCAGCTGATCTTACAGCTGAGAGTGTCTAGCCCTTAGCCGGTCTACCGATTTGCATTCGTGTGTTTTCCACGCGGGAAATATATCGATCATTTAGTCTAGACACTTCGGAAGCCTTTGCAGCTAGTACAGTTGAATTAACCTCTTGGAACAAACTAGTATTTATCCTTCAATTCCCATGAACATCTTGACCGCATCTTTAACAAAAATAGCGTAAATAAATATGATTAACCAAAAAAGGTGTCAAGTAGGTTGACTCTGCACTTCCTACACAACGCTGTCCTCAATTCATAATGGATTATATTCCGTACAAGTTATACTAAGTGACATATAAATCCGAACACCCAGTTTAAATGGTTTTATTTTAATAAAAGTTGGTGAATGTATTTATCTTACTGTAAATAACAAGTGAAAAAATTTTCAGCCTTATCAGTTGGACATTCCGGTTTTTATACTGCTTTTTTTTAATTCACTAACGCTCTAAAAATGAATATTTCAGCCGCAGTAAAGAATCAACGTTGGCGGATTTTGGTTCTTGACATCCTTTACGATCGGTTACGATGCCTAGAGTACGGAGACCTGTACGATTTCGTCAACTTAGTGAGTTTGATAGGGGCCGTATAGTGGGACTTCGGGAAGCTGGACCTTATTTTCGGGCAATTGCAGTTAGAGTGCAAAGAAGTGTAGACACTGTGGTTAGGTGTTGTCAGGCATGGCTTTGAGAAGGCCGTACGCAAAGAGCAAGGGGCACTGGACGCCGCCGTAGAACAACAGACCGTGAAGATCGCCGCCTAAGATTATTGGCCTTAAGGGACCGTTTCTCCACTACCAGGTCCATTGCGAATGAATGGTTTACAGAACACGGAAGACCTATTGGCATGCGAAGTGTTTACCGACGAATGAGAAGTTTTGGCTTGTTTTCATACCGGCCACACTGGGTCCTCCCTTTAACTCGAGAACACCGACGTAATCGCCTTGAGTGGTGCAGACAACGGTCACTCTGGGATCAGGAATGGAACAGTATTGTCTTTAGTGACGAGTCTCGATTTTGTTTAGGCATGCACGATGGTCGTGCCAGGGTTAGAAGGCGACGTGGTGAAAGGAGGAATCCACAGTTTTTTGTTGAAAGACATGTTCATCACACTGTTGGAGCTATGGTTTGGGGTGCTATAGCTTATGGTTCCAGGTCACCTTTAATCTTCACAGAGGTAACATGAACGCGCAGCGTTATATCCACGAAGTTCTAGAACCCCATCTTTTTCCCTATCTTGACACCCTGGCAGATCCAACTTTCCAACAAGATAATGCCCGACCACATGTTGCAAGAGTCACAATAGACTTCTTTCAACATAATGATGTCACATTGTTACCATGGCCACCAAGATCTCCCGACTTATCCCCAATTGAACACGTGTGGAATATGATGGGTAGGAGATTGCTCAATATGCAACGTCCTCCTCAGACTCTAGAAGCACTTCGAGAGAAGTTGGTGGTTGCCTGGAAGGAGATTCCACAGGAGGACATTGACCACCTGATCAGAAGCATGCCTAGGCGCGTTGGAGAATGCGTAGCACATCAGGGTGCATCCACACATTATTAAACGTCAAAGGGCTTTAAAGCAGTGCAATCATTTTGAAATTTTTATCATTGACTTATTATGCTTCATTAAGTACTTATACAACATTTAAACTGGGTGTTCGGATTTATACGTCACTTAGTATATATCTGAGTGCCTCGTGAATGTCCAACAAATTACTAATTTTTTACATTATTTTCAACGTTTGTAATTTTCTGAAGTATTGATCAATAACTTACCTAACTAAATAACTTACCTAATTATTACTGGGTGTTCTTTTATCTGTTACTTAGTATATCATTGCCCGCTGCTTGACGGGTATCAACGTCATTCCCTGCAAATGAAATTAGGGCTCTTGTGTTATGTTTTTAATAACATTGCCCTACGCAGCAGACCACCCACGTCATTACCCAGCCATCAACGTAAATGCTAGAAATATCGTCAGTGCCCATAACAATATCAAATAAAGTGAAGGATTTATTGAAAAGTACTGCATTTTTCTGTTATGTAGATTCCTAGCGCAAAGCTCTCGAATTCTAGTATCCGTTAGTCTAAAAGCCCTGAACTAAAGGTGCAACGCGCAAGTCGAGGGGTGGAACACACGATAATGGCAGAAAGCTGATTTTCAGCTATGATCCTTAAATTTTATTTTTCGTTTGAGAAAATTGTGTTTTTCCGCATATAGTGCATGTTATAATTATTTTGTCATGTCTAGTTTGACTGTCAAAAAGAAAGGCAACGTTGTGCATCGTACTACCAGTGAAACACTCAGATTAGGCGACTACATCTCCCAGGTAATTTGATTTTCTATTTGACCGAATTATCAGTTTATCAAGTGTGAATAATTTTTCATTATTTGAATTCTAATAATTTTCCCAATCAGCGATGAACGATAATGCACACGGTACATGGGATTTTGGAGACCGGTTCTTTATTTTTGTCCTTGTTTTAAACCCTCTTTATAAGCTAATATACAGGGAGATTCAGTCTGTGAAAATCCAAAGTTCACCAATTTTCGCCTAACAAACAATCTTAAAAATAGTATGTTTGTCCATGTTTGTCTAGCCAATAAAACCACATGTATTTGAAATTCTTCTTCAATGTATACGTTATGTTATGGTGACCTTTTTCAGTACATTACACTTATACAGTATTTTATTTATCTTTCATGTGACAGCCCGATTGTTTTTTCTTTTCATTTTCAAATTAAAATATACTCTTCAGATTCTTGTAGAGCAAGGTTTTACGTTTAATTCAAATACTTGGCGACCTGAAAAATTAGAAATTTTAACCGACTTTTTAAGCATTGGGTATACCCATGTATAGTGGTAACGGCCAAGTTGAAAAAAAAGTTCCTAAGGACCTTTTTTAGTCTGAATAATCAAAAAAAAAACAAAAAAAATTGTTCATACGGAAAAACATTGCTTTGAAACTTGTGAGTAGTGCGACGTTGCCAGATTGTGCCAGGCGAGTTTAAATGCATGGTATGCTGATAATTTTAAGCACAATGTGGGGAATTTGTTTGCCAGCTACAATTGCTTATTTCAAACTGATTAATTAATGACCACAATATCCAATGAACACTTTTGAACAGATCAGATGAGCCGAGAATCTCTAAAACTTTGCAGCTTGATTTTTGTCATAATCACGCTTGTCGGATGTACCTTAACAAGAAATAAGGGATATCCGCTCAGTATTTCGGATCAAGCTTGTTTAAATAATTTGAACCCTACCCATGAGATCGAATGAGGACAAAACATGAATATTGCTCAAATAATGAAATGATGAGATAGGATTACACTCCTATATACAGTTTTTAATATTAAACTTCACCAGCCTCAGCATATTTGGAAGTAGAACGGGTTGACATTTTTTATACAGAGATATATATATATATATATACTAAGTGACATATAAATCCGAACACCCAGTTTAAATGGTTTTATTTTAATAAAATTTTGTATAAGTACTTAATGAAGCATAATAAGTAAATGATAAAAATTTCAAAATGATTGCACTGCTTTAAAGCCCTTTGACCTTTAATAATGTGTGGATGCACCCTGATGTGCTACGCATTCTCCAACGCGCCTAGGCATGCTTCTGATCAGGTGGTCAATGTCCTCCTGTGGTATCTCATTCCAGGCAACCACCAACTCCTCTCGAAGTGCTTCTAGAGTCTGAGGAGGACGTTGCAAATTGAGCAATCTCCTACCCATCATATCCCACACGTGCTCAATTGGGGATAAGTTGGGAGATTTTGGTGGCCATGGTAACAATGTGACATCATTATGTTGAAAGAAGTCTATTGTGACTCTTGTTGGAAAGTTGGATCTGCCAGGGTGTCAAGATAGGGTAAAAGATGGGATTCTAGAACTTCGTGGATATAACGCTGCGCGTTCATGTTACCTCTGATGAAGATTAAAGGTGACCTGGAACCATAAGCTATAGCACCCCAAACCATAACTCCAACAGTGTGATGAACATGTCTTTCAACAAAAAACTGTGGATTCCTTCTTTCACCACGTCGCCTTCTAACCCTGGCACGACCATCGTGCATGCCTAAACAAAATCGAGACTCGTCACTAAAGACAATACTGTTCCATTCCTGATCCCAGAGTGACCGTTGTCTGCACCACTCAAGGCGATTACGTCGGTGTTCTCGAGTTAAAGGGAGGACCCAGTGTGGCCGGTATGAAAACAAGCCAAAACTTCTCATTCGTCGGTAAACACTTCGCATGCCAATAGGTCTTCCGTGTTCTGCAAACCATTCATTTGCAATGGACCTGGTAGTGAAGAAACGGTCCCTTAAGGCTAATAATCTTAGGCGGCGATCTTTACGGTCTGTTGTTCTACGGCGTCGTCCAGTGCCCCTTGCTCTTTGCGTACGGCCTTCTCGAAGCCATGCCTGTCAACACCTAACCACAGTGTCTACACTTCTTTGCACTCTAACTGCAATTGCCCGAAAGGAAGTCCAGCTTCCCGAAGTCCCACTATAAGGCCCCTATCAAACTCACTAAGTTGACGAAATCGTACAGGTCTCCGTACTCTAGGCATCGTAACCGATCGTAAAGGATGTCAAGAACCAAAATCCGCCAACGTTGATTCTTTACTGCGGCTGAAATATTCATTTTTAGAGCGTTAGTGAATTAAAAAAAAGCAGTATAAAAACCGGAATGTCCAACTGATAAGGCTGAAAATTTTTCACTTGTTATTTACAGTAAGATAAATACATTCACCAACTTTTATTAAAATAAAACCATTTAAACTGGCTGTTCGGATTTATATGTCAGTATACAATGCACTAATTAACAGGAGTCACTCAGTTTATATGGCAAAGGTATTTGGGATACAAAGAAGATGCATCAGATATATGTATGGTTTGCATTATATTGAATCATGCAAATCAACGTTTATTAACAAAAAATAATGCCATTGCCCTGGTTAATGCATGTTAAACATAACCCAATCAGTTGTACTACGCATGGGGCCATTTATAACCATAATACACGCAATCAGGTTAATCTTCTACTGACGCAAAACAGACTCAATAAAACTAGATATGGGCCAAACTATTACCGCATAAAATTTTTCAACGATGTTCCCCAGACTGTACATTAGTTGGAGAATAATTTTAATTCAAAGAGATACCTCACAAGAAAATAGTTTCAATAGTTTTGAAAAATATACTAAGTGACATATAAATCCGAACACCCAGTTTAAATGGTTTTATTTTAATAAAAGTTGGTGAATGTATTTATCTTACTGTAAATAACAAGTGAAAAAATTTTCAGCCTTATCAGTTGGACATTCCGGTTTTTATACTGCTTTTTTTTAATTCACTAACGCTCTAAAAATGAATATTTCAGCCGCAGTAAAGAATCAACTTTGGCGGATTTTGGTTCTTGACATCCTTTACGATCGGTTACGATGCCTAGAGTACGGAGACCTGTACGATTTCGTCAACTTAGTGAGTTTGATAGGAGCCGTATAGTGGGACTTCGGGAAGCTGGACTTTCTTTTCGGGCAACTGCAGTTAGAGTGCAAAGAAGTGTAGACACTGTGGTTAGGTGTTGTCAGGCATGGCTTCGAGAAGGCCGTACGCAAAGAGCAAGGGGCACTGGACGCCGCCGTAGAACAACAGACCGTGAAGATCGCCGCCTAAGATTATTGGCCTTAAGGGGCCGTTTCTCCACTACCAGGTCCATTGCAAATGAATGGTTTGCAGAACACGGAAGACCTATTGGCATGCGAAGTGTTTACCGACGAATGAGAAGTTTTGGCTTGTTTTCATACCGGCCACACTGGGTCCTCCCTTTAACTCGAGAACAACGACGTAATCGCCTTGAGTGGTGCAGACAACGGTCACTCTGGGATCAGGAATGGAACAGTATTGTCTTTAGTGACGAGTCTCGATTTTGTTTAGGCATGCACAACCAAAATGAAAACAAAATGTTAAATCAAATGTACGAACATACCTCCTTCTTGGGTTTGGTAGTAACCTAACCTATTGTAGAAACCTGTGCAAAAAGATTGCACGACCTTCTGCGTTAGCGTCTAGGCAATGCGGTTATGACCTTCGCTGTTCAGCCGGCTTCTATCTCTTTCTAACACTTCTGGTGCTCCTCTCAAGGCGTCATACAAATTTGGTTTTCCCTCTATATCGTTTTTATAATAATAATAAGAAATTGAGATTAAAATCTATTCCATCCCACTATAAAGATATTGGAGCAGATCAGTCAGTTATATATTGACCACCCTGTATTATTTATTGTCCCACAGGTACGTGCAACTATTCAGTCCACAACAAGGAAGAAGTCTCAGGCAACATCACCAAGCTGTTCTTTCCAAATAACTGGTGTAAGTTTGACACGATATGACATTGGGGATGACTCCGCAGATGACCTGGATGAGTCTCACACCGATGATATATCCAGAGTCACCGACAATGAGACTCCAAGCTTTTCCGAGGACTCCAGAGATACTGATGAACCTCCAGTTACCGCACCGGATACGACTACAGAGACCGAAACAGATACAACTACGACCGTTAGTATTGTTGAGAGTATTTATAAAATTTGATTTTCAAATGTTTTAGAAATTTCGAAGTGATCATCCAAACCGCACACGAGACTCGGGAAACCGGTTAAATTTTCTGAAAATATGCGATCTTGTCCATGGGCGCCCGCAGGAATTTTTCTAATGAGGGCTAAATCAAAAAAATTTACACAAAACCATGCTAAATATGCAAAATTTAAGGTCATACCTGCGGGCGCCCATGCTTCCCCAAAAATTGAAAATCAGTTATTGTTTTTTGGATGTTACACGTGTTTATGATAACTATAAAGCATACAGGGTGTTACTTAATGATAGGTCGTAAATGAACGGGCGCAGTCCTGTACCAAATTTAAGCAGAAAAGTTAGTACTAACTAAAGATAAATTCAAATTCTAGTAGCGTCTCGGAAGCAGTCTCATTAATAACACTGGACAACAAATTTTAGTTTTTTAATTGTATCTTGTGGGAAAAGTGCACCGCTTTGTTAATTTTGGGGCGCTGAATCCAAAAATGACAATGAAATAAAAAAATTAGTTGCGGTTTAGAAAAAAAACTTTTTATTTTTAAGGATATATTAAAAAAAGTAACAAGATTCATATACTTATAAGAATCACTATATGCGCTGTCTTTTTGCTGTTCTTTTATGGATCGTTTCTGGAGCATCTCCACCAAGAGTCCAACAGTAGTCTGCAAGCATGGAAGGATTCCACTTTCCCTGGTACCTTTTTTCCATTGTTGAAATATCCTGATGAAAACGTTCGCCGTGCTCATCACTTACGGCTCCACAATTGTCAGGAAAAAAGTCCAGGTGTGAGTGTAGGAAATGTATCTTAAGAGACATATTACAGCCCATCTTTTGATACGATGACAGCATATTTTTGACAAGGGTTTTATAGTTGTCAGCTTTTCTATTTCCCAAGAAATTAGTGACCACCAGACGGAAATCATTCCAAGCAGTTTTTTCAATACCTGTTAAAGTGTTTTCAAACTGTGTATCTTTCAAAATATTTCGAATCTGTGGCCCAACAAAAATAGCTTCTTTAACCTTTGCCTCACTTAGTCTTGGAAATTTCTTACGCAGGTATTGAAAAGCTGACCCATTTCTATCTAATGCCTTGACAAAGTTTTTCATTAGGCCCAACTTGATATGCAGTGGTGGTAATAAAATTTTTTTCGAATCTACTAATGGCATATGCTGTAAATTTTTTTGACCTGGCTCTAGGAATTGACGAACAGGCCAGTTTTGTCTGGTGTAATGAAGTGCCTTTGCCCGACTGTCCCATTCACACAAAAAACAGCAAAACTTTGTGTAGCCTAGCTGCAGCCCAAGTAAAAGTGCAACAGCTTTCAAATCGCCACAAATATGCCATTGGTGCTCATCGTATTTTATGCATGTCAATAGGTACTTCATATTGTCATATGATTCTTTCATGTGAACTGCATACCCTACAGGAAGAGATGGTAAAATATTTCCAATATGCAATAACACTGCCTTTAAACTCAATGTTGAACTGTCTATAAACAATCTCCATTCTTCTGGGTTATAGTTTATATTTAAAGCCGCCAGTAAGCCGTTAATGTTACTGCAGAAAGCCAAGTTATTCTCCATATTGAAAAATGGTTCTAAGTCTTTGTGGCGTTTACGAAAAACACATACCGAAACATCGTCTTCTAACAAGTTCCACTGCTGCAGTCTTGATCCAAGTAACTCTGCCTTACATTTTGGAAGTTCTAAATCTCTTACAAGATCATTTAATTCTGAGTGTGTCATTTTGTGCGGTTGGTGGCATGACGTGCTCGGTATAAAATCAGGATCTCTTGATGTTGATGGCATATCTTCTTCCTGACGAATCACTCGATCGCCATGATCTGATTCGTTTTCTGATTCGCAAGTGTAGGATTCTTTGGGTTTTGGAATAGGATTTTCGTCACTGTGAGGCACAGGTCTCATCGCAGATGGTATGTTTGGGCAGTTAATAACCGATTTTTTTTTCTTGGACATACCTGTGGCTTGTCCAACAAAAGGTACCATGCAAAAGTAACAATCATTAATATGATTTGTAGGCTCTCTCCAAACCATTGGGACAGCAAAGCGCATAGACCGTTTTTTGCCATTTAACCAGCTCCTCAGACTTGAAGCACATGTATTACAGCAGATGTGGGGTGCCCACTGTTTGTCTTGATCACCTAGTTTACAACCGAAATAAAGCTGATATGCCTTTGTTATTAGTGGAGTAATAGACCGTCTCTGAGACGCAAAAGTCACATCACCACACACGTAACAAAACTGATCTGGATTGTTTACACACTTTCGAGACATCTTGCATGAACGCTGTCAGCCAACTGAGGAAAAAATGGCTAATATAAAACAATATAATGTACACGTATGTATAACGTAACACAATCATGCCGATTACATCATCTTTCCTTGCCGAATATAAAAATGTAGCACGTGCATTCTTGTGAATTACAGTATATTAACACTGTCACAGCAGGAACACATATAATTACCGTATCTCTAAAACTTGAACTAATATTGAAAAAATAAGTTTCATTCCGGTTTTAGCACATTAAAAATAGTAATATTTTGTTGATTTTATTTAGGATATTTCTTGGCTGTTGATCAGTGTAATATTGACAAAAAAATGCCACCGACTATGTTTATTTTTCGGATTAAGTCACTAATTTTACAACTTTTTTGTCTCTGGGTGTCTTACTTCGTTTTCAAGAAGGAAAATAAAAACTTCATTACATTGTTAACAGAAAATCTGATACAAAGCTATTACTATTCCAATGAAGGCAAGGCTTTGCAGGTTTTGGAAACAAATTCAGTGGTGATGGAGCTTCATGCAGGGACTCAAAACGGAAAAATAAAAATCAAGCTTCGTTCTTTGATGTTTCAGAGACTTCTGCCCATTTTTGTAAAACTTTTTGGAAAGTTTGAAAATTAAGGGTTGGGGGTTTTAGAGGTCATAAATGTGGAATCTTTGGTATTAGTGAAAGACGTTGCCAATAATTGTTACAGGTAGAGGAGACTGAAGAGCCGCAATCCGAGGCAAAAGAGGAATTGAAAGACTTAAGTATAGGAAGATTCAAAGTGGTGAAGATAGAAAGCATTGTGCCCTTTAGTAGAGGCCGATGGACTTGTTTCGATTATTTGGACCAATCTGACTCTTCCAAGTCGTGTTGTAAGCACTTCAAGACGGAACAGAATGAAACTCTTAAAGCTTCTATAGCCATCGATCAAAATAGGGCAAGTATTTTATATATAGGTGTAAAAAATAAGTACAACCTGAATGCATTGATAAAGGTATCAGGCATTACTAAACCACATATATACGAGGTGTGTAAATTAAATGATGGGACTGTCACCGTAGCGTTCGATCTGGCAACACTGGAGGCGCCGAGCTTGGAGGGGAGAAAGAGGTACATGTGAATCGCATTCAGTACAAGTTTGAACTCACTCGAGTTATTTGGTTGTCCGCAGCGATTTTTTTTTGAAACAGTTTTTTCTATTGTGTTCTAAAAATGAGTGACCTCAATTTACAGAAACGGTGTGCTATCAGGTTTTGCTTCAGACTCTTTTTAAAAGGGAGACAGTCGATTGAAGATGAACACGAAGCGGAAGGCCTTCAACTTCACTTCGATCGTCGGTTGGCAGTCGCATCAGGGAAGATCTAAATTTGACTCACCCCACTGTTCAGTAGATCAAGTACAACTGGGTGTTGCATCAGCCTCCTTATTCGACTGACTTCCCGAAGTTTAAAAATCTAGGGAACACATTTTGCTGTAACTGACCGGCTGAAGGCTATTCCAGTGCTGCGAGGCTTCAGAAGGAAGTTATTTTGAGGATGACAATATAAAATTACAATTATATTTGAATATAAAAATCAGTCTCATCACTTAATTTACAGACCTCGTAGCTCGATAAAAGCCATATTGTATTCGATTGTCCTACTTTGAGTTATAGAAAGACCTGGTTGAAAAATTAACAAGTAAGATAGGGGGCATAGGTCAGAATACCGCTAAATCCATTAAGAACTTAAAATTGGACTCTTCGTAATGCCTATAACTGAGGTGCACACATGGGCTTCTGCAGAATTTTTCTCAAGGGGGTGGGGTGATCATCGGAAAGAGATTTTGTGAAGGTGTACCTGTACCTAAAGCATTTTGACGAGCGGGTGGTAGCGAATTTTCCCAGGTGTGAATCCTAAAAATCCTCAAAATAGTACACACAATCATGCTTAGTGTGCAAATTTCAGGAGTTCATCCGGAATTCCAGGGGGTGGTGCACTGACCCCTTCTACCCCCACTGCAAGCACCCGTGGGTGCGCAACGCGCTGTATGACTCACAACTATCAGGGAACTGAAACATAACCCCTTGCAACTAAAGAAATACATTTCAACAATGAAGTATTTTTAACTCGATCTTCTATAATATAATGTTTTTTCAGGTTCCAAATACTGCCAAGGAATGTGAGACAAACTGCCAGGAACCTTTATTTCCAGGGTCCATAAAAATGTCTCAAACTGCACCGATTTTTGCTGCACCTCCAAGTCGACCTCCCAGGGTGAAAATAAGGACTTCCTGCGTTAGCACGCCTAGTATTATTCCAATTATTAGGCCTATCAGGTCTGTTCGACCATTTTTCACATCTTCTTCTAGCTTTGATTCTGTCATCACCTTACATGATCAGGTAAGGAAAATGGAATTTTAAATAGTAGCATTGATTAAGGTGCTATTGCTATTATATAAATGATCACATCACTGCTTTTAATATAAGTTATGCTACACTTTTATTGCTTCTTGATGTATCAAAAGCTTTCGATATAATTAACCATGAATTCTTATTATCAGAATTAATTCATTTAGGACTATTAAATTGGTGGACGTCAAAAAGTTTCGTTAGACGACAAAATTTTACCACTTGAGTTAATAAAATCAGGTTCTGTTTTAGGACCACTACTATTCACATTATACTCCTCAAATTTCACCACAGGTATTCAAAATTGTATAATAATGACCTACGCCGACGATACCCAAATATCCTTCACCCAAATCATCATGAAAACCCTATCGCACTTATGAACAAGGATCTAGAAGTAATACAATGCTCTTAAATTCAACACCGGAAAAAATTAATGATTATATTCGGTCCAGAAACGAATTCCATTTTTTTAAGGAAAACTTGCAAATTTATATCAACAAATCATGTCGCTCCTATAGTTGAGAACTGCTATTTGACATTAAGTCTCCTGTATGCCAACAAAAACATTTTGACAAAGTTTTTCATTGAAACTGTATGTGATGATGTTATTTCCAAAATTCCTTATTGTATGCCATTATATTATCACTACTCATACAGCAATATACAGCAAAACATTTGCAGAAAATTCAAAATTGCTGTTGCCGTCTGATAACAATCTAACAAGATTTGATCACACATCAGACCATATCATTGCTATGAAATGGCTAAGTGTTAAATACTTATTCAAATATTTATTGCTTACAATTGTTCATAAAACAATGCTGAATAAGAAACCTTTATATTTGTACAGAAAATTCATTTCTCGTCATAATGATTCGTTTACCAGATATATTCACTATACCTCAACACAAGACTTCTATATTCACAAGATCTTTCGCATTTAATGCAATCTCCTTATACCAAACGACCTGAAAATATGACTGCAGGAGTTTAAACTAAATTAGAAGATGTATATTCTTGATGTGTAATTGTAAATTCTAGTATTGAACTTTAACAATGCTTTATTTTAACATGTTTTGGTGAATTTGTATATAAATTTCTAGTATCCAGGGCTGCGTTCGTAAATTACCGATGGAAATTGTTTTGAGTTCGAAAATAGAACAAGGTAGTCTTTCTGGAACGTCAAAAGTGTGCTGTTCTTCCCGAGCTCAAAACCTTGGGAATAAGAGTTCTGTCACTTGTCATTCCCATGGTTCATTGTTTGTTTCTTTTATTCGGTTATCAAAAACTCCTCAAAATTGGCAGAATATACAGGGTGTCCGCAAAGTTGAGGTTTTCCTTTACACGACGTGTAGATCTTGAAAACATAAGCAACTTTTCTTAGTACCATATACACCAATGTCTTAAGGGAACCGAGATAAAGGGCTCTGCAACATCAAAAATATCTGAATACCGTCCTGTAGCCGCGACTCGCGATATCCCCAACTGGTACCGGCTACTAGCTCAACCCGACGACAGAACTGGGTCGGGGGTCGGAGTCAGTGTGTCAGGTCAGTATGCAACCTTCAACCGACGGTTACGGTCACGCGTGTAGAGGTAAACGAACTCGTATAATCGATTGCGTTTCAAAAAACAACAAGCACTAGAGACGTGGCTAAAGAAGTGCAAGTATCAAAAACTAAAGTGTGACAAACGCTGCGTGAAGAGGGGCTGTATCCGTTTCACGTCCAACGTGTACAACCTGACGATTTTCCAGCAAGAGTGCGGTTTTGTGAGTGGTTGTTGCATCAACATGACAATAATCTGGACTTTTTGAAGTGCCTATTGGTGACAGACGAATCTACGTTCACGCGTAATGGGGTGAATAACTTTCGCAACACTTATGTTTGGTCAGTAGAAAATCCGCACGCTGTCCGTCGGGCACATTTTCAACAAACATTTTCGGTGAATGTTTGGACTGGCATGGTGAACGGTAGGCTCATTGGACCATGTATTCTCCCAAATCGATTGGACGGGATGCAATACCTAGACTGTTTACGTCTGCTCGGTAGCGAATCAGCTGATTCCATTTTCTGTTGGAGCGGTATGACTTTGGACAGAGACGTACTTAGCCCTTCTCGTCAACTAGAGAGTGAGTACTTTTTCCTTTATTTTTTTTTACTTGGTCGCCCTCGTTTCACTACACATTACCTTTGTTATTTCAAGGGTAGTTGTTTCTGAAAAGGAAAACCCCAACTTTGCGGACACCCTGTATATTTTTCAGGATAAATACTTATACCCATAGGGTGTCTTATAATAACTACAATGATCGTAGAAAAAATGGTTAGAAATTAGTCGGCTGTCATCAAGTGCCAATACATGACTCTGTAATAATTTAGGCGTTCTAAAAATAAAGTTTCACAATATTCCAGAGTAAATTTTCATCTGCCAATCTACATTCCATTAGTATGTACGGTATTACATTGACAAGTGACTTACAAACGCACCTCAGAGTAGAATAATAGCCGAGGATAAACTTTGTCCATTTCAAGCGTATCGTTATAAATAAAGCTGTTTATTATTATTATTACCAAATAAACTGGGCACCCGTAGCGTCATCTATGAGAAGGTTAGTGTCTTACAGATGCCGCTGTAGCTTATATGAGCATATGAGAGCAGATAGGCAGTGCAACCGATGAGACACTATCCTTTTCTATATATATATATATATATATATATACTAAGTGACATATAAATCCGAACACCCAGTTTAAATGGTTTTATTTTAATAAAAGTTGGTGAATGTATTTATCTTACTGTAAATAACAAGTGAAAAAATTTTCAGCCTTATCAGTTGGACATTCCGGTTTTTATACTGCTTTTTTTTTAATTCACTAACCCTCTAAAAATGAATATTTCAGCCGCAGTAAAGAATCAACGTTGGCGGATTTTGGTTCTTGACATCCCTTACGATCGGTTACGATTCCTAGAGTACGGAGACCTGTATGATTTCGTCAACTTAGTGAGTTTGATAGGAGCCGTATAGTGGGACTTCGGGAAGCTGGACTTTCTTTTCGGGCAATTGCAGTTAGAGTGCAAAGAAGTTAGGTTAGGTATTGTCAGGCATGGCTTCAAGAAGGCCGTACGCAAAGAGCAAGGGGCACTGGACGCCGCCGTAGAACAACAGACCGTGAAGATCGCCGCCAAAGATCATTGGCCTTAAGGGACCGTTTCTCCACTACCAGGTCCATTGCAAATGAATGGTTTGCAGAACACGGAAGACCTATTGGCATGCGAAGTGTTTACCGACGAATGAGAAGTTTTGGCTTATTTTCATACCGGCCACACTGGGTCCTCCCTTTAACTCGAGAACACCGACGTAATCGCCTTGAGTGGTGCAGGCAACGGTCACTCTGGGATCAGGAATGGAACAGTATTGTCTTTAGTGACGAGTCTCGATTTTGTTTAGGCATTCACGATGGTCGTGTCAGGGTTAGAAGGCGACGTGGTGAAAGGAGGAATCCACAGTTTTTTGTTGAAAGACATGTTCATCACACTGTTGGAGTTATGGTTTGGGGTGATATAGCTTATGGTTCCAGGTCACCTTTAATCTTCATCAGAGGTAACATGAACGCGCAGCGTTATATCCACGAAGTTCTAGAACCCCATCTTTTACCCTATCTTGACACCCTGGCAGATCCAACTTTTCAACAAGATAATGCCCGACCACATGTTGCAAGAGTCACAATAGACTTCTTTCAACATAATGATGTCACATTGTTACCATGGCCACCAAGATCTCCCGACTTATCCCCAATTGAGCACGTGTGGGATATGATGGGTAGGAGATTGCTCAATTTGCAACGTCCTCCTCAGACTCTAGAAGCACTTCGAGAGGAGTTGGTGGTTGCCTGGAATGAGATACCACAGGAGGACATTGACCGCCTGATCAGAAGCATGCCTAGGCGCGTTGGAGAATGCGTAGCACATCAGGGTGCATCCACACATTATTAAAGGTCAAAGGGCTTTAAAGCAGTGCAATCATTTTGAAATGTTTATCATTTACTTATTATGCTTCATTAAGTACTTATACAAAATTTTATTAAAATAAAAACATTTAAACTGGGTGTTCGGATTTATATGTCACTTAGTATATTTATTGCTAAATTGCATTCTTCAATTAATACATTAATTTTCTCGGACAATAGAACGGTTTTTATTTTTTTACTCAAAAATGGCGCATCGAAGGAATACAATTCAAGAGAGATCATTTGTTTTAAATTGCACGGGAAATTCAAAAATAATTTTTATCTGACAAAAAACCATTAACGTACCATTTTTTCCTTAAAAAATATCAAAGTCAATACCTGTACGCACGCCACTGTTAAAGCTAAAAATTATTTTGCATTGAAAAATATGCAACTTTATTAACTTTCACTATGTACTAAATATCAGTGAAATATCTGAAGCGGTTCTGAAAATATTAGTTTTTGTAAGGAAACATTTTTGGACCATAGTTTATAAAGCAAACTAACATTAATTTTTCATGTAGATTCACACCCTTAAATGTTCGCATATCATTAAGAAACACCTTGTATATATGTATAAATAAAATAGCGGCACACATAAAGAGACTAAGCTCATGCAAATTCACAAAGAAATATGTCAAATTTAATGGCGAAATCAACACAAAAACTATATGTTATTTTTGAGATATTCAGTAATATGCTTTCTTTATCAACAGTGCTTTAATTTCTTTTTTTAAATTGTATGTGTAATTGATCCTGTTAGGCGACTTATTAGTTTTATGCGCATAAGGACTAGATTCCGTTGTGGATAACTTGTGTGCAGGAATCTCCAAGATCAGGGAATTCCTTGTGGAATATTTGCCATGACGATTAAGCTTAACGAAGCTGTTGTAATTTATTGCTACATCTCGTACACCAATACCTCATTATATGCAAATACACATCAGGGTAAGAACCTTTAGAGTCGGAAATAATTCCCTACAACTAGCTCTGTAATACGATCAGCGATCAGTCTTCACAGTCTCTTTTGTAAGACAAATATCTGGTTTGCTCTACGAGAAGTACCCCAGGCAATTATACTCGTACCATAATATCCTGATGAAAACGTTCGCCGTGCTCATCACTTACGGCTCCGCAATTGTCAGGAAAAAAGTCCAGGTGTGAGTGTAGGAAATCTATCTTAAGAGACATATTACAGCCCATCTTTTGATACGATGACAGCATATTTTTGACAAGGGTTTTATAGTTGTCAGCTTTTCTATTTCCCAAGAAATTAGTGACCACCAGACGGAAATCATTCCAAGCAGTTTTTTCAATACCTGTTAAAGTGTTTTCAAACTGTGTATCTTTCAAAATATTTCGAATCTGTGGCCCAACAAAAATACCTTCTTTAACCTTTGCCTCACTTAGTCTTGGAATTTTCTGACGCAGGTATTGAAAAGCTGACCCATCTGTATCTAATGCCTTGACAAAGTTTTTCATTAGGCCCAACTTGATATGCAGTGGTGGTAATAAATTTTTTTTCGAATCTACTAATGGCATATGCTGTACATTTTTTTGACCTGGCTCTAGGAATTGACGAACAGGCCAGTTTTGTCTGGTGTAATGAAGTGCCTTTGCCCGACTGTCCCATTCACACAAAAAACAGCAAAACTTTGTGTAGCCTAGCTGCAGCCCAAGTAAAAGTGCAACAACTTTCAAATCGCCACAAATATGCCATTGGTGCTCATCATATTTTATGCATGTCAATAGGTACTTCATATTGTCATATGATTCTTTCATGTGAACTGCATACCCTACAGGAAGAGATGGTAAAATATTTCCAATATGCAATAACACTGCCTTTAAACTCAATGTTGAACTGTCTATAAACAATCTCCATTCTTCTGGGTTATAGTTTATATTTAAAGCCGTCAGTAAGCCGTTAATGTTACTGCAGAAAACCAAGTTATTCTTCATATTGAAAAATGGTTCTAAGTCTTTGTGGCGTTTACGAAATACACATACCGAAACATCGTCTTCTAACAAGTTCCACTGCTGCAGTCTTGATGCAAGTAACTCTGCCTTACATTTTGGAAGTTCTAAATCTCTTACAAGATCATTTAATTCTGACTGTGTTATTTTGTGCGGTTGGTGGCATGACGTGCTCGGTATAAAATCAGGATCTCTTGACGTTGATGGCATATCTTCTTCCTGACGAATCACTCGATCGCCATGATCTGATTCGTTTTCTGATTCGCAAGTGTAGGATTCTGGAGATTTTGGAATAGGATTTTCAACACTGTGAGGCACAGGTCTCATCGCAGATGGTATGTTTGGGTAGTTAATAACCGATTTTTTTTTCTTGGACATACCTGTGGCTTGTCCAACACAAGGTACCATGCAAAAGTAACAATCATTAATATGATTTGTAGGCTCTCTCCAAACCATTGGGACAGCAAAGCGCATAGACCGTTTTTTGCCATTTAACCAGCTCCTCAGACTTGAAGCACATGTATTACAGCAGATGTGGGGTGCCCCCTGTTAGTCTTGATCACCTAGTTTACAACCGAAATAAAGCTGATATGCCTTTGTTATTAGTGGAGTAATAGACCGTCTCTGAGACGCAAAAGTCACATCACCACACACGTAACAAAACTGATCTGGATTGTTTACACACGAGACATCTTGCATGAACGCTGTCAGCCAACTGAGGAAAAAATGGCTAATATAAAACAATATAATGTACACGTATGTATAACGTAACACAATCATGCCGATTACATCATCTTTCCTTGCCGAATATAAAAATGTAGCACGTGCATTCTTGTGAATTACAGTATATTAACACTGTCACAGCAGGAACACATAATTACCGTATCTCTAAAACTTGAACTAATATTGAAAAAATAAGTTTCATTCCGGTTTTAGCACATTAAAAATAGTAACATTTTGTTGATTTTATTTAGGATATTTTTTGGCTGTTGATCAGTGTTGTCAGTGGCTTTATCCACAACCTTAAAACGAGGCTGCCGTTACTTGGCAATTGCTTCAGTTGAAGTCAGGTTACCGGTGGGTTGCTTTTGTCAAGAGTTTGAAACTAGGACTAACCTTTAGTACCTTTAAAGCCCTATTCTTTCTGTTACAGGGGACGCTTAGGAAAGAGTGCGATGTAGCTAACAGTAATGCAAACATTTTACTGGTGCAGGAAGACTCCAACAGAAATACTGGGTAAGTGGTTTTCGTAATAATAATAGTAATAGTATTTGGCGTACTGAAGTACCTACTCGGGTCTTCTTCGACTGCTTGTAGTACGACGCATTTGTAACGAAAAGAAATTCTGCTTGATTTGGGAATCGTTCCTCTGAGCAGCATTTGGGTACCTCTCATGATAAACTCCAGCTGCAGCACTAGCATTGCATCTACATTCCCCGTAAATGAGGTGCATGTTGACGTATTTCTGTACACAGTCTTAGTGGTACTACACCATCATTATTATTAATTAATTAATAAAAGTGGCGTTACTATCTGTCTTGCTGCAGTCTGGACATGTTCAACACACCGAAAGATACATTTAAGCCTACAACAAGCTGTTACTCTCGACAAAACACGAGTAGTGCGAAAGTCAACAGTAGATGACAATATTTGGTATCCACCTGTATCTTATCGGAAATACCTCTTCATAGCCTAGAGTCAGGGACAATGATAATAATAGCATCTATTGCCCAACAGGTACCCCATTTATAGGATATTTACATAAACAAAATCAAATAACAGTCAGTGACAGTGTTTGCAAAACAATTATTACAGGTACAAATAAGCTATTCTAGCGAACAACTTAATATGTATATCACAATGATAGCTAACACAATTCGGATGCTTACACACAAGAAATGTCAGAAGATTTGAAATCTATTGAAGCTTCTGCTGCCAAGCATAATCTTTAGTTAAATCCGTCTAAATCTAAAGTATTAAATTTTTCTCCTAAAGTGATATTAAAGCTAACTTCATCATAAGCTTAAACGGCAGTATTATTCAAATTGAGGAATCAGCAAAAAAATAGACGAGAACCTTAGGTTCAATCCTCACGTAAATAACATTACCAAAGGATGCTTTGCTGTCTTACTTCAATTATATCTTAACAGGCAAATATGTACTTGATTTAGTACTAAAAAAAAATCTATGCGAAGCTATGAAAATGTCAAAAATTACTTACTGCGATTTAGTACATGATCCATTTTTAGATTCTATATCTGTGAAACGTTTGCAAAAAATACAAAATTGCTGTTGTAGATTGATTTTTAACCTACGAAAGTATGATCACATTAGCTCGAATTTTGAACAACTGAATTGGCTAATTGTAACAAAATTATTTAAGTTTCACTTATTATGTTTTGGGCTCTAAGTTCTAACCACATTATTTCCTCTATTTTTAAAAGACAAGCTAATAGTTCGTGGGTGTACCCACTCAAGAAACATTCGTTTTTTGTATTCGTTAATTATGCTTCTTCGCATTACCAGTGCCTACGAAGCTTCTGAACGTCAAAGATTTCAAAAAGCAAGTGAAGAGAATCATTTTTGAACAACAAGTTCAAATACAATCATCACACCTGATTTCTCTAAATTATGAACATGAACTATGCAGGGCTCTGCAACATAATTTTGATATCATGGGTAGATTTATATCATATTTGTATAATACTACTATTTGCTAGGTTCTGTACTATAATTTACACACTTTATTATCTATTTATATATACTAAGTGACATATAAATCCGAACTCCCAGTTTAAATGGTTTTATTTTAATAAAAGTTGGTGAATGTAAAGTGAAAAAATTTTCAGCCTTATCAGTTGGACATTCCGGTTTTTATACTGCTTTTTTTTTAATTCACTAACGCTCTAAAAATGAATATTTCAGCCGCAGTAAAGAATGAACGTTGGCGGATTTTGGTTCTTGACATCCTTTACGATCGGTTACGATGCCTAGAGTACGGAAACCTGTACGATTTCGTCAACTTAGTGAGTTTGATAGGGGCCGTATAGTGGGACTTCGGGAAGCTGGACTTTCTTTTCGGGCAATTGCAGTTAGAGTGCAAAGAAGTGTAGACACTGTGGTTAGGTGTTGTCAGGTATGGCTTCGAGAAGGCCGTACGCAAAGAGCAAGGGGAACTGGACGCCGCCGTAGAACAACAGACCGTGAAGATCGCCGCCTAAGATTATTGGCCTTAAGGGACCGTTTCTCCACTACCAGGTCCATTGCAAATGAATGGTTTGCAGAACACGGAAGACCTATTGGCATGCGAAGTGTTTACCGACGAATGAGAAGTTTTGGCTTGTTTTCATACCGGCCACACTGGGTCCTCCCTTTAACTCGAGAACACCGACGTAATCACCTTGAGTGGTGCAGACAACGGTCACTCTTGTTTAGGCATGCACGATGGTCGTGCCAGGGTTAGAAGGCGACGTGGTGAAAGGAGGAATTCACTTTTTTTATTGAAAGACATGTTCATCACACTGTTGGAGTTATGGTTTGGGGTGCTAAAGCTTATGGTTCCAGGTCACCTTTAATCTTCATCAGAGGTAACATGAACGCGCAGCGTTATATCCACGAAGTTCTAGAACCCCATCTTTTACCCTATCTTGACACCCTGGCAGATCCAACTTTCCAACAAGATAATGCCCGACCACATGTTGCAAGAGTCACAATAGACTTCTTTCAACATAATGATGTCACATTGTTACCATGGCCACCAAGATCTCCCGACTTATCCCCAATTGAGCACGTGTGGGATATGATGGGTAGGAGATTGCTCAATTTGCAACGTCCTCCTCAGACTCTAGAAGCACTTCGAGAGGAGTTGGTGGTTGCCTGGAATGAGATAACACAGGAGGACATTGACCACCTGATCAGAAGCATGCCTAGGCGCGTTGGAGAATGCCTAGCACATCAGGGTGCATCCACACATTATTAAAGGTCAAAGGGCTTTAAAGCAGTGCAATCATTTTGAAATTTTTATCATTTACTTATTATGCTTCATTAAGTACTTATACAAAATTTTATTAAAATAAAACGATTTAAACTGGGTGTTCGGATTTATGTCACTGACGGTAATTAATTTTTGTTGAGGGTTAAGTGGAAGAATAGCTATAAGCTAAACTTTGTCCTAAATAAAGACGATTTATTATTATTATTATATAATATGATTCATAGTTTAAAGGTGAAACAATTGCGAGAAGAGAGCCAAGGTAAATTGAAATTAATCTGTGCTAAAATCTCTGTGGAAGTAATAATGCTATTAAACAGTTTAAAAAGGAATATGATTGATGAAACTTTCCTTTTGTATTCTTAACTATCGATTTCAAAATGTTCACATAGCACCATATTGCTAATCCCTTGCTCAGATTAGAGGCCTTCAGGCTTGAAATAGAGAAATTTTAGAATTTTTCTTTGAACACTTTCGATATGGCTTACATGAGCTTGGTAATACGGATTCCATATAACACTCGCATATTATAGATGAAGGCCCTTATGTCTAAAACTTTTGAAAAGGAAGCCATAGGTCTAGAATTTCTGGTAATATAGCCTTATAGCACACAAATCTTTCATAGTATCTCTCCAACTCCACACCATCAATATTATAGTTGAGCACATTAAGGTTTTTTCCTGCTATAACTGACTACTTTGATACAAACATATACGATTTTTTGAATTGGACCGTCGGCGATCTAGCTCTCTTCTACCACTACTCCTCCATGATACCAGACAGACCCTCCTGAATTCGGCCTCCCATCCTAACCGTCTGGAACTTCGTACATCCAGAACTGACCGGTACGACCGCTCCTTTGTTCCTAGGGTATCGAGATTGTGGAACAACCTACATGAGGACGATTGTCATAGATCTGCTAGCCTTAGGCAGTTCAAAAATCGGATAAGTTTCTTTAAGCCCCTCATAACAGCCGCGTTACATTGGCGTTTAAGCTTCTGCCTACGCAACTGCTTCGGTGTTAAAAAATCCTAGTAAGTATCGAGATAGTGTCTTTAGAAATAACAATGATAGTCAGTATGTCAATACTACTAGTTTGAATCGTAAAGTACCCTAATCACCATATTTCTGTGGACCGAGTTTAGATTGACCTTGGATTTGGAATATTCGTACCCGGTTTATCCAGGAAAGGAGTCTCTATATTGCTATGACATTTTACATTGGAATTTTTTGTAATATCTTCATAACATTTTCATGTTCGTGCCTCGTTAATACAAGTAATAATAATAATAATAATAATTATTGGAGCATTTATTCAAAATGAATGTAAATATGAAAAAATACCATTTTTCACGGTCGCATCGGCTACAGTGCAATTACAAAAAGAATCAGCTAAAATTATTTTATATACAGTATATTCAGATAAGAGATAGACCGGACATAAACAAGACCACGTGATCATCGAACGCTGTAACATTCGGCAGGGACGTATTAAGAGTCACGCAGTACATATTTTAGATAGTAGATGCTGCTTTGCGTAACTTTGTAGTAAATAAGCACAATTCGATGTGTATACGATTGGTGATGGATATTAGGATCATGTGGGGGTGGGGTAAGAATATATGATGATGTAAATATACATAAGGGTTTCAAAATTTTCGCTTCGATTTCCAGCTTCGGATGCCGCCTGGTGTTTGGTGAAATACAGTCGAATACAATCTCAAAATGGCGTTTAAATTAGCCTAAATCAAAAATAATCGTATATCTCTTAAAATTGCTTTTAGAATATTGATTAATATATTTTTTGATTTCTAGGTAAATATGTAACCAAATTAAAACGTTCAAAACGTAAAAAAATGTGCATGGTTGAACATTGTCAGAAAGTAGATTCTTGAATAGGTTTTGCCAAAATGGGTTCAAAAATGTCAATAATTAATTAAAAAATACAGTAGCTTTATAATTACTTATAACTTACCGAATTTGATGAACGACATCTTTTATTGGAAAGATGAGCTTGATGAGCTTTCATCATCGCTACTGTCTGAAGCACCAACGTCAATAATGAATGGCTCGACTTGTTCCTCTAAAATATTGTCCAGTTCCCACATTCTCTTTTCAACTTTGTCTTTCACGTGCTTAATACAGTTTTCCCATTTTTGCGCTGTTATTAATTCTAGTGCTTCTTTGAAAAGTCCTTTGAGGTCACAAAATTTAAAAGTTGTATTGTGCTTAGCTATATAATTTT